GTTACTTCCCCCCCCCCTAACCACACTGTCGCCCCTCTCAGCCACATTATCGCATAAGTATCAATGCACAATCCCACTCATAACTCGTAGTGAGAAACATTGCACTCACTCAATCAATCAATCCGTCCATCACGAAAACTCTCAATGGTCCATCACTCAACCAATATTAAATGGAATCTCCATCAATTCTTACTAACTCATTAATAACGCACTTACTCAGTCACTCACTCCTCTCTTCGACAGTTTATCAATCGCGCACACATACACTCCGGCATTACACTCCCCCAAAGTAAAATAGTTAAAGAACTGTAGGCGTGATATTATTAGGATATGTAGACGTAAAACTTAAGTTAATCGATAACTCAATCAATCAATTTTAATGAACTGCAGAAGTAGACGTAATATTGTACCAAAAATAAAATTAAATCGATAACTCAATCAATCAATTTTAAGGAACTGCAGAAGTAAAATACACTCAGACTTTACTTTAATTTAACTCTCACTCAACCCTTCATCACTCATACCAAAAAGTAAATTCAATCACTCACTCAATCAATCTCACCCTCGCTCAGTCTCAGACTTTGCAATACTTTACCTCTCACTCATACATTAACAGAAATTATCTCACTAACTCAAGCAATCCCACCCTCACCCAGTCATTTCTTCTTAAACCGCTCAGCTTCACTCACTTACTAGAATAAAAATTAACTCAGACTCTGACTTTGCAATACTTTAACTCTCACTCAACCATTCATCACTCACACATTAACAGAAATTAACTCACTAACTCAAGCAATCCCACCCTCACTCAGTCATCCGCTCAGCTTCACTCATTTACTAGAATAAAAATTAACTGACTCACTCACTCAATCACACCTTCGCTTAGTCATCCCATCTTATATCACTCTTCTTCAACGCATTAAAGCTATTCATATTCCACAGTTAACATTAAATATAAAATTATTAACTCATTTAAACCTCCAAAATCAATCAAAATATGACGATGTTATTTATTAAAATATCATGACTTCATATATTCAAGGAAAATATAATGGAACATACAAATAAAATCTTCAGAACTAAAATCTCGGATAAAACATGAGTAATCTACTTGATCATTCATTTAAGACGTAAAAGGAATAAGATTATTAAGTATGATGGAAATATGACCGAATTCGTACTAAATTAGTAGGACCTTCTTCCATAGGTTCTTCCTTTAATTACCCCTTTTCCTCGTACACTGTGAAGCTGGATATCTACACGTTTGGATCTGTCATCCTTCCTGCTCCGTGAAGCTGGGTCTCGATCCGAGTTCCGTCTTCCTCTTAGATCCTTATCTTTATGCCGCCCTTGAGATACAACTTCAAAGAAATGAGCAAATGATTCAGGGTGTTTATCATAAAGCTTTTTCCGGAGGCTTCTATCTACGGTATCATGAACATTTGCATCATGACCTACCACTTGACATTGTGAGCATATCTGATCACGCTGCTCACACCTGTCATACGGGTGATCCTGGGTTCCACAACCTTCACAATAAACTCGCATTTTACATCTGTTAGCCATGTGTCCCTCAGCAAGACAGTAAAAGCATTGCTTATTCTCTCGATTCCCTCCTCGGTCAGTGTTCCTGTAATCTGATTTAGATAGGAGGATATCCAACTTCTCCTCCAAGGTTTCAATCCGTGTCTTGACAAACACTTGAAAACTCTGTTGAGAGACCTTTATAGCTTCTAGCATAGCCAAGGTTTTGGTACATAGCTCCCCTGCAGCAGAACCTTTAGCAGTTACTTTTAGTTCGTCCAGCTGTCTCTGCAGATCATGGAGAAGCTTTTCATACTCAACTGGTGACCTTTGGATTTCCGGCAGTATCCTATTCGCCACTATATCTGCAATCTTATTCACTGCAGAGTCATCTGTGTCAGGTCCTGACAACCTTCTTACTTCATCCTCCAACTGTTCAAGACCCCTGCAAAACAAGCATGAATAGTAATTTTAACATAGGCATTAATTTACACGTGCCCCTCAAAAATCATCCATTCATAGGCCGTCAATAGTAATTATCAACTCTTGAATAATTAAAATCTAATCTCTAATGTTTTAAATCCAAACATTCATTAAATATCAAGAATTAGTAAAATATTAGGTTCCGTCCAGTTATTTTCCAACTATTAGCGATTATAATGACATTAATTTAGACACTAACAAAAGATACTTGAGACACTCCCAATCCATGGATTAAAGAGTTTTTAAAAAACTTAGTGAAGCAAATGTCCATAATTTAATATTAAAATTAAAATTAGATTAAAATTAAAAGAGAATTAAACATCCTACTAATCCTCAATTAAAAGCTCGGAGTAATCACTCCTTGATTAATTGCTAACAGTACCCCTTTAAGGTATCCCTGATTAAATGCTAAGAGTACCCCTCTAAGCTATCTTTGGTTAAATGCTAAGAGTAACCCTCTAAGCCTTATTACCTTGGGTCTTGCCCACCGTGATCAAGTGGTATTGTCCCCTCAGCTTCACTGAATCCATTAAACAGATCATCCTCATCCTCCGTGTCCTGCACTACTCGTCGTTGAGCTCCGTTTTCTCCGTCCTCTTCGTCCTCGTCCATTGGTTCCATTAACGAGTCTAATTTCATAGAATTCATCCTAGCTGGAGTAGGACGGAGACCACTACTTTCAATCAGCACGGCCTGTTCTGTTTCTATCTCCTTAAGTCGTTTCATCATGGTTGGACTCATCATATCATATACTTGTGATGTATCTCTAGTTCTACTTGAGATGTATCTCTGGTTCTACTTGAGATGTGTCTTTAGTTCTACTTGAGATGTTTCTCTAGCAATACTTGAGATAAATCTCTAGTTTTGAGCAATACCTCCAATACTTGAGATGTATCTCTGGTTCTACTTGAGATGTGTCTTTAGTTCTACTTGAGATGTATCTCTAGTAATACTGGAGGTGTTTCTCTAGCAATACTTCAGATAAATCTCTAGTTTTAAGCAATATCTCCAATAAAGAAAAAAAAATAACAACTAATAAAATACTCATAATAAATAATTCTCCTCCCCCCATTTGATGTTGTGAATTCCCTCTTAAACCTGCCCCCTCCCACCCCCCCCCAGTTGAAGGTAGTCTGGATAATGTCTATCTCACAATGCCAGTAAAACCTGGTCAAGTATTGTATCCGAATTGTGGCCAAGATAATACGCCATAAATGCAACCTTTATCGACCATTGTGGGAATATTCTACTGTGCATGCATTGATATTTAGCAAAGAAATTTTAGGCAACCTATGACATAGTTTTCATCGGAGTAACTTAGTGTTTCTTGTTAATTGCATCTATTATGCATCTTACAATTTAAAGACAAAAAAGTAACTTTTAGAAAATAAAAATAAAATAAAAAATCCACCAACGACACTGGTTCGCGCCAAAAAGTTTTCCCTAATTTTTTCTTTTATGTTTTGACAAGTGAAAATCTGCAAACTATTCCCGAGAATTATTTTGCAACGAATTTTGGCAATAAGTATAAATTGGATGCCTGGGCCAAGAGAAACCAGCTCACGAACTTTTGGATCCTGATAATAACGACACAAATTCAAATATTGAAATTTTTCAATTTTAATTTCCAACCAGCTCACATGCTTGACAACTATTTAAATGGGGGGCCACTTTATACTTCAACGAAAGTTTTTTAAGCAAAATATTACAATTAATAAGTAAAGGCGGTGTGTATTTTATTAAAAATCTATTCCAACCCGCGTAAGGGGGAAAAATATTAGTAAAAAATATCAAAAGGATGAAAAACCTTGACTTTTCATATCCAATTTTTCATTTTGCCCCCAATTAATTGAAAATCATGTAATTCTGAAATTTATACGAGCACTGACTACCTGGTCTGTCCATTTGAGAAACTTTTCCCCAGTAAAGAGACGTTCATCGAGACCTATCAGTTTAGTGGTCGCAATGGAACCTGATCTACTAGCCGCCATCTTGTTGGCTACAGGGGAAGAAAACCGGTTCTAGAACCAGCCATTTTAAATTATGACTGAAACTCTGAAATAATTTTCTAAAAATGGTTTACTACAACTTTTTGCACTACATGAATTCGTATTAAAAGGTAGCATTTTATCTAATGTCTATAAAGTCTATCACTAATGTCTACTGAACTGAAATTCCTGCTTTGTAAAGGTGTAAAGTCTATTAATTAAACACGCTAAGTACTAACTACTGTCTGTTAAATACTCTGGATCGTAAACCATTGTCTAATGTCTATTATTTACACTGACATAAGCACCGACTAATGTCTACTAAATTGGCTGCATAGCACTGTCTAATATTATTATCTAGACAAGCAAAGCACTGACTACGGAACAATAAATACCCTGGCTGACGCAGCACTGAATGGCCACAGAATTCTTTCATCATATACTTCTTATCTTACATTTACAACACTGTACCAGGGAACAATATATATTGCTAATAATTTAAGGCATTTTAAGATTAGGGAAAAAAACTTCAAGCCTCTTCACCCTTTACCAATTACCAAAAATGGTACAGTTATCTTACTTAAGTCGTAAAATAAATGATTGAAAATTAACTTTTTGCTTCATATAAATTTTCTCGATGTAAGATGAGAAAAAGATCATGAAAGAACCCCAACATGGGATCCCCAGACCGCCATCCGAAGTAAGGGTTTTTCTTACTTTGGACATTTTTAATTCGCAGTTCTTTTCAGAGTTTCCTTTTTTTATTTAGGATTTCATAAAATCTCCTTTAATATTATTGATTGATTGTGCTGGTGTTTACCGCTAGCAAACAAATCATAAAATAATCTAATAAACACAGATAATAATTTGGTAGATTTAGGATTTTCTGGAATACTTGTATATTTAGATAACAAACTAAAGCACCAGGCGTTGCCAATGTTCTTTAAATATAGTTTAATACTAGACAAACAAAAATTATGTGTATTAACGGTTTATCTAGCCAACGGACGGATAGAACAAAATCCGGATCCAGTAACTACTACATTAGTAACTACTGAACAATTTTCAATTTTTTTTCTTTCCTTTTTTTCGCTCATTTTTATACTGTTTACATTATGAACCTTTCAGAGATTAAGAATATTTAATAATTGAGTTGAGTTGGGATTTGTGTTTAAGAGCTATAAGTTAATATGGTTAATATGGTTATATCCTTACCTATTTTTCGTCCAGACCATTTACTTTTCTTTTTTTGCTCCTAAAGTGAAACTTAAAGGTTATATTGGGCTGGGAATTTATAATCTAGACCTTATATTAACATTTTTGGTTGGGAACATAGCAATTGGTTTGATTTAAATTAGGTATCACGAATTAAAAATTTCCATATAATAATCATGCCTTATGTACCTTCATAATTGATGTTCTTCCCCTATCTCTGCTGGGGTACTTGAAAACCAGGATACGCTGTGGTATCACTATACTAAATCAAAGAATTATTTGAAAAGACGATATCGAATTCGTCACTGAATTCCCATGTTTTTTGGGACACCCTGTACAAAAATACAAGATATTTTGTCGCTCCATGCTTTGCCCAATGCCCATGTATAACTTATATAGTAAGAAACAATTAAATTCTAAAATATTTAACTTCAAATTAAAGATTAATGATAAGCCTAAATCTAAAATTGTTATCAGCTTATCAAATAATTAATGCATGAAATTGACATACTTTATAGAAATAAGTTCAATTTAAAATCCCAACAAAAAAATATTATAATTTTTACTAAATTTCATGATAAAATAAAGTTAAAGATAAAAAGCCACATATACAACTCTTAATCTGATTCTAGACAGAAAATTTGCAAAAGGATCACTTCAGGCAAAGAGTTCAATTTAAAAGATTTCATTAAATTTATTCTTCCGTTCTTCAAGCTTCGCTCTACCAATTATAATTTCGCCAATGTTAATTAACATGTGTCTTGAAAAGTAACTAGACAAAATACTTTTACGATTTTTTAAATATTGGGTCTGTCCTAGAAAACGATTTTTGGACCCCCCCCCCCGCCCCCCCTTCTATCAATTTTGTACATTACCTTTAATTTTAAGTTATTTTGTATTATATAGGGTTAGGTTAGAATTAAGACATTTTATGGACATTGGACAGAGCGCTGCGGCTAGGACAGGCTAGGGGGCCGAGCGCTGCGGCGACGGTTTAGGTTAAGTTAAGACACTTTCTGGGCCGAACACTGCGGCTAGGACAGGCTAGAGGGCCGAGCGCTGCGGCCACATGTCTTATAATTGAGATCCATGGGGGGTCCAAAAATCGTTCTCTAGGAATATGCCTGAATATTGGCAATTTCCCAGAGATCGTTTATTGTTAGTTTTATTTCAGTATTAGGTTACCTTCAGATAGGACTATTTCAGGGCAGAGAGCAGTAGCAAGGACAAGCTAGGGGGTATGCATCCCCTAGGCGCACAGCCCGGCCCCCTAGCCTGTCACTCCTAATCACTGCGCTCGGTACTTAAGATGTGTTCTATGGCTGCAGCGCTCGGCCCAGAACTTGTCTTAACCTTGTCCAACCATAAAATAATAATAGTAATACAAAATAAATTTTCATTAATTTTATGTTGAAAAATAATTTTTAAGGACAGACCCATACAAATTGGACCATTTATTAGAAAATATAGTATTGGGGGGGTCCAAAAATCGCTCTCTAGGACAGATCCCAAAAATCGTGTACTAGGACGGACCCTGGCTGTTTTAGTAGCTAATACGCCCCCTGATTTATCCCGTTTTAAAATTCGAAAAACTTTACGTATACGTGTCGTGCTTTCAAATTTCACTTATTCCGTGTAGATAAATATCATTTACATTTCCGACAAACCTTCGGCTCACGGCTGTCGAATTAAAAATGACCTCTCTTGGTTTGGATTTCTTTGATATGGCGAAAGATTTACTAAATTTGTCTCTGATTCGTTAATTCTACAAAGGTGGGTTCGAGAGTGCTCAATACTACTCCGAACTAAACCTGCTCTCTTCCAAAAGGGGTTATAAACCAGAGAAAAGTTAGTTATAAACATATCTTTTTCTATGAGTCTAACGAACCGGGTTCAAGATAGGCCTAGTACCTCCTTTCTTGTGTGCGGCACTATGAGCTCTGACAAGCATGCACAAAAAAATTATATTCTTTACATAATTTAAAAAAAATATTAGTTTTAAATGTTATTTTTAAATTTCTGAAATATTTTTTAAATAAAAAATAGTTTAATATCCCTGCTAAGTTCGGTCTTTACAAAGTACACATGTAAGGGTCAAAATATACGAACATTTGTTTATTTTACGTAAATCAAACACATTTCGTCATTCTCCGTCATGCATTGATTAAGTTAAGTAGTGGAAGTTTTATAAGTTATGGGTTAAGATTCCCAAGACCAATTTTGCCTACAAAACATCCACAGGGCACAGCGAGGGGAGGTTTTTTTGGCAAAATTATTCTTGGTAACCCAATTAACAATTTTACAGTCAATAAGGATAAAATACGCGATTTTTTCACAGAGCGGGGATCGTTATTTTACCAAACATGGTCCCATGGGACGTTAAGTATATCTTAATGTCGACGTCTGTTGGTGATTTTGTGAAAATTATAACTTTTAACGCTGACTCATTTGTTGAAATTAAGTTACATTTTAATATTAAGAGTATGGTCATAATTGATTAAAATATACACATGTATGCGTCCCAATTATAATTTCTAATAGGTGCCAAATCTGCCAACCCTCTTCATATTTTCCTTACTCTGTAAAGTGTTCCTTTAGTTCAATCACTATCAAAAAAAATATTTTGGGTCTTTACTAGGAACAATTAATCGACCCTCCTTGACCCCTCTCCCCTCATTTTTTAATTTGGTGGGTTCGTACTTTACATCTTAGGACCCCCCCCCCGCTCTCCCCCGATTTGTACATTATCTCGATTTAATTTCTTTTTTGACATCAAAGTATTAAAATTTAGTTTTTATTATTTTGGAATAAGGATACTTTAAGACGATTTGCTGGGCCGAGCGCTGCAGCTCTGATAATAAACATGAATATTTTTTTCTTTATTTCACTATCTCTGAGGCAAGGAAGGGGGGGGGGTATTGGTAGGGTTAAATTAGAACAACGGTGAATATGTTGACGGATATCAGATCTTACATAGAGAATTAGGAGGACTAATATTAGACTTTTTAACGCTCTTCAGGGGACTACTCAGTACTACAAAGCGTGGTATACAGAATATACAGAGGACTACATAGTACATAGTCTTAAATTGGTGGGCGTTCCATGGGGAGGGGGGCGGGGATAAGCGGATAAGCGCCAGGACTTCTAGCCTATTGTTTAAAATTTAGTGTGTATTTTTATGTGATTAATTATAGAAATTATTAGTTTTTGGTTTGATTTTAAGTTCAGTATATATCTTTCTTGATCTCCATTAATGATTAAACTGTTAAGAGATTTTGAATTTTTATTATTGTAATCTGAACCTTTTACTTGTTTACTTGTTTACTTGTTTACTTGTTTACTTGTTTACTTGTTTACTTGTTTACTTGTTTACTTGTTTACTTGTTTACTTGTTTTCTTGTTTTCTTGTTTACTTGTTTAGTTTTTGTTCATTTAATTAATAATCATTTGGTTGAGGACGTGGCACTATAGAGGATTTAAGGTGGGCTGTTCAAATGTCTGAACCTTCAGACCTGGCAGGCATGGAGTTTAAAATAATGTTATTAACACAACTCGAAAAAAAAATGTTTACAATATTCCCAGGACATAGTTGCAAACAAAATTGAGGCTCAATTGATGACATGAAGTTGTTATACCCTTGATTAAGAATGAATTAGATATTATTTTCATAATTTTGAAAACTGATTTCTTAAATTGTTATTTCTCTAGAAAAGTCAATTGCGCATTTCTGCTGAGGAAAACATGCAGGGATTGTTAAAACCTTGAAAAATGGCATTATCTTCTACACTACTGTTCAGATGAAGGTTTCAAGAGAAATAAGTATTTGTTTGAATTCTGCTTTGAAGTCGAGATTTATTTTTATGATTATATTTTGAACTCCTTGAATATAGGATTTCTCTCTGGGTTTAGACATACCGCCCCGGCACTCACAGGTAGGCTATCTCATACATTTTATACACCCCCCCCCCCCTCCCCTCTTAAACTTAAGACTTGACGCTTTTTACCATTTTTTACGCTCCCGGCCCACTGCAAAAAAGTCTTCTTAATTCTTATATAAATATAATTTAGAATTGATAGTTCTTCAAAAATGCCACAAAAACATTTGATATTTTTACATTTTAAAATTTAGGGGTAAAATTGTTTACAAGTTTACAATTACATATTAGACCATTGTTTCACTCACTTGTTACTCATTTCATCAGTTAAAATTACTTTACAGTTATAAAGCTTATAAAACCATAGTTGACTTAATCATTCATCTAAACTCATTCCATTTTATTTTAGCAGTGCTTTAGTTTAAAGTAATCATCTTGCTGCATGATAAAGCACACAATAGTTTCATAAATAGTTATTTTAGATTTTTTTTCTGAAAAAAGTATAGTTCGCTATTAAATTTTATTTTACAGAAGATTTAACTATTTGTCAGAAAATATATCCTTGTTTGTTTGGTCAAAAATAAAATGTGGAGAATTGTTAAAGATCTGAAAGTATGTTTAGGAGACATTGTTGCAATGGAAAGGGTAGCTTGGGAGTTCTGTGAAGATATTGCCTCCAATGGCATTCTCTATGTAGAAGCAAGGTTATTGTTTTTGTAATTGTTATTTTTACGGTTTTTGTAATTGTTTTTGTTTTTGTTTTTGTAATTGTTTTTTTTTGTGATTGTTATTGTTTTTGTAATGGTAATTGTTTTTGTTATTGTTATTTGTTTTTTGTAATTGCTATTGTTATTGTTTTTTTTATTTGTTTTTGTAATTTTTATTGTTACTCTTATTGTTATTTGTTTTGTTGGTGTTAGTGTTGGTGTTGGTGTTGGTTTTGGTGTTAGTTTTGGTGTTGGTGTTATTATTATTATTATTTTTGTTATTATTTCCAGGTTTTGTCGCCATCTTTTAGTAAATCCTGCCAAGGAAATTATTATTATTATTTTTGTTATTATTTCCAGGTTTTGTCCCCATCTTTTAGTAAATCCTGACAAGGAAATTATTATTATTATTTTTGAAATTATTTCCAGGTTTTGTCCCCATCTTTTAGTAAATCCTGCCAAGGAAATTATTATTATTATTTTTGAAATAATTTCCAGGTTTTGTCCCCATCTTTTAGTAAATCCTGCCAAGGAAATTATTATTATTGTTTTTGAAATTATTTCCAGGTTTTGTCCCCATCTTTTAGTAAATCCTGCCAAGGAAGGAGAACCAACAGCGGATGATATTCTTGAGGCAACTCTAAGGTAATAGAATACCAGGATTGTTATGACAATTTAAAACTCTTAAGGAATTACAATTTAAATGTGAAATTTAGTCTAATAAAGTTTTTTGTTTCCACTTTCGTCGGGATTCACATTAGGTGTGCAGAGCAACTCCCATCCTTCTGGTAATGACCTTAGCTTTATTATCGGTTTGTAATGGCTGATATTCAAACTTTTAAAAAGTTTATATTATTTTGTGACAATTTTTAATTCTGCCCGCTGTAAATCATCCCTAGGGTCATGTGACTTACCACAAAATTTTTCCCCTGATCGGTTCAGCCGTTTTGTGAAGAAATAAAAGACAGGTATTTCTTGTAGAGGTTTTAGCCGAGGTGAGGCTGAGTTTGGGATCTGTATTCGAACCATCCTCTGCTGTATCCGAGGTAGGGGTGTATTTTTTCTGGAAAAATCATTTATCCCATTCCCCGCCCCCTCTTTTTGACAATATTTTTTATGGGGAAAATAAATAAAATGTTGGGTAAACAGTATCAAAAAGGTTAAAAAAAACTTTCCATTCAATGCCACATAATTTCTCCCAGATTTTACAGATTTATTCTTAAAAATATACAACATACAATACATCCCTGATCCTAGGTTTACCGGCAGCTGATGCTGATATACTCAGACAGTGTAACAAGTACAGAGATCAAGGAATGAAAATTTGTCTTCAAACTATTATGACGATCAGTTACTAAATAATTATGGGTTGGTGCAATTGTTATCATGAAGATGATTTACAGAATGAGCAGGGGTTGTTGGACTTGATATTGCTGGAGATGAAGCAGGTTGCAACAACGCAGCACTGCAAGAAATGTTCGATGAGGTAATTTTTATTTTTAAAAGTCAAAGAATAAATTATTATGACAGCTATTTATTTTCTAACTGCAATATTTTTTTTTAATTATTTGTAATTTATCTTTTTTACCTGACACTTTCTGAACCCAAATTCCATTTCAGAATGTAATCAACATTTACGACGAAGCCCGACGCTTAAATATCAAGCGAACAGTTCACGCTGGCGAGGTTGGCCCAGCTAAATGTGTAGATCAGGTAAAGAAACTTTCAAGAGCTGGACTTCTTAAAGGAACAGTTCACGTAATTTCAGGAGCTGGACGTTCTTAAAGGGACTTTTATGTAGTTTCAGGAGCTGGAAGTTCTTAAAGGGACTTTTTTACGTAATTTCAGAAGCTGGACGTTCTTAAAGGGACTGCTCACGTAATTTCAGGAGCTGGACGTTCTTAAAGGGACTTTTCACGTAACTTTAGGATATGGACGTTCTTAAAGGGACTGTTCACGTAATTTCAGTATCTGGACGTTCTTAAAGGGACTGTTCACGTATTTTCAGGACCTGGAAGCTCTTAAAGGGACTGTTCACGTAATTTCAGGATCTGGACGTTCTTAAAGGGACTTTTATGTAATTTCAGGAGCTGGAAGTTCTTAAACTTAAAGGGACTTTTTTACGTAATTTCAGGAGCTGGACGTTTTAAAAGGGACTGTTCACGTAATTTCAGGATCTGGACGTTCTTAAAGGGACTGTTCACGTAATTAAAGGGACTGTTCACGTAATTTCAGGTGACCCCAATTTAAAAGAGGGGCATGCCTGATTCACAACTTTACCGGTTAAACCTTAGTCTGATCAAGGATGATCGAAATAACGTTCATGATCTCCGACAAAATTGAATTATTTTTATTACAGTTCCTCTCCAAAAGTTAATTGCGGATTATGCTTCAGAAACAATGAAAAAATTGTCAGAATTCCACACGTTTTAATAAAGAAAACCAACGATGATTTCCTTAAATGAAAGTGTTAATGGTACCAGTGGGAATCAGAAATGCCACTTTTTAAATGGAGGTTTAGATGAAATTACTTTTATAGTTTAATGATATTTAATATTTGGCTAAAAAAATCTTATCCTTTTTGTTGCTGAAATGCCCTTTTTAAACTTCATTTTAGTTAGAATACAACCTTAAAACAATTTTCCTATTGTTATTGTTTTTCTAGCAAAACCTTACTTTTTGTTCTAGGCTTTGAACCTTCTGCATGCTATGAGAATAGGTCATGGTTACCGAGTTCTTGAAGATCAAACGCTCTATCAAAAATGCCTAAAGGTAAAAACTGTAAAAAAAAAGATTTAATGAACGTGAATGAGAAAAATTCACCAGTTGTATGCTTAATTATTAATTATTTATTAATTTATTAGTGTTGCAATGGAATCTACTAGTACTGAGATAACTCTACTCAGCAAAATATTTGCCAATAGTTCTACAGAAGAAACATTGCAGGAGTTGGAGACCGGTAAACATCAGGATAAGGAGGATATTGATTATTTTGAAGATCTAAATAATCTGGAAAATCTGGAGACCCTACGGAACCTACAGAATCTGGATGATTCAAATGATTTAGAAGATTTAGAAGATTTAGAAGATTTAGATGATTTAGAAGATTTAGAAGATTTAGAAGACTTGCCGATTAGACTTGATACTCTTCCAATTATTATCCTTCGACAAATATTCCAGGTATTGTTAGGAATTTTTTTATTTATTCCTTTTATTTCAAGTGTTTCCTAAATAGTGTCAATATATAGTATATACTGGTTATAGTATATCTGGTTTCAACATCAAAATATTATTTTCAATAGCAGATGTTGTCCCTCCCAGAGAATATCACTAGTCTTAAGTAATTTATGATTTGTTCTATTTGCACAATTATTCTTTAAAAAAAAAATTTATTCGCTTAAACGGGGAAATTAAACAGTTAATTATTAATTAATTATTCAATCTTAGAAATTTTATCTCACTAAGGAATCGAGTTTTTGCCAAAAACACTGACTAAGCTTTACCATTAAGGATTAATGATTTTTTTTCTTAAAGTTTCCGAGGTAATAATTGAATTATTTTTGGCTTGACTTGATTTTTTGAAAGTTCATTAAAGATGTTTAGAAGGTTAGATGCCAATGCTTAAAAACACAGTTTTGTTGCAGGATCGTGTTCATTTCGAGACTTGTCCCACTTCAAGCATTCTCACAGGAGCTCAGCCCACCGATATTTTCTACCACGCTACTGTCAGGTTAGAAAACAAGTTATTTAAAGTGACTGTAGACGCAATTTCAATTGACTAAATTGATTTACAAGGGTACCCTTCAGACCTTTTCTGAATGAAGATGAGAAAGTTGTTATTCTATTTTAAAACGTTTTGAATTCTGACAACTTCCTTTATTGTCTCTGTAGCACATACACGCTTATCAGTTTTTAAAGAACCCACGAATAATTCAGTTCTCAAGAGATAAAGAAGGCTTTTTCCCATATTGTTGATCAGACATGCTACTCTATAAATGAATGGTCACTTAAAACTTTACATCCCTATTCCCTAAGCAGTTCAATTCTGACATAAGAAAAAGCTCTTTTTCTGTCAAAGTGATAACCCCATTGGAACAGTTTGCCAAACTATATAAAGGAGTCTAAATTCTTAAACATGTTCCAGAAGAGTCATGATGAACAAGTTAGAAATTGTGATAAATTGTAATAAAAGTCCAGTTACAGAATCGCTTTTCTATTACCAAAAATGGTATCTAAGCGAAACCAAAACAATTTATTAATTTTTTTGTAATTGTTTGCCTTGAATCAGGTTTGCTGAGGACGGAGCAAACTTCAGTATAAACTCGGATGATCCCATGGTCACCGGAACATGGTTGGAGCAGGTCAGCTTATATCAATCAAACAATTAATAATGAATTAAATCAATTAATCAGTAAGTCAATCAAAACACAATAAATCAATCATCAATCAATCAATCAATCAGTCATTCACCCAAATTATTCAAAGCTATCTATCTATTAATTAATAAATCAAATTACCCAGAAACCTTGTCGTAACATAATTAATTTTTTAATTAATCAATTAATTAATTTAAAAATCGATCAATCAATCAATAAATCAATTAATCAATTAATCTAATAAATCAGTAAAATTAACCAAGCAACCAAGTAACCACCTAATTAATTTGTTAATTTATCAATCAATTAATTGAACAATCGATTAATATATGCATCAATTAATCAATAAATCTAATTAATCAGTCAAATTTACCAATTAACTCAGTAACCAAATGATTAATTTTTAAAATCAATCAATCAATCAATCAATCAATTGATTGAACAATGAATCAATCAATTAAGGAACACCTAATTAAACACCTATTAATAAATAAATCAAAGGATGAATAAATTTTTCAATATATCAACCAGCAAATGAATAACTGATAATAAATCCATAAATCCATATCCAAATATTACTCCGATACAATCAACCAACTACTTAGTACTCATCCTTTATAATCAAACTATAAAAACATGACCAACCAACCAAACATTTATCAACCAATCAATCAACATACCTATCGAACTTCCAACCAAATGTATGAATATAGTAATCAACAAAAACAATTAATCAATAATAACACAAACTTCTAAACGGCAAACTTATTAATCAAGAAACCAGCTGAATCAAGTTTGTTTTTCTATGACAAAAAAATATATAAGACAACTTTTTAGGAGTATGAATTGGTCCGATCCTGGGGATTAAATGAGACTCACATTGTCAGGAAAATATTATCATTATTATCAATGTTATTATCATCGGAATGTAAAAGAGTTTGGACATTATGGACGATCTATTTAGAAATGTATTCCTTAATCGTAATTTGAAGTAAAGTTAAATCCCAACTTTAAATCATTTAATTTACCATTATATTATAAAACTTGGGCAAAGAAGCAAAAAATAGCCAAAAGCTTGCGGATTAGAGTCGTATTTGTCTTTTCTTCTTAAAGATTCCAAAATTAAAATAAAAGATTTATTCATTCATTCATTCATATTTTTATTCAACTACAAAGCATGAGATATTACAAATAAGTTATCACAATTCACTATGCAGTTTGGACCCACCTAACCAGGCTTGGTTGTTTTGAGTGATTGGTCCGTCAGATATTACTAAGTTTAAATTTACAACAAGAAAGTTACTCTTTTCCACAGATGTCCTCTTTGCAGGGGGGAAAATATCACTGATATTTATCAAATTTCTGATAATGATGACTTTTTAGAGGAAATGTGAACGCCGTTAAATCATCTTTTCTTCCAGCTGACGAGAAGAAAGTGATTCTCAAGAAACTCTACAATGTTTACCATTTAGACATGGACTAGATAATGCCGCGTGGTTTTCATTCGGGCATTTCTCTTTTTTATTTTATTTTTAAATCTATGATATTTATTTGAAAATTATGATTATTTTGTCTGTAAATTATTTTTGACTGCTTGCTCAGAAGTTCTCTAGTATCATCCGGTGTGACATTGTGTACAATGTACATTGTACATGTTTAACTTTACTTTAACTTAACTTTGCCAAAGCCTTAAATCTTAAATCTTGCAAATAGTTCTAAACTCATGTTTTAAACTAATGTTTTAAACTCGTGTTTTAAACTCGTGTTTTAAACTCGTGTTTTAAACTCGTGTTTTAAACTCGTGTTTTAAACTTGTGTTTTAAGCTCATTTTTTAAACTCGTGTTTTCAGATAAAATGAAAACTCAGACTCCTGAAACAGATTTCATCCGACCAGGGAAATATTTCAAAAAAAAGCCCTTACAATTAGCAAAACCATGAATGGAATTTAAAACTGTTTGGTGACACACATTGTAAAAAGTTTTGTTTCCTATGGGCGTCTAAATTCATTGTTAGTAAGAATTTGCCTATTATAATTTATGCCAATATTGTATTGCTGTATAAGGTTTTGTCTCTAAATTTATAAGGTTAGAAATTTAATTTCAATTTCTTTTATTGAAATAATTTTGTTAAGATGTGTTGGAGCCAAAACAGAATTGGTTTAACTCTTGGTTTCCATATCTCAGGTAAAGTTATATTGTTTCAGGAAATATTAGAAATAATCAGATCAGGCAGCTATTGGAAATCCCTGGCTTCTTGATTTGATTTGATTTGACTTTCAGTTTAATCAGAAAAAAACTCAAATACTAAGTATCTAATCCCTTTATCGTTGCAACCTGTTGTGCGATGTAGTCATAGGGCCTCTCTAAAAGTCTGATCGATTGATTGATTGAGACTATGAATTCTGCCAGTTCTAATGGACAAAAGTTTGAAAAATAGTGGTAAAGAAAAATTATTTAGTTTCTTTTAAAGAGCTTCAAAATTATGATTCAAATTCCATGTGTGTAATTTCTAGTGACCCTCCATGCAAAGATTGCACTGTCCAAATAGATTATCAAGTACAATAGGTGGCAACAGAGAAATGAACCTATCATATATGATGTCACAAGTGTCAAATATGACAAGAAACATTTTCTCCCATTAGTGGACTTGTTTTCCACGATAAAATCAAAAAGCGAAAAATCAGAAAATAAAGAACTCAAAATTGCACTTATTTCAGCGTAAGAAACGCACTTTATTATCACTTTTATTAAAAAAAATTTTCGGACACATAAAACTGTTGACTCTTGTGTCGACGTAAGAATAAAGCTGTACCGAGAGTGTAACAAATTCTAAGTTGCCATCTATTGTACTTGATAATCTACTTGGCACTGACTGATTCTCAATGGTACCCTTTAAAGCTTTGTCTATCAATTAATAATTAAACGTTAATAATTTGAAAACTAATTATTTTCAGTTGTCGTTCCCATTCTCAAAAAGTAAACTGCGCATTTCTACAGCAAGAAAACATTAGAAATTATCAAAATAAAATACCTAAAAAAAGACGATTCTAAATTTTTTATCAGATAATGGTTTCAAGGGTAAGGTTGTAAAGTTTTGCATGAAGGTTTATTTGAAATTACTCTTAACAGTCCATCTAATCCGTAGATGGGTTCCATCCAGTCCTACACAGTTGAAGGAGGCTGAGGAGAACCTTGTCAATTACATTCAAACACCATCAGAGGGTGAGAACATGATTATCATTATTATTTTTGTCATTTTCATTGTTATTTTTTGGTTTGTGAGAACATAATTAGTTTTCTTCTGATAATCGTTATCATAGATACGACAAAGAGATATTTTAATACAAAATAATAAGCGAAATATTCAATCGTCAGTGTCAATGTCAGTGTCAGTATCAGTGTCAGTGTCAGTGTCAGTGTCAGTGTCAGTGTCAGTTTTATTATGAAATGTATATTAACTGCAGGTTTCTATGTGTATGTTGGGACAGTAAACGGTCATGATTGTAATATCTGGACTAGGAAGTTTAAGGGAAAAAGCAACAATAAGAAGGAACCCTTGGTTATGATGCATGGTATGGGAGCAGGTAAATATAATTATAATTGCAAATCATCACATTTTGATTTGTATGTTTGTCATAAATTGGAAAAGAATTGAAACTCTAACTCAAAATAAGGATGCCTCAAGCAATCTTTGTAAAATATGATTTGATATGATGTGCAGTGCGCTGTGTCTAGATGAATCTATGGAAGTTTTTTGCTGTAGAAGACAGTAATTTGACAAAAATTTGCCATGTTTTTAGCTAACTAGACATTTGTTTGCTTTAAGTTTGCCGTCTTTTTTGGTAATCAAACATTTTTTTTAAAGTTAGCAATGCTTATTGTTTATTAGACTTTTTTTTGCTTAAAGTAATGTGTTTATTGTTCATTAGACATATATTTGTTCAAAAAGTATAAAGTCATGTTTATTGTATATTAGACATTTATTGCTTAAATGTAGAAATTTTTACTGTTTATTACACATTTATTTGCTTAAATTTAGGCGTTTTGTTTACTGTTTAATACACATTTATTTGTTTAAATTTAGGAGTTTTGTTTAATGCTTATTACACATTTGTTTAAAGTTAGCCATGTTTATTGTGTATATTTAATAAGACATTTATTTGTTAAAGTTAGACGAAAGACTTGTTTATTGTTTATTAGACATTTTTTTTTTTTAACTTTGCCATGTTTATTGGTTTATTTGTTTAAAAGCTTGTTGACAATGTTTCAGCAGATAGAATTTCATTGAATGCTGGATTGTCCTTAAATAATAATAATAATAATAATAAAAATAATGATAATAACAATTTTATGTTAAGGTTTAGCAATGTTTGCCATGAACATTGACAATCTATGTGAGGATACTGATGTTTATGCAATTGACCTGCCGGGGTTTGGACGAAGTGCAAGACCAGATTTCAGGTTAAAATCTGCTTATTTACAATTACATTGATCACATGTATCTCTTTTTGAAAACTGATTATTTTCAATTAAGGTTTCAAAAGTGAGTTGCGCATTTCTAATGCAGAAATATACTGGGGTAATTATTAGAATTAAAAATACTTCAAGCTAGAAAAACGATAGTATCGCCCATATTACTGATCAGATAAAGTATTTTGGGAGATATGGAAAACAGGGAGAAAATTCCAAGTTTGCTCACCACTAGTAAATTCCTGTATCCGCCCCTGCTTAATGCTTATCAGGGTTTCAAATTTACAAATAAATTAATTTTAAATATTGGGTTTCAAGCTTCATCGGGCAACTGTGTTTAGCTATTTTTGATACTTCTTTCTAAAAAATTTATTAAATTTGTTAAAAACTTTTATAAGATAAATGAGAAAAATGAGTTAAACAAGAAAACACCAGGGGGGTCGTGCATTGTGCAGTCGTAACAAAATTATGCCAATTGACTGATTTTTAGTTCGGACCCTGTTGAAGCAGAAAAACAGTATATAACTTGTATAGAGGCATGGAGACAGAATCTTAACCTGGGCAAAATAAATCTATTAGGGCACAGGTAAGCTTAAACAGTGGGAGATAAATAAATTTAATAAATGTGTCTTAGTGTTCTTACTTTTACTTCAGAAATGCTGCTAAGTGCTTAGTAATTTGCAATGTTGCAACAAATATATTTCTATAAATGCTCCTGGTAGCTTTTAGAAGTTGTTCAGTTGTATTTACTAGTTCTGAAGTAATAAACCAACTCTTAACAATGAATAAATTATGAATTTTATTCATTCTCAGCTTTGGTGGCTATTTGACTGCAAGCTATGCTCTGACCCATCCAGAGAACCTGGAGAAGGCAATATTGGCAGATCCCTGGGGGATGAAGGAACGACCAACAGATATAGTACAAGTAAGGTTGTTAGAGCTTGCTGTGCTTCTTTAGGTCACATCTCATTATCCTTTGGGGTGCCTGGCGGGTTGGGTTATTCGTTTTTGTCCAACTTTGATATCAAATGAGGCTCTTCATTATAAATAAAAATAAATATCTAAGGGTACATACATATGTATGTTCATAAAAAAAAAAAAAAATTGAGGATAAATCATAAAATATTTACCCCATAAGTCTCATTGTTAGAAATAATTAAAATTACAACTGAAAAACTGAAATGAAATAAAATACTTGTGTTTTAGAGATATAATATTCCAATTTGGGTCCGAGCAGTCTTCAGTGTGGTCAAGCATTTTAATCCACTGGCAGGATTCAGGTATTTTGATTATTCATGATTTTTGATATTTTTTCAGCATTTCAATTTTCCGAAATTCCCAAAATTATCATTTTATTAAGGGGGGGGGGGGAGATTTAAACAAAAAAATACCCTTGGTTTTTTCAGGATCTCTGGCCCAGCAGGCCCCGGACTTGTTAAACGGATCAGACCTGATTTAATGAATAAGTACAAAGGATTGATTGAGGAAGAGAAGTTACATGTTGTTTCAGAATATCTTTTCCATTGTAATGCTCACAAACCCAGTGGAGAGTCTGCATTTCACAGGCAGGGTTAATTCATATTCCTTATTTTTATTATTATTATTATTATTATTATTAATTATTATTATTATTATTATTATTATGTCATATAGCGTTTACCCCAAAGAATGGTTATGCACTATGCCTTTCAGTGATTTACTGCTAAGCCATGGTAATGTGTATACCAGATTGTTAGAACAAGCCAAAGGTGGTGGTATAAACCACGTAGAGATAATCACTTAGTGTACACATTTTCTAGTTGAGGAAACAATTTTGAGAAAACAAATTTTTGTCTTTTCATCACTATGTTTGAAAGTGTTCGGTTACAAATATTTTGTTGTGAATTTAAATAGTTATTGTGAACTATTTATTGGTTCAATGAGAGCTATTGTTAACATTGGTCATTTTTAAAAACTTACTATTTAACTATCATTCATTATGAAGGATTATTCTCACAGCGATCCCAGTCTTGTGTGAAATGAGAGGCTTAAATTAGAAAGAAAACGTTTTTAGAGGAACACAATTTTTGAAGAACAAAAAATGTAAATGTTGGAACTGCAATTGGCGAAAAAAGTAATCCCCCACATTAATGATTTGATTTGATTTAAGACAGTTTGAGTATGTGTATTTCAGTAGAATTCAATAATACCTCAAGAAATACTGCAATTAATTAAAAAGTGAAAGTAAAAGTAAAGTAAACAATTATTTATTTATGAAATATAACAAAAACACACAAAATTGAGTTTTTCAGGAGAAAATATTTAAAAACCTTTTAAAGTAGAGGTTGTGGAAATATTTCCCCCGATTCTAAAAAATATAAAAATACAAATTGAAAAGGAAAGGAAAGGATAAGGAAAGTTACATATTTATTCTTAAATATAACAAACAAAAATGATATATCTCTTTATTTATTTAAATATAATTTCTAGTATGATGAAGGAAATGGCTTGGGCCCGAAGTCCAATGCTACCTAGACTCAAGGACCGAGATCACAAAGGTACATACATGTTTTTATAAACTGCTTAAAAGGTTTTTTTACAATCTCTATAATTTGTATTTTGTGTTGATGTTTTTGGATTCAATGCACAACAAGAACGCCAAGATGTTTTTAGGACCTCTAGCAAAGTTTATGTTTAAAAAAACTATTTATTTTAGGTCTTAAAAATTTCTCAAATAAAAGTTGTAGCAGATAAAATAACAATTGGATGCTAAGCAATCTCAAAATTGTCAAGAAAATTGAAGTGTGAGAAATTATTTTTAAATAAAAACACTTTCTTATAATTTTTTGACTTGGAACTTTGGCCCATGACCAGGAACTATGAAGTCAGCAATAGATAGGATTTTCTCTCTGTTCATTTTCTGGGCCGCCTCATTTTCCGAACCTAAAATCGTCAATTTTAAATAAATCTCATGATTAAAAATTAAAAAATTTATAGAAATATTGACCTGCATCTTTCCAAATTTTATCATCTGTCAGATCCTCTTGTTTCTCAAACAGATCTCCAGCTATAACCACAACACCATCTGTAAAGTATTTTCAAGTGTTACCGACCAAATTATTTCTTAACTTCCTCTGTAACAGAGGCTCATATTTTCCCTTTTCTCCCCCCCCCCCCCTCTTGAGAATCATTTTTAAGGGCAGCTTGATATCCTGTTTTGTACGTCGACTGGTTAAATCATCATTATTGCTATCAGGAGGTTTTTATTGCTAAACTTTTAGGGAAAATCTATTCAAATATGAAAAAGCTTGCAAATTGATAAAACAAATATTTCCCCTAAAAAAGGGGTTTTTTTTTGTAAGACTTTCCCCTCCCCCCAACCCCCACCTTCCAGCATGAAATGTCTACCTTTTGTTAGAACTTTGAGACTGACGCTATCATTAGTATGGCCAGGTGTAGGAATTACCACTAGATCCTCTCCATCTAGTTCCAGAGGTTCTCCACATTCGAAAGGATGTATGAAGTACTCATCCTTCTTGTGAACTTAAAAAGATAATCGAGGATATCTGAACTGTAAGGGATTGAATTGTTATTTCATGTGACCCTCCTTTTAATGTTCTGCAATATGAGAACTCTCATTTGATCTCATTAAACATGCCTTTTGGGTTTATGCAGAAGAGAAGAGAAAGGAAATAATCAAATTTTATCTTTTTGCAAAATAGAAAATGAACATCATCCTCCTTATTGATGTTTAAATGAAGGTTTAATTAAGGATGTAACTACAGGGTAACTTGACATTACATAAATCATCTTTATATACAAATTAACAAAATTATTTTTCTACCTGAGAATCCTACAATATGCTGAACTGCAGCTGTGAATAGATTATTGTTCCCAACATGATCAGGGTGCCCATGAGTACAAACTTAAAAAAAAAACATATTTCATAGAAAAGTTTTTAGCAAAACATTATTCAATAGTAACAGTTCAAGATTATTAAACTTAACCTTTATTTATTTTCTGAAAAATCTTCACTGTTTGTTTTATTTTTGATTTGAAGAAGTTTTTTTACATATTTATTTTTAAATTTTGAATTTTTAACAATATTCTTTAAATATTTATATGACTGCAGATGCAAATATTTTGACATTTTTATATTCCTTGTTCTACCTTTTCTTCTTGTCCGTACATCAATCATATTTAGGCTAATTTTGAAAAAAAAAATTTTAGACATCCTCGCATTTTGCCAAAACTGCCAGTTTTGGAATTACATGTAAGTTAAGGTGCCTTTCTCATTTTGCACAAGATGATTGGATGATTTGCAACATAATTTGAGTTGGGCTGATTTGCTTTCCTTTCCTCTGAACTCTGTATTGTTTGCACATATGTTATATGACTGAGCACCTCACTTTCTTAAACATTTTACTTAGGATAAAATGAATAGAGGGGGTTGGAACATCTCCTAGCCACTTCTCTAATGTTGTCTCCTTTCGTCATTAGAAAAATTGATAGTGTATAGGTCAACATTAGAGATTTCCCTTACAATTTTTCCTGTTCAATTTTCTTTTTTCTTGTTTATTGTTTCTACGTTTTGAGGCCTCTCCAAATAGTTCTTGTAACATTGAGTTACGGAGCATGTAGGAGAGAGATAAGAAGGTTTGGAGAAGGAAGGGTATGAGGGATTGCTCCCTGTTTACCTCATTGTTAAAGTCTTTCTGACTAAGCAAAATTAAGGAACCCATAGCTGAACCGCTAATGCAAAATGGGGAGTTGTAAGCCTTAAAGCCCCATCAGGTGAAATCTTCCACAGTAGACCAGTCAACACATCCCGCCAATAAAAAATCAGGATCATTGAACATGGCTTACATACCCAACAGGGTTTTCAGCTGAGACAAGCTGAGGATGGATGTCCTTTTTTATTTAACTCCTATCTTTCACTCACTACTTCCCTGTATGATATGTTATGAGCAACTCAACGCAGCACTGGTTATGAGACACTATGAGAGATCCTCTTCCTGGTGCAAGCAGTAATCAACTGTGATTTGAAGAAGCAAATTAAAATTTCTGTTGAAAAAAAAAGGATTAATGATTCTTTTAAATATTATTTGAAATAAAAAGTTTAGAAATTTACCTAAGTGAGTTATGTCCTCTGGTGACATATTGAACTGTTTCAGACCTTCAATAATCTTCTCCTTATCCCAAGGCGACATTGTGTCAACAACAACCTGATGGAAAATAGATCAAATTTGAATTTAAATTGATTGCTTCTTCTAAAACTTTTTCTCATTTCCATAATTCAAGACTAAAAAGTGAAAACTTAAAATTTTGCAAATTCTGATATCCTAACTAATTGGTGATTTAACACCTTAAAACCCTAGGAGAAGTATTTTAATCCTGACGGCTGTTTCTAAGACTATGTAAGGTCCTATACCAGCTACTTGATGTTTGGTATTTTTGGACAAAATTAAAAAAAAAAAAATTTAGAAAAATGAACTCATATCTATTAGTCTATGTGCTTGATAATTTGTTACGCAACAGCTCTACCTTGAATTTTCCTCCTGTAACTAATGAACAAGATCCATTAGCTGTCATAATACCATCCTCTCTTAGCTTGGAATATCCCTCAGCCAAAACATGTACTTCGTACATTCTATCTGAAATAATCTAGATAATCATTCATTACATCAGGATTTACAATTTTTGTCCTAGCTTGCACCTTAATTTTTGCTTTGTGATGCACTGCCCACTGAAGGCCAGGGCCTTGGGTTTCCACAGTCACCTAAGGTCGGTCTTAGGGTTCTGCATGTGGGTGGGACCTTTCTTGGATCTTATATTTTTTATCTAATTTTTCTAGTTCCATTAACGGTGATGTTTGGGGCAAACTCCTGGATTACTTCTATTCCTCAAGAAGAGTTTCAGGTTTGACATTAAAGGTTTTAAATACTCTTTTGAACATTGTAATTTGCAAATTTAAATCAATTTTGTTTAATAATCCTTTCTTCTGAAGTTTCACATCTTTGATCCTAATTTCTTGCATATATTTTAACTGGCAATGTAGGCTATCTGGGACTAGTATAGTGACTAGTATAGTTTAACCACACAGACTAAGAATTTAACTTATTGCCATTTCATTTGTCCTAGAATGTGTGATAAATGAAACTATTTTGCGAATCAGAATTGCTCAGTAATTCTGCCCCAGAGCATCCTTCTACAGTAGTGTGGTGGGAGCAAAGGGGTGTCAAAGCTAAAAAGTGCTAGCCCCTTAAAGCGGATAGGGCTCTCCAGTGCTTAGGATCCATTTAATTTTGATGCGAATCCGGATCCAGATCCTATATCCGCACTGGAAAAAAATGGATCCAGATCCTGATTTCTTCAAGATTTACTGAATTTTTTAACAAAAAATAATTTTCAAATTTTTTTTTACATATTTTTATCCCAAAACTTTATGAATCATGAGATTTTTAAAATCTCTCGTTTTTTCAAAAGTTCAGATTTTGGTTTTAGGAGTAAAAAAGTTTTTTTGCAGTTCCTGGATCCAGATCCGGATCCAGGAAGCTAAAATCTTGCGGATCCACCGGATCCGGATCCCAAAAAGGGAGAGTTTTCAGAATATTCCCTTATCTTATCTTATTATTTAGGAGTCTAGTGTTGAGAATGTTGAAGTACACCTCATCTCCAATGCTGGTCATCATATATATGCTGATCAGCATGAGCAGTTTAATCAAATCCTGAGAAATACGCTTATGAAGAGAAAATAGTTCCAATATGTCTTTTCATTATACAATTCTAAAAATCTTTAAAAGCATTTTAAGAAGTGTGATCAAAAAAACAGAAGTAACATATTTTTCAACAAAATCATTGCATGATCAGGATTATTGTATCCATTATCCTCCATGCATATAATCGTATCATCTGTGCGCATATTCAAGATCCATACAGATTGTATCAACATGATTAATGTATCATCTACATTAATTAACTTAACCCTTATCTATTATCACTGTAATATATGTGCAGTTTGTACATTTTTCACTATGCATATAATCGTATCATATGCACATATCCAAAATCCATGTAGATTGTATCAACAAAGTTAATGTATCATCTAAATACCATATCCATTATCTGTTATCATCTTGTCATCTTCAAACCAACTATAGATAATATCATAAGAATTACCAAATAACTTATCAATTACCATATCAATCTTTTATCATTTTATCAGTTCGCAATTATTCAAAATTCATATATATTATATTAATTGAATTACCAAATTCCTCTTTCTTATCAATTACCATATCCATTTTCTGTTATCACAATATCATCTGCAAACCATCCAAAATCCATATTGATCGTATCAACAAAATTACCTTCTTACCCTTTATCCACTTCAATTGCTATTTCTACTTTTCATATTTTTCAATAGAAGAAGTGATCAAATGCTAATCCATTTTATGGTATTACATTATTCATATCACAGCACTAAAATTCATTTTGATGAGGTTAATTGCAATTGTTTCCATTCATGATATTTTTAAAATTTGTCTCTTGTTTTGAGTTATAGTAAGTTCTCTTATTGAAGCAACAAATTCTTAAAGACCATTTCGAATGTTAATCGTGACCATGTTTTTAAAAATTAGCCACTTTAGTAGAATTAATTGTCATTTCATAATAAGAAGAATAGTTCTGGAAAAATATATAAATTATAATATGTATTATTTGATGGTAAGATGAATTCAAAAAGCATTATAACCCCTAGAAATGTGATTAACTATGTACACCAGTGAGAAATTATATTTACAGTGTAATAATATATTTTTCCATCCTTCTGTAATGTGTAATGACCACTTTTAAATGAAAAATGAAAAAACTTCCCCTCTAGATAATATTGGTTTGTATTATTGTCAGACGTTTTTTTTTCATCCTTCGCAATGAAATCTTTTTAATGAAAAATCCACTGGATAATTCTGTTATTTATTGCTAGAATTTTTTTGAAACAAAATGCATATTTTTAAGTTAAGAACTTTTAGTTTGTATGATAATAAATTGTAACAAGAAAATGAGAAATCTACTTGAAGGATTCTAATCACCATTTTCATGTTCATATATTTTATTTTAAACTCTGGAAAGTTAAAATCTCTCATGTATCACGTATCCTGGGATAAAATAATTGTGTATGATTATTTGGGGATTATGGTTTAAAAATATGCTAAATTCTAATATTTAATAAATTCCAATAATTATTAAACCTTAAATATTTTTTTGTTTAAGAACATCTTAGGTAGTCAAAATTTATAATTTATATTTAGATTAAGTTGATATTAATAGTTATAAATACAACTAATCTAATATTAAAAATGAAAATTTGTGATTCAAATTTTTTTTTAAATCTAGTTAAACATATAAAAATTTACAATATTTTAATTAAATAAATTTTCAGACCAGAGAATGGAAAATGAACTATAAAGCTGGGACCTGGAAAAAGGTGATACTTACCAGAATGAAATCTTTTGTAAATATTAATCCAAAAAAGTTTTTCTTAGTTAAAACAAGATATCAGTGTTTTTTTTTGTCTGGGAAAGAGAAAAATTCAGTTAATTTTCCTCCTTATGACTGCTACATAGATCTGCTTGAACTAAATGGCAAAGCGTTTAAGATATAAAAAAGAGATCAAGATTTTTAGGAGGTTAGAGGTTTATCTTTTAGATATATTAATGTACAGGGTGTCCCACGAAACATGACAATAGGAAGACGACTTGAAAGTCGTCTTTGGTATTTGAATTTATTTGTGACATTTAGTCTTCTATCTACAACAATTATCACATAATTCTCCTAGCCCTGGTATTTCCAAAAAGTGGTCTGCGTTTTTTGTGCTTTCAATATTACCTGAGATATAAAGAGTTTGGTTCAGATTTCAATTTTGTTAAATAAAAGCAAAATTGTCGAAATCTGAACGAAATTCTTCATATCTCTGGCAATATTGAAAGCACAAAAAAGGCAGACCACATTTTGGAAATGGCAGGACAAAGGAAATTTTGTGATAATTATCTCTAAAAATTTACTTCTAAAATTAGGTTGACAAATAAACGCAGCAAATTATATCAAAAATCAAGACGACATTCAAGTCGTCCTGCTTACTGTCATGTATCGTAGGGACACCCTGTATATTATTATATTATTATTTTACCAATCCCCCCAGCAGCGGGGTGTTAAATTACTTGTATGCCCCTTCCTTGGGACAATTGGTTCAAATTTCATCCCAGTTTTAGAAGTTTTAGTAAAAATTAATGCATTTTGATCTCAGTAGACGACAAAATTGTGTACATTATCTACGTATTCAAGAATAAAAAATTTGATTTGAAATTTCCCTTTACTTCCCTGTAAAGCATTTATAATGAATATGTGAGAATAATTATAAATGCCCAATAGTAAATAATTTTTGATCCAGATTGCACCTGTTGGAATTATACTCGTTCTCTCTTCAATATTCCATATATTTCCTTATTTTTTCAAGAAACCTCAACTCCAAGAAAAGCCTCAAACTTTAAGGGAAACAAGGACACATCTAAAATTTAGATTTAAGGTCAACATTTTTATATGTTAAACATTTTTTGGAATTGACAACAACAAACTAAATTTAGTTATTGTTTTTTGGAAAAACAGTAACATTTTTTGATAACATGGTTGAAAAGGGGCTGGATCCGAGGCCCACATAGTCTGAGTTATTACAATATTTATTGAAATCAATACTCCATTGTTTTTTATCTGAATGTTAAATACAGGGGCGTATTCAGGAATTTGTCCAGGGGGGGGCTTAAATTTTTTTCTCTTTCCAGAGGGGGCTCAGCAACCGTTGGGGCCTGAAAACCCCCTGAAATCAATAGATTTCACTGGTTCAGGGGGAGCCCCCCTCTGAATACGCCTCTGGTTAAATGTCATCCTAGTTTGACTATTAGTGATCTCATGAAAGAGAAGGAGAAGAAGGAAAACTGATGATTAGTTGATTGATTGATCGATAACACCAGACCAAAGATATAAAATACATACCAGCATGATTTCTTCATTAAGAAAGACTGTGTCATTAGGCAAAAGGTCAGTGATAGATGCATTTTGATTTTTTATCTTTTGTAAATTTCAAATCAGTTTTTATACAATTATCTATTGTATTGTAGAACTTTTTTGAATTGATTTGTTTGTTTATCTTCACATTGTTGTCTTGTTCAATAAAGTTTCTGAAAATAAGTTTTTAATTTTTTTTCAATTTGGCAAAAAAATGGTTTTCATATTTCACTAATTGAAGATAACATATTAATATTATAATGTAACTAGCGTTTATAACTAACTTTGTTCGTTTTCTAGAACAATTAAAGGTTTTTAACTAATTAAAGACACCACATAAAAGTTGCTTTTATTTGACTATGCAATATTCATCCTTAGAGAAAATACAAGGGAAAAGGAACAAAAAAACGATAGTTTTTGGTTCTTTTTTTATTCGGTTTTTTTGCATATTATCTTCGCTCAGGGTCAAAATTTTGCATAATGTAAGGAATACAAATGTTAAAAGTTAGCAATTTTAAATTAAAACTAATCAGACCTCTGAAAAGAGCAAAAACTTTTAAAGTAATAAATGACTGCCCATCATTAAATGGAACATGTTGACTGTTCAGTATGAGGCTGGGGGACTGGAGAAGAATGAACAGTTCAACTGTTAAATATGAGGTGGTTCTCAAGGAAGAGTTGATTCAGGTAAATAATCTAATCTGGAACTTTATAAATAAACGGATATGATTAAACTGGTTCAACTACTTATGATAAGTTGTTCAGCAATCTTATTGGTTTAAACAAAACTTCCAAATAGTTTATAATTTCCAAAATAAATTGAATAGGTATCAATTATTCAGGTTAAAACTATAAGTTTTAGCTGGAGAATAATATCCAACCGAAAAATTTGCAGCCCTAAAGTTTTGAACTTTTACTAATTATCTCATTTTACCCTAGATTAATCACTAACAATGGTTTGATTAACTAATCCGGTTTTGTTCTGTCTCTCATAATAGAAACATTCATTTTTAAATGTTCAAATTGCAATGGCAAGTGACAACCTAAGGAAAACTGTGTTCTTTGTCAAAATATTAACCTGTCATTTAATGCATTTTTTATTCAGGATAAAACAGAGAATATTCTAGACCAAATATTTTTGAAAGCAGCTTCAGAACTACAAAACAAGGTTTGGTTTTTTGGTTAACAAAGTATAATTTCTCGTGTTTTTGGCTTTTGAAACTCAATCCCACAGCAACTGTAATGCGATGTTTAAACGCAGAAACCCTAAATCTTAAAAAAATAACAATTATTGTTTAAGTACAGGGTGTCCCATGAAACATGACTGTTGGTGAATAATTTAAAAAGTTTTCTTCCATAATTAATTAAGTTGTTTAACACCAAAAAGAATTACAAGAATATTTAATGGGAGTCATGTTATGGTAAAATTGATTTCAAAGTAAAATATATTTAAGTAAAAGATTTTATTAAACGAAAAAGAATGCAAATATCTATTACAGTATAGGGAAGAAGAAATTCCGAATTATTTACTAACTGTCATGTTTCGTGGGACACCCTGTAAATCAGTGCTTAGGATCCATTCAATTTTGATGCGGATCCGGATCCGCTCTGGAAAAAATGGATCCGGATCTAAATCCGGATCCCGATCCCGATCCAGGTCATTTCTATAAGGTTTACTGAATTTATTTAACAAAAAAAAATTTCAAATTTTTGGTTTTATTTTTTTCGCTTATTTTTATCCTAAAACTTGATGAACCATTCAGAAATGAGGAAATTTTTATAATCTCTTTTTTGAAAAGTTCAGATTTGGGGATTTGGAGTCAAAAAGATTTTTTCAGTTTTTGGTTGATATTTTACCCCTTGGATCCGGATCCGTGGATCCGCATATTTTTGCGGATCCGGATCCAGGAAGCTAAAATCTTGCGGATCCAACGGATCCGGATCTGGATCCTAAGCACTGCTGTAAATGATTTCTTTTATAATCAACCCTGATAATTCTTGGTAGCTGTTTTAGAAATTATATACCCCTTAAAATAATAGCATAATTTTTGAGGATCTGGGGGGAAAAATGTAAAATTAGACATCAAAATGTTTCTCCATTTAAGCGAATACAACCTTTTAAAAAGTTTACAAACATTAATTCTGGGGGGGGAATGTTTTTTTGAGAAAATATACACCCCTGACATAATTTTAACAAAATACATTTATAGGATGAAATAGATTGGGAAAGTTCAATGGATATAATTAAAAGAACAGAACAGGTTCTTCCTGAAACTAAACAAACTGAAGAAGATTTGGTGAAAATAAGGTAAAAAACAAATTGTTAAAAGTCCTTCTACCCAAAGCTCCTCATTTTATTAAGTGTTTTTAGAGTATTTTTTCCTTTATTTGACATTCAAGAAATTTTTCTTGAAAATAAAACCTAGAAATACTTGACCGAAGCTCATGTTTATTTTATTAAGTTTTGACGATTTTTTTTTTTTTTGGAAAAGTCAAATCTTAAAAGGAGTTATTTTCTAATCCTTTTATCATGTAGTATTATCAATGGTGAGTAGGATCCAGATCCGTTTGATCCACAAGATTTTGGCTACCTGGATCCGGATCCGCAAAAATATGCGAATCCACGGATCCAGATTTAATATCAAGCAAAAACCAAAACAGAAAAAAATTACTTTAAAACCAAAATTTTAACTGTTGAAAAAAGAGAGATTATAAAAATTTCCTGATTTCTGAATGTTTCGTCAAGTTTAAGCATAAAGATGAACGAAAAAAATGAGACAAAAAATTTGAAAATTCTGCTTATTTAAAAAAATTCAGTAAATTTTAAAGAAAAACCTGGATCCGTATCCATTTTTCCAGTGCGGATCCAGAATCTGGATCCGTATCTGCATCAAAATCTATAATGGACCCTAGGCCATGGAAACTTAAAGGGACTGTAAGTGTAAATTCAAGTGACCCTCAATGCAAAGATGACAATGCCTAATTCACATTCACAATGGTACCACAATGGTACCCTGAGATGCTTTGTCAGCGCAAGAATGAATTGGATATATGATTATTCAATTTTGGTTTCAATACAAAAGTTACGTGCGAATTTCAGTGTAGCAAAAAAATCTAGAAATAATTTGAATTACACACTTGCAAACAATGCTTAGGATCCAGATCCGGATGCGTTGGAGGGATCCGCAAGATTTTGGCTTTTTGGATCCGGATCCATAAAAATATTTGTATCCGTAAAAATATTCAGATCCACGGACCCGGATTCAAGGGGCAAAATATCAACAAAACACTGTAAAAAAAGTTACTTTCAAACCCCAAATCTGAAATAGAGATTATAAAAATTTCATGATTTCTGAATGGTTCATCAAGTTTTAGAATAAAAATAAGGGAACAAAATAAGACAAAAAACTTGAAAATTCTGCTTTGTTAAAAAAATTAAGTAAATTTTATGGAATGGAATTAACCTGGATCTGGATCAGGATCCATTTCTTTCCAGTGCTGATCCAGGATCTGGATCCAGATACGCATCAAAATTAAATGGATCCAAAGCACCTAGAAAAGGATTAGATTTTTGAATAGATAAAGGTTGATAGATACTGTTGTTAATTGGGCGCTGTCATCTAATCATCTTTGCATGGAGGGTCACTTGAAATTAGGGTTTCCAGCAAAAAGTTAAAATTGCTTTGCGAAAATTTCACATTTTTGCACACAAAAAATGTAATAAGAAATGCGCAAGTTTCGCGAAAAAATGCAAAAATGCGAGAAAAAGTTTACTTAATTCAAACAAAAATTTTCGCATGAAATTACGGCTACAGTCCCTTTAAATTCCTCTTTTACCGATTTTCTAATCATGATCACTCTCTCTTTAATCCTAGGGCTTCCCGGCCAATAGCCTCCTTAGCCTCTATAGTCAATGAATCAGCAACACTGCAGCGTCTGGTAGATCTAGGAGTTAACCTCCACAAGTGGGAGGTCAGAGGTCACATGGGAATGGCCGTTAAACTTGATTTCACAGAACACGTGGCTCCTAAAATACGTTTTTTAGCAGACCTTGGAGTTCACCATCATAAGGTAATAAATGAATATGATAAACAAAATTTTTTTTTATCTAAAAATCAAGTAATGTTTTCTTAAGGGCCGTTACTTCACTTTTGTTTTAGATTGGAATTGTGTTGTCAAGCTGTCCAGAAATTCTGGAAACCCCTAAAGAGGAAAAAACGGATCTGTAGACTATTGTAAAAAAAACTGTTGTCATATTAAGAGACTTTCGACGCAATTTCAAGTGACCTTTAATTGGCTAAGAGTTATATACCTGTCAACATATTGGGGAAAAAATTATTTTTTGGGGGGGGGAATTATTTTTCAAAAAAATAGATACTTAGCTTGGGAGGGGGGAGGAATACAATAAATTATTTTCTCTTTTACTAATTTTTATTAATTTATCAAAAATAATCCATTCTGGTGGTCTCAAGGATCTTGTGGCTCGGGTTGCATATCTGGCGTCCAAGAAGTTTTCCAAAACAGATATTGCAGTTTTAATTGCGAATTGCCCTACCTGGCTTAAATTCTCAGGTAAAAACCTTGTAAAAAATAAGCTTTTTATACTTTTTTTGCGTTAATTATATTACAGAAAACTCTTGAGAAATCTCAACGAAAGTTTCTAAAATATCCTGTAGCCAATTGTTATTGGAGGTTTGAACTCATGAAACGAAAGAGATTTAGTTGACCCAGTCTCGTCTATGCAAATGTTTTAGTTCATAGTATCCAGTCACGTCTATGCAAATGTGTTAGTGCATGTTATCCTGTCACGTCTATGTATTAAAATAATATTGTGATTTATTTCCTCATGTTTTATGTATATTTATAGTTTGTAAGATTTGAAAGTTTATGCACACTGCACAGTGCGCAGGTAGAAATGCACAGATAGTTAGGCCAGTAGGAGTTAAAAAGTTAGAATGGAAACATCAGGCATTTTATTTGGATTTAAAGAAAAGTCAATCAAAAGTAAACATTCAAAGAAAATTGATTTATCAAATTTGTTTATTTGTTTATCCAAAATGAATGTGAATTTAGGACTGAAGAGAATGGATAGGAAAGAATAAAAAGATAGAATTTGTCCAACTGATGTAAGTAAATTTCTAAAAAATAATAAGAAGATAATAGTTTATTTCAAAATATATATTGAATATAGATTATCCTTAACAAATGTATGTATATATGATAATTTCGTAAATATTGTTTTTTTTCAGTTGAACTTCATGAATAAGAAAATAAAGAAGAAATTAAAGAAGAATAAATATTTCTTATGAATAGTTCTAAATCATTCAAATTAAAAGAAGAAACCCTATTCCATTACAGTCTAAGCAAATGTTTTAGTGCATAGTATCCAGTCACGTCTATGCAAATTTTTTAGTGCATAGTATCCAGTCACGTCTATGCAAATGTTTTAGTGTATAGTATCCAGTCTTGTCTATGCAAATGTTTTAGTGCATGGTATCCAGTCACGCCTATGCAAATATTTTAGTGCATAGTATCCAGTCACGTCTATGCAAATGTTTTAGTGCATAGTATCCAGTCACGTCTATGAAAATGTTTTAGTGCATAGTATCCAGTGTCTATGCAAATGTTTTAGTGCATGGTATCCAGTCACGCCTATGCAAATATTTTAGTGCATAGTATCCAGTCACGTCTATGCAAATGTTTTAGTGCATAGTATCCAGTCACGTCTATGAAAATGTTTTAGTGCATAGTATCCAGTCACGTCTATGCAAATGTTTTAGTGCATAGTATCCAGTCACGTCTATGCAAATGTTTTAGTGCATGGTATCCAGTCATAGCTGGGTTAACTACGTCTTTCTACTCATATGAACCCAACTCTTGTGTGGATTGGGAGCTGACACCATTTAAAGGAATCACACAATGGAAATTAACCATTTATGGCCACATTTTTTAACTATTTCATTGGAAATTCATACTGAACACTTTTGCTTTGTGTAAAACTTTTATATTATGCCTTTGCCAAAAGTAAAATTTTAAATTTTAACTTGTAGCTTTTAAAAAATTTGTGTTGGCCATTTTTAGTTTTTTTAGTATTCGCCCCATTCCTGAAGGGGTACCTTGTTGGAATTTGAAACTCCACTTTTTTGGGCAAGTGAGGTCTATTTACACAAATATGCAGATACAAGAAAGGATTAATATTTCAGACATTCTAACAGCCCCTAAGCCCCTGTATTAATCATAATTTTTTTTTTTAGTAAAGGGTATTGATGGACGTTTAGGATTCCTTCAGAAAACCTTTAAGCTCACTGGGGACCAGGTTATTTTAACTAATTTTGTAGAATATAAAAAGGGAAATCATTTAATTATTTTACGTTTACGTTATTTTAAGGTACCCTTATTTATTTGTCTGATTCACAATGATACTCTTTTAACTTTTGATTTGATCAAGAATTACCGAGGTATTTTTTAATAATTGAAAATTGATTTTTTTAACTATTGTAACTTATCCTTTAAAAAAAATTTTTAAAACATTGTTACTCTCAAATAAAGGTTTAAAGGAGGGTACCGCAGTGAATCCGACATGCCAAACTCTTAACTAGACAATAAAAAATATTTTTTTTTTTTACAATAAAACCAATGTATCTGGATTTTAACCAATTGTTAGGTGCGTGAGGTTGCAATCCGTTGTCCCAGACTAGTGTTATGGAACAATCTATTGAAGGGTGTTCGAGAGAAGGAAATTTAATGATTGATTATGAAATTACTTACCTTGAATTGAAGATTTTTCATTTGAAAAATGAATAATGTCTTTAGAAAGGGGGATATGAAGATATCTAGGGTAATTTTAGATTCAAAATTAATTTATCATTTCAAAGAATTGCAGGCATGAAAGGGGGACAATTATCCAATTTTGGGACAAAAGGAACTTAAAATTTCTTTAATTTCTTTTAATTCTCGCCAAATTAGAAAAGAATTATTTAAATCCTTTCCTCTTTAGAAGACCAAATTCAGCCATAAAAGCAATGCTTGCTGCTGGTCCTTATATATTAACCAATTGATGGAGAATAGGAAAAGTGCTTTAAAAATAATATATTTTTTGTTAGATAAAAGTTTGAAATGTTTTAAAATACTGTAAATGGCCTATTCCAATATTGATCACTAAAAGTACATATAAATAAATGTGTTATCATTAATTTCCTCAGATGTTTGCATTCTATGAAGAAATGGGATTCTCCAAGGAAAATAAACAAAATCTTGCCAAAAAAAAATTTAATTGGCATGACATGAAAACATGACATTTTTGAACAGTTACTAATGCAACGTTAAAATGGAAACTTGATGTCATCTTTATTACTTGGTTCCCAAATTGGCATATTTCTTTCAAAGGTTTATTCTAAAGGTGTTTCATTAAATCAAGTTTCCTATAAGATCAACAAAAATGCATCCTCAAGTTTATATTTACTATGAGATCAACAAAAATGTATCCTTTTAAATTGTAAAGTAAACACTCACCAAAAGGTTGTTTGGTAAGCCTGTGTCTGGGCTACCTACTCTTGGCAAAACTTAAAGAAAAGCGGATATCCAGAGTCCTGGATTGAACTGGTTTTAGGCACTTTAATGATCATTGTGAAAACTAATAATAATAATGTATGAAAAACAAGATAACAAAGTTATAAGTGAGGTTTTGTTTGGTTCAGCAAGAGATTAAAAGCATCCTACTCCAGGACCCGGGCAGTTTCATGATTAAGTCTAATCCTGCACTTCTAGACCAATTCGATCTGTTGCATAACCAGGGATATTATTACAACCATTATAATCATAATTCTACAATTTCAAATGATCCTCAATGTAAAGATGACATTGCCTGATCCACAAAGGTACCATTGACACCATTATCTGATTGATAATGTGGAAGATACTGTCGTTTAAAAGTTTTTATTTCTAATAATCCCTTTTTGTTTCCCTGCAGTAGAAATGCACAAGTCACTTTTGTAGAGAATGCACAATTAATACTGATATCCACTATGGATACTTGATTTCTGCTTAATCTGCTCTTTTTCCCTCTTTTCTGATATCCCTAATGATTTCAACCAATGAAAATTCTCTCATTAAATGGTGCACAAAATTTCAAATGTCCTGGCCTCTGATTCGTTGAATTTTATACACTTTTACACTGAAGATTAAATTAATTTGGAGATTGATAAAAAAAAGAAATCAATCCACAATTCTAAAGTTTTCAGCTCAGATTTCAAAATTATAAATGTTGACAACTATTCATACTTAATCAGAAAAAGCTTTTAATGGTCAGTTGTGAATCGGCCATTGCCATCTTTCCATGGAGGGTCACCTTGAAATTCTACTTCTCCATTTAACATAGAACTTTTGGTCAGTTCAGAATATTTGATCTTTTGATAGCTAGAGAAAGTTGTTGAATTAAATTATATAGATTGGGATTCCTCATAGTATACTGGTTAAGTTCCCATCTGTTCTTAGAAGGTAAATCAATATATTCCAAAAAATTTCAAGTTTGAATTTTAGATTATTATTTAGAGAAAACTGAGAGAATCAGTCATTTTACTTGACATTTAATAATTCATTATATCTAATAGCTGATACTAAAAAAATAAAATTATTTTCCCCTTTTGTACGTAGCCTTTTTGTTTTTACCTTCAAAATTTATATTATATTTTTTTTCGATTTTTAAAATTTTACAAAATTTGTCTTGATCTTTGAAAACCAGGACTTAATAACATTGCAATTGGTTGTAACTGCCATTGTGATTAAAAAAAAAGAACCATTTGATGGATGAATTACCTAGATCTGTGTATACAAGTGAAGGAAGGCATAAATTTCTGACCCATCTACATAAAGCCCAGTACAACCCAAATCTTCCTGGTTATGTTTCTCCAGCCATGCTTGCAGGAAATACTACATTTAACAATTGAAAGTCTAATATGATAGTTTTGCATTGGAAATAATAATTTGTCAAGCTTTTTCAGAAAATTAGGACCTGAGTAATTTTTATTAAATAAATTCTTTAAAAAGCACAGGTTCTCCCTAAAAGTAACTTCATTTGATGCTATTAATGCAGCCTAATTTAAGAAAATGAAATTCCTTTACCAGCAAGAGATTAGCTAGAAAAAAAATAAGTTCAAGTTTTTGATCCAGTTGAGTTATTTAAAAGATTATTTGCTCTTTAAAGTTTCAGATAACCCCCCCCCCCCTCATTGTATTCATGTATGAATTAAATGTACTACACAGAGGGTACAGATGAGGAGTTCTGTGAAAAAGTAGCAAAATGTGATCTTCTTCTATTCCAAAAATTTCTTAGGACTATTTAAATGTCTGTCCATTTTACAGATTGAAAATGGATGAGAATGAGAATTTTGTGCCCCGTGTAAATCAACTTGATGCTGAAGAACTGGATCAAGAGATACTGAATATTTTCAAGGGAGGATTGCAAAATGCTTTCAAGTACTTTTTGAGGTGATTGATTGATAATTCATTTTTTTCTTTGTGTCAATGGCAGGTACCTGAAATGCTTTTTTATGGCTGACCTCGTTCACCATATTTTCAATACAAAAATACTAGTATTCTATTATAAAAGAAATATTTTTTGCAAAGTATTTTTTTTCGTCATTTTTAGGAATCCATTGGATCTGATAGGACCAGAGCTCGAGGCCATCATTAAGATCATTATTTGGAATTTCACATTAAGAGCCAGGTTATAATACTTGGAATAATATTGCAAGGTTATGTTTCCTAACCTTCTCATAACTGATTTCTTATTATTTACTCAAAGCTATGTCTGATTTTTCTTTTATTTCTCCCAAACCTTCTCAAAATATTAACACAGTTTCTTTGAAACTAAATTTTACTTAATAGTAACAAAAATTATTCCAGGAACTCTAGTATTGGGCAGGAATTACTTGGAATAGAGTTCATAGTGAAGAATAGATTGCAAATTGTTGGCACAGGAAATTTAATTCATTCATTCAATTTTAGCTATATAAATTTATAAAATATTGATTAAAATGCAGGGAAATATTAGTATCAACAACTATAAAATGAATTATTGATTATGAAGATGCAAAATTTTACGTACAGTGGTCAGCATACATATCAATACAGTGTCTGTTACTGAAATGTATAATCCAATTTTAAATACCTGATAATTTATTGGTATGTTGAGTGTTCAGAAATCACTTTTTAGAGTGTAGCAATTTTAGTATCAGATACTGTATTGAAATATATGTTAGCCTCCGTAAATATTGTGTCCCCATTTTAGTCATAAATTTGGTATTGAAATATAAACTATTGCAGACCACACTATAATGTTTTAAATGAATGAATCAAACTTCTTTCAAGGCTTTCTGAATATTGTGTTGAAGTATTTGGAAGCCAGACAATCAAGCATTGTTAGGAATAATAAACTTAAATTTTTAATATTTCCTCCATTATTCTCAATTTTTATTGGTCGCTCTTAATTTTTAAAATTTCATGCCTCTTAATTTCTGATTTCTGAAGTAAAATTATTTTTCCTTTCCATTTTTAGTTAACAAAACCTTATTTATATAATTTCAAACAAAACCCATTTCATGAGCTGGAGAAGGTATCTAAATTTAAACAATTAAAAATTATAAAGACTGTTTCCTGGCCGAGAAGAAATGCTCAACAAATCTTTTCAAACTATCCAAAACATACTCAAGGAAAGCCAAGAACAGAAAGTTGAAATTAAGTTAAAGAAATCAAAATCTAATCCGTATAATATTATTTTCTTAAATTTTTTATTTTGGAGTCAAATCATTGGAAATTAAAAATGGTTTTAATTTTTAATTGTTACAATTCTAAGGTAAATAAATCTTGGCATTAGTTTGCAGAATTGGTGAATTTTGTAATATTCCTTCAAAATGGAATATATCCTAACTTGATACAGCGATTACTTAAACTCAAACCAAGGTATCATGTTCGTTTTTATCCATCTTTTGTTATTTGTTCTGGATTGTTCTTTTGTTGCCAAAAAAAGTGGAAAAAGGTTGAATTTGGTGTGAAACTAAGTGCTTAAGGGTGGTTTTAGGCTGATCAAGATGCCAAAATGTACCCTATTATTAAAGATTAAATAAATTTCAAATCAAAACCAGAATAATTATATAGAAATGGTTTGAAGGAAAAAAGAAGGTCAAATTTAAATTTAAGTAATTAGGAGATGAATGGCTCAAGAATCCTTGACATTTAATCTGATGGTATGAAAGTCTGAAAATTTAATTTATAGTGGGAAAATGTTGATTAAAGAGTGAATTCACAGTATCATTGACTACAAAAGTTGAATATTTTTATCCTTTAATCCTTGGATACACCCAAACTTCATTGAAACAAAAGGTTGCTCTTTAACAATAATAATAATTATAATATTAACAATAATAATAATTATAATATTAACAATAATAATAATTATAAATATATTTATTATAATAATTCTATTTATAGACCTGTTGTACAGGAAAGCAGATCAGTGGGTTATTCATTTATGACTAGGTAATTTAATTCTTGAAACCACAAAGCTACTTTAAAGAAATATTTTTTTTTTCAGAAGTTAAATAACCATTAGTTTAAAGTAACTGTTTAATCATTTTCATTGATTTTATATTGTCATGAATTAGGGAGTTGATGTGGCATTTATTGACAGAGCTTGTGATCTTTCTTGTCCCTTTGATAGATATTTCGTCCTTTTATTCAAAGATCAGGTAAATTTTAAAAACAAACAATAAATAAATTACCAAACAAAATAGTTTTACTTTAACAGAAGTGTTTAACATGAAAGACTTTGAAGATGCTTAAAGGTGTAGCATAAATAATTACAGTCTTGCTGTGTATTACAAGATTAATAAGTCTACAAGAAACAGCTATCTTAAATCTACCTAATTGTACATTGCTTCTCTAGACCTAGTAAAGCTGACGAGAACCATTGTGCCACATGTTTGAAGCTTCCTATTGTTAGGCAGACAATAGTTCTTTAAATTGGCAAGGTGGCATGAAATGATATAGTCTATCTTTTGTTATTAACCCAGTTAGCATTGGTCCTGTTGGAGTTTCTTATTATATCTGAATAGAAATTTAGATCCAATGCTGATGGCTTAACATCATTTTACGATTCTTTTAAATATAGCTATATTAAAAATAATTTTTGATAATAATACATTTTCAGATGGTTATTCAACAACTTTATGTTTATTGTTTATGTTTAGAATTGGATGATAACCTTACTTCTGATTAATTTAGATAACCATCTAGAGTTTTGTCAGTGGTTTTATATCAATCAGCATAATATTTTAATAATAATTTATCTTAGTTTTTATTTTGTCTGCTTTAAAAGAACTGTGTCTGAATCAGGATTAGTACTCCATGTTCACATGTATTCTGCTACTACTGCCTAGTTTCATCTTCTTCAGCAGATGGAGAATATATTCCTTGCCCTGTCTGTGGTACAAAGATAAACAAACAAACAATTTGCAGTACAATACATAGTTAACATGTCTAGAGCTTTGTTACAGATTGGTAGACAACTGTAAACACTAAACAAGGGTGAACATTAGTACAAACATTTAATAATTTCCCCCTCCTTTTTCGAAAATCTTCGAAAATGAAAAAGAAATTGCCGTTTTATTTTCATTTTTTATCCAAGAGTTTTAATAATTATTCTTTCAATTATATAATCCTGAGATGGAATTTAAAGAATTTGAGCCGCGGTTTAAATCCGCCAAAACCCGGTTTAAATTTAGCGCCGGCTTAAATCTTGAAACATTTGATACAATTTTAAGTGGAACCAACCATATTTAAACCGCGGCTTAAATTTAAACCGCCGCTCAAATTCTTTAAATTCGGCCACTGGTAAAACATTAAATAAAGGCTACTGTGATGAATCAGTTATAATTTGTGTTAACTGTGTTAGGATGAAATCCAAATATTTTAGATAAAGATAATATATATGTACAGTAGACGTTTTACATAAAAGATTTATTTGTTTCAGTAAAGTGGTAAAATAAAGCTGGATAATTGTAGTTGTGCTCCTGCATTTTATTTGGAAAGATTAATTATTTTCAACTGCTTATTCAAAATATACCTGAGATCAAAACTTGTGAGTAAAAAAACTTGATCTTGATATTCAATGTAACATGTTTGATCCACAAATCTTAATAATCCCTGCCCTAAATGGGATACTCTTATGAAAATAATAAAATTCACAAGACTGCAAATAAAGAATAGATTTTGACCTCTGTTAACTTAGAGTGATATAAAAGATATAAATGCATTTCTTCCAAAAATTTGCAAGTCTCTTTTGTAGAAAATCCACAACTGAAAATAATCAATGTAAGAAAAGCCAGAGTATATTAATGATTATAGCTCAAACAGATGATAATTCAAATACTTATGTATTACTAAAAAATATTTCTATCAATCAACATAAATGTTCCAAAAATAATTCAGAACTGTCAACTATTTGTGTTTATTATGAAAATACAGATCCTAGGTGTTATCAAGGAGATTTGAACAAATTAATATGATTAAGTTTACAGGCTTCCAGGCCTACCGTAGTCCAACCTGAAATGTAATATGGAAATTTTATCTTATAAAAAACTGTTTTTGTTTTTAAATTGCTTAAAATTTGTTTAAATTTTTTTTAAATTTATGAGTAAAAGATACAATTTTTATTTATTATTTAATTCTTTATTTTTTAGTTTATATTTAGTTTCTAATTATACCTTTATTTTTCAGTTTATCTTAAGTTTTAAATTATAACCAAAAACAACAAAATTTGGAATTGCTGTTTTAATTTGTTTTTCCTTTGCAAAATAAGAAGATAGTAGAAGTTGTATTTTATTTGAAACTGTCAAATTTTCTGCAAAAGCAGCTTTTTTTATTTTATAAAAGAGACAACGAGGACAGAGAACTCTGTGTTAAAATCTCTTAAATGCTACTTAAAGTTGTAACTTAACATGAGGGACATTCAAAGTGGCTCATATAATTTCAACATGAATATTTATATTCTGGCACTAGTTTCTGTAGAAAAAAGGACAAGTATGGTTCTTACCTGGCTGAAGATAACGTCCGAAGATCTCAAGTCTTCTTCTAAAATAAGAAATGTATAATGTATATGTATGAATGTATACAAAAAACAGTTAAACAAATCAAATCCAAATGTATTGTGGCAACTCATATGACCCAAGGAATGGTTAAAAAACTGTTAAATTTAAAAAAGTTTCTTAATGAATATAAAAAATGTTTCATGGATAAATTCAATTCTTCAATTAAAAATAGTTTTAATTTTATAAATCCATGAATGTTAACAGAAATACTAGCAAAATTTTAAAACCACTGTTAGTAATAGCAACATTAGTTACAGTGGTGTCAACAGCATACAGTGGAATATATTCAATTGAATACAGTGGAATATATTCAACAGAATAAAACTATAGAATACAGTGGAATTTATTCATCAGAATAAAACTATACTGCTCAGCAGAATACAGTGGAATATATTCATCAGAATAAAACTATACTGCTCAGCAGAATACACTGGAATATATTCATCAGAATAAAACTATAATGCCCAACAGAATACAGTGGAATATATTCAACAGAATAAAAAATATACTGCCCAACAGAATACAGTGGAATATATTCAACAGAAAAAAATATACTGTCCAATAAAATACAGTGGAATATATTCAACAGAAGAAAAACTATATTGTCATACAGAATACAGTGGAATATATTCAACAGAATAAAACCATACTGCCCAACAGAATAAGAACTATACTGCCCACCAGATTACAGTGGTCACCACAACACAGAGGAATATAGACATTTGAAAGACGCCTTGAAAATCATATTGGATGTTTTGAATTCTTCGCTGCCATGTCAACCTAATTTTAAAAAATATGATCCTGGAAAGAATAAGAGGAAAAAAATCTTTAGTTCTGGCATTTCCAAAAAGTTATCTGCCTTCATGTGGTTTAGAAATTTCCGATTCTGATGCTGATTTTTCATATCTCCAGTAATTCCAAAAGAACAAAAAACCAGACCACATTTTGGAACTAGAAAGTAAAAATGTCACCTGTGATTTGGAAACCAAAGATCGAGAAGATGAGATATGGGAGGTTTATGGGAGTGTATTCCACTTGGAATACTTCCAAATACTAACTCCTAAAAAAATCGATGAAATGTTGCGATAGGTACAGACCTAAGGGGGGAGGGGGGGTTAGAAGATTGCTGCGATCCAAAGAAGTTAGGTTAAAAGAGGTGAGGGTGTGTCCTACCGCAGCGTGTTTCCATTATTTTCTCAGTTATTGAAACTATTTTTTGGGAAATACTTGGCAATGATTTCCATAAAATGAAGACACCATTAATAAGTTTTAAAATTAGTGCATTATACCTGCGGAACTTCATAGTCTCCTCCCCTAGCGGCTATAATCAGAACCTCATATGGATTCTTCCCGCAAGAAAATTTACAAACTGGTTCCCCATACCTGGGGAAATATATGTTTATTCAGGATTTTAAATATTTTTTTTTAAAGAATTTATTGTTTATTTCGTAGAATACATTAAATGTTTAAATATTTTAAGAAAATCCAGGTTTTTCAGGGAAATTCGAAGTCAATGCAAATATTTTAAAAATTCTAAATTTTAAAATATATATTTAGAGATAGACATCGTTTTTCCACAAAGATCTAAGGGGCTCCAAAAACTCGGAGATGTTTATGAACATATTTAAAGTTGTTTTTAGGTTTGCATTTAGTATGAGGTTTTATTTTAATATATCACTTTAAAGATTTATCAAAATGAATTCATTTTGGATTTTTCCTGAGTATGCAAAAGTAATGAAATCAAACTTAAAAAGAGCAAACTATTATGAAATATGTTTAACATCTAAGATTCTTGTAAAGGCTCTGAAAAGAAAAAAAACCTTGAAAATCTCAAATCAAATAAAAACAATGCCCAGATTGCAAACCATTTCAAGAAAAAAATCATCTTTGAAACGAAATTTTTATATTTATCTAAATCTCTGTTATTTACCTTGTTAGCTTGATCCAATACCAAGTGGCCAGCTCCTTCAATCCCCAGTGCATAAACCAATCCCTAGGGATCAAACTTTCAATTGAGGATCATTCGCATTATCAATTAGAGATCATAAAGCAGCCCAAATTGTGTTTGAATAATCCAGATTTTCAAGAAATAAATAAATTCATATGGGACAGGGTGTCTCAAAAAACTGTTTTTTAACACCAGGACCTCAATTGTTGCCCAATATTTAAGGCATTTTGAAAAACCTACGCTAGAGGTGTTCAACAAAAATCTTTGCATTTGGGAAATCCTGGGACAATTATGCTGTTCAAATGCTAAACAAATAAAAATTTAATCTAAATCACAACAAATCCTAAACCTTTATGGGTTATAAAATTCAAATTTAACATTTAACTTTAAATCAAAAATATGATTTGCATCAGGGTAATAAAAAAATCTGTAAACATTATTTAACCTAATAGCTGCTCTGTGCCTGGCATTATTGCTACACCATACTGCCACCAATCCATCTTTATTCAATAATTCTCGAACTCCAATTTTCCTAAATTACAAGACAGGTTAAAGGGACTGTAAGCGTAATTTCAAGCGACCCATCATGCAATAATGACTATGCCGACTCACAACGGTACCCTTTAATTCGAAATTGTGAAAGATTTTGGTTTAATTCTGATTTATTGTTTTCTAGCAGTATAAATATGCGCGTCACTTTTGAAAGGAAACCACAATTAACAATAATTACTTTTGAATTATATAAACATTGATATCTAATTTGATCAGACAAAGCTTTTAATGAAAATGTTGTGAATCGAGCATTACTTTTTTTGCTTGGAGTCACTTGAAATCACACTAACAGTCTCTGAAATAAACCTCCGCCATTAGGCATAGGTGTCTCGAAACCAAAAATACTTAGGCTTGCAAAAACTAGTTTTATCATTTTACAGAGCAATGAAATTGGACAAGATTTGTTTTAAAAGTCTTCCCAAGTGATTGTCAAATATAAAGGGTAATGTTGTTAAGCAAACAAGGTAAACTTGAATTGAAGAGTCACTGAATAAGTCACTGATAATTTTGAAAACAGAAAAATTTGAAATTAGCCAATTAAAAAATAATATCATATTTAACAAGATATTTCTACAAAACAAGTATGAATATGTTTACCTCTAAATAGTGGTTAGAAATGTGCTATGAATGTAGTTGCTAAATTTGATCTTTTCTAATGGGGGTTTACTGCATGCACAAGCAAAAGGGTTTAGGTATTTTCCCAAGCGGCAACCTCCCAAAGGTTAGGTTAGGCCTTCTGAGGGGCCGCAGGTTGCAATGGGAAGGGGCGTAGGGGCTTCGGCCAGGATGGGCTAGTGGGTCGAGCACTTCAGCTATAACAGCCTAGTGGGTCGTACACTTCAGTTAACACAAGCTAAGGGGTCGAGCACTTCAGCTAAAACAGGCTAGGGGGTCGAGCACTTCAATTAAAACAGGCTAGGGGGTCCAGCACTTCAGCTAAAACAGGCTAGTGGGTCGTACACTTCAGCAAAATCAGGCCAGGGGGTCGAGCTCTTCAGCTAAAACAGGCTAGGGGGTCGAGCACTTCAGTTAAAACAAGCTAAGGGGTCGAGCACTTCAGCTAAAACAGGCTAGGGGTCGAGCACTTCAGCTATAACAGGCTAGTGGGTTGTACACTTCAGCAAAATCAGGCCAGGGGGTCGAGCTCTTCAGCTAAAACAGGCTAGGGGGTCGAGCACTTCAGTTAAAACAAGCTAAGGGGTCGAGCACTTTAGCTAAAACAGCCTAGGGGGTCAAGCACTTCAGCTATAACAGGCTAGGGGGTCAAGCACTTCAGCTAAGACAGGCTAAGGGCTGAACGCTGCAGTAAACAGAAGACATCGGAAGTTGCCGCTCAGGAAATTGCGAAAGTTGCTGCTTGGGAACATGCCTAACATCAGCAATGACAGGGTATTGCAGAATCAATTTAAGAAATATAGTTACTTGATCTGATGATTGTTGAGCATAGAATATCCCAGGTTTGAATCCAACTTCCTTCAGACAGGGGTATATATTTTGTTCAAATTTGTTGCTTTTTCTTAAAAAAATGTGTTGCCATTACGCCACAAAAAAGGTTGACTTCTGGAGAGAAAATGAATATTCAGCAGGAGTTTTAGAAAAAAGTATAATCAGAAGGTCAAAAATTTTTTTTTTTTTCTAAGACTTTCCGTGTAATTTCATGTGAACACACAGAACAGTTAGTATAGAATCTGAAGCGTACCAGCGACTGACAAGCAGGTATATGTCGTTGCATGCTGCAACGTTTATATAAAAATGCACAATATGCTTAAAGAAAGAAATTATTTGTTCTCCATAATTACTAAGACAACGTTCTAGCCATGATCCATGCACCGGACCCACATGTGCACAACAAATACAATGACCCCAAACCTTTACAGGTCGATTGATTGATTTCTCATAAATATACACCTATATGAAGCTGTATGGTTAGTAAATCCCTTTTGAGCCCTTCAGGCAGGGCGCTCCGCGTCAGTGCTGGTTCTATACTACCTGTTCTGCGTGTGAACCTCAATTTAAAAGGTTAATACTTAATTTTTTACCTTTGTCAAGCAGAACTTATAATTGCTAATGTTTAATTGCTTTTTTGTTTTAAAGTTACTTTCAGTTTATGCAGCAGGGAGGGTCACTTGAAATTTTGAGGACAGCCCCTTTAAATGTCTAAATAATAAATATATACCCTTGCCTTTTGACATGTTTATTCTCCCAGGGGGGATCCATTAAGATAAGATCAAATGTGGTTTCCAACCCTAAGGTATTGATATCACATAACCTAAATTACGAGGAGGGAGTGCAAGGTTGCCATGAACCCCGGGAAATGGTATTCCAACCGCAAGATTTGCAAAATGAACTCCGAACCAGCAAATGTGAGTTGATTAAAATTTTTTTTATTGACTTTTGTCACTTTGCAGCCTGAAAAATCAATAATCATCAAATATAACTCTTAACAATGCACTCCACATTAGTTTGTACTTCCTTTGTAGATCAAAATTGCCAACATATGATTCCCCAACAACAGCGAGATTTTAGGTTACTTGTGAAGAACCCGCTAATTTTAATCTTAAACGACAGTAAAAGTGTTTAAATAGCCTCCTGCTCCTGATAGCCTTAAAACTTATATATTCACGGAGCTGAAGAAAAATAGGTGTTTAACACAACCTGATTATTGAAAACCCCAACCTGTACTGAGAATCAGGAGGAAGTAGAATTCTCTGTTTTTCCACAACATGGTCTGTCTCATTTCCTCCTCTGCTCTCAATGCCATCATTAAACCCCTCTAAAGGTTCATGTGTAAAAAAGATTTCATTTTTGGAACATCTTTTTGTCTCTCGTTTACAAGGGGGCACGTCCGATTCATAGCGGTACCATTTAAATTTTCGTCTGTGCAAAAACAGTCTGAAAACGGAATTTATAGATGCGATTTCTCTTTAAAGTGACTTACGGTATACAGCCGAGAAAAAGAAGGAAAATGGCAGAATACAATACTTTTCAAATAGAGAAGCAATCGTTTTCATTTTTGTAACAATCAAGATTTAGGAAACCATCGTTAACCAGGCAAACAATTCCTTGACATTTTTCAGATTAAAAAATTAGGCAACCCTGTCATCATTTTCAGCACAGTCATAACGAAGTTATAATAACTTTGTTTAATAAAACTGAATTGGGAATAATCAAGGCCCATTCCATGCTTTTTAGTGCTCTCCATATTCTCTAGAATATTTTTCAAAAATTCATAGCTCTGGCTTCCCCATTTTCAAATAATAAACCATAATATCATGAAATTTAAAATAAATCTTAATCACTGCGAAATAGGAAGGTCCTCCCAAGAATATTTTTGCAAAGAAGAGGCCAGTTGTTAGAATCGGGTTAAAAGGTTGGAAGGGAAACCTTGTGAAAATTGACAAGTTTGAATAAATAGTTTAAATTAATATATTATTTAAATAAAGGATTTCTTGAAAGGAATTAAACCTTGCCCACCAACTCTCAATTTCTAGTCCCTACTACATCTTTGCAACTCAATGTCGTAGACCTTAGATATTTGAAGTAATGTTTTCTGTTGGATCAAATAGTCAAACTTTGAACTATTAACGGTTTTCACTATCAGGTTCTTTGATATAGGGAAAATTTGAGTTTGTGACAAAGACTCAGTTCTTTACCCAATAATTTTGTAGTTTTCCTCAATTTTAAGTTATGAATATTATTTTTACAAAATGTTCCTAAGGCATGCATCAACTGTTGAACATGTATTCTAAGATTTTTATTATTTTCCTTAATATCTTCTAAACTAGGGGCACCACTGTATACATCTAAAACAGTTATTTTTATTATTTCTGAGAGAAAAAAAAATTACCCAAGATGTACAATGTACACAGTACACAAATATTCTTTCAAAGTTCAAGAAATAATCCCCACCCCACATTTTGGTGATTATAAAAATTGAAAACCCCTGCATATAAGTATACCTGCAAATTTATGTTTAATCATTTTCAACTTCTCCTCTAAAAACTGAATCTCAGTTTTGAACTCAGAATGATCTATATCCTTCATCTTTCTTTTCTTTCTTTTTCTCTGTTCTCCTCCTCCTAAAATAAAAAAATATAAGGCACTAAGCACTAAGCGTAATTTCGATTGAAGCTGCCAATGCCCGATTTACAACGGTAAGCTTGAAATCTTAATCTGATCAAAATTGTGGAAGATATTGTCGTGATAATATCTCCATTGCATCTTATAAGTAAGAAATGTGCAATTCAATTTCATAGGAAACCCGTCAATGAAAGTCAACAGTTATAAGACAAAAACATGGATATCTAATTCAAACTTTCATGCAGACAAAGCTTTGAAGGGTAACGTTGCAACTCAGGTATTGTCATCGTTGCATGGAGGGTCATTTGAAATTACGCTTACAGTCCCTTTAAGCAGAAGATGTGGGGAGGATTCCTTATTTGGAGGCGTCCTAACATAGGTCCTCTAAGAGATTGTGGAATCGGTAATTTACATGACAAAATCAGGGGAGAATGACATTAACATATATTCTAAGATTTTTCTCTTTATAAACGTAGATCTGAAGATCGCATTAAATTTCTAATCTTACATAACTATCAATTCTCTCCCTCCCCCTTCCACAAAGTACCACTCCCCTCACGGCCCAATTTTCATCAAAATCTAATCGACATACGTGTAGATTTGTGGTGGTGAANGTTAAATGGTAATAGGGGAGAGGGTGAAGGTGGGGATATGGACACGTTTTAAACGGTCACATAAACGGAACAAAATAAAATAAGCTTTTGGGTTTCTACTGAACAGTTTACTGATATCAACAGAAACATCAAAACATCTTAGTTCTCCGTGACAAAGCTCATGAGTGCAAAAATATGCCTCTGTACTTAAACCCAATGTGTTGGATTGTGACCATCCTTCTTATACTAGTTGTACTGTGTACTGCCGGGTTCTTAAAGTACATGATTACAAGGAAGCAAAACATAGAACGCAACTACAAAATTGAAATGTTTACGATTGCAGTGCTTAATCCTACATTGGAGTATCCTGAACCCTATTGCTAGCCCAAATATGAATTTATAGAATATAATTTATTGACAATCTATCCTACATCTTCAGTTTTAATCATTTGTGCAGAGATCATAAAAATCTAGCTCGCCAGACCGACTGTTAAGTTCTCGACCCAGAAATCAACCGAATCTGACCAAAAATGGTGCCTTGCAATGGATATAAAACAATATAAAACAATGTTAATATGAATTCTTTAATTGTTTTAGATTATCATGTGTAAACAAAATAAACATTTTTTTCCTTTGAATATGAATATGAATATACGATTATATAATCTTTAACTATTGGTCCTTTTAATATAAAACAATGTTAATATGAATTCTTTGTGTAAACAAAATAAACAGTTTTTTTTCCTTTGAGAAAGAGGAATTTTTGTTTAACACTATCTCTGCTAAGGTACTTGAAAACCAAGATATGCTGGGGGGGGGGGTAGCAGGAATAGGGTTAAAATAAATTATGTGCTTCAAGAAATCTTTAAATTTTGAATTATGAAAATGTTTGTAGATAATTTTCACGTGGTTTTAATCTGAGCTTTATATGCAAATTTAGTAGGGCCATCCATACGCCCCTGACCCTGTCATTCGAAAAGTTTAGACAATTTTAGGGGAAAATTATTAAATACAGTGGTCGGCGATTATATCAATATAAGAAAGACGACTTTTTATTAATCTTTTATTCCTAACAAGATTTTCAAATGACAAGTTTAAGAATAAACAAAGAAAAGCTGTAAATTGACAACTTCTTTTTGTTTTCATGCTTATATGCCTCAGATATTTGAAAGATTTGTTTAAATCAAAATTGTCTTCCTTGTATTGATATATACGCGACGACGACGACTGAATGAAAAAAATTACCTTCCAAACTGTTGGCCAAGGCCAAAGCTTCTCCATCCATGAGAAATTGAGTTTTTATATTAAACAGTTTGGAAATCCAGGTCGGATCCGCGGCGGGATAGGTTTCCTAGAGTTTAAAGTGAGTATGCTATAGGTGAGTCGAGTAGTGTTAATTGTATTATTACTACTTAGAGCTTGTTTAAAGGGACTGTATGCGAAATTTCAAGTGACCCTCCTCCCTCTAAAGACAGCAATGCCCGATTCGCAACAGTACCCTTGAAACTTTTACCCGATCAATAATGTGTAGGCTTTTGTCGTTTTTCTGGGTTTATAAGTGTTTAAATTCTGACAATTCATGTATGTTTTCTTGCAGTAGAAATGTGAAAGTTACTTTTGAAGGGAAACCACAATTGAAAATAATCAGTTTTCACAATAATAAACATTGATATCAAATGCATACATAATGAATCAGACAAGGCAAGTTCGGGTCCTGTACACGTCTGTATACGTCCCATGCATGTGGCCTACGCGGTTTATAAAAACTTTGATGAAACTATTTATTTTTTGAGACTTCTAGTTTAAGTAAATATAAAAACTTTCAAACAATGTTTAACCAGCATTTCTGTAGATAAATAATGGTTCTAAGGATACGTCCTTATGCATCCTTGATTAGTCAAAAGTTTGAAGAGTAATGTTGTGAATGAGATTCACTGCACTCGATACAATTGGAAGGGTCACTTGAAAAAATGTCTGCAGTTCATTAGAAAAGAGAAAAAATTACATAGTTATTACCAATATGTACTGCTCATGTGATAACAATATTATCTTGTCCTCAATATTCTTTTTAATTATTGACATTTTTCTGAAAAATCAGAACTATTATTATGTATGATTTAGTCACTGTTAGTTTGAACTTTGAGAACGAGATTTGTTCTGAAAGTTTTGTGTACTTGTGTACGCAGTGTATTCACTCACAGTCGGCGTTGGTGTGAACAACGTATACTGTAACCCTCCATTTTAGGAGAAACTGAAATCAGATATTTAATAATTTAATGATTGTTAAAGTCAAGGATGCTGTAAAGAGCTAAAATGTATTTGAAACTGTAAGAACACAATTTGGTATTCGCTACAGAGAGGCGCAAGTGCAGCTATAAACACTTGTAATATGTAAGTGTGGACATGATCCAATTTTTCACATAGTTAAAAAAGGTATCAATATTTTTTCAGAAAAGGGGGGAACTACTTGTCTCATAATATAAATGGTTATAAACAAACCACATTTGTAAATCTGATAGCCAATGATATCATACCAATACATGTTCATGCTATCATACCAATACATGCATTCATTATATCTTATACCAATACATGTTCATGATATCATACCAATACATGTTTATGATATCTTATACCAATACAGGTTCATAATATCATACCATGGAGAAAAATTGTAGACCGTAAAAATGTCTCATTGGTATCAAATGAATATTAAACCTTTTCTCTACAATACTGCACTTTCAGCTTAACTATAATGTCTAGTTGGTCTCTCCCTTTAAGTAAAAATCATTAATGATACAGGAAATCCATGGATTCTGCGTTTCATGTTTCTTGTTTACTGCTTACACAACAATCCAGCCAGCTAACATTTTCTCCACAAAACGGAGATATCATAGATATGTAAAATGCTTTAAATAAGTGTTACAATAGCAACAGGTTATGATTAGTGCATAAAGGTCAAAACGTTTTAAGACCACGACAGCTTTTAAAATTATGGCTGTACGAAATAANCCCCCCCCCCCCCACACACACTTTTTGGGTAGCCAAAACTCTACATAATGAAATATGTAAAATGATATGTTCTTTGAATTTATAGCTTTTATTTAATATGCTATATGAATAAACATCTAAAATATTTTAGAATAATTGAACTTATTGAAATTTAATTGATTAGCTAGTTAGTATATAAAGCAATGTTCTTGTGTTTCTACTATTTAACCAGCTTAATGCAGTTCAGGGATGCCTGGCTCTAAAGAATGTGATCAAACTTTTTTTTTTAAGTCATGAATTTTTTAACTACTACCCTGTGGCCTGTAGTACTTCACATTATTTCGTTTTTAGACTTTGAAATTCAACAATTGCATTTTTGATGCATTTTTTCTTTTTAAAGAATTGTACTCCATACAAATGTTTTACTTCCAAATCAGTTAACCAATTTATATACAGGGTGTCCCACGAAACATAACAGTTGGTAAATAGTTTTGAGTGTCGTCTTCCATACAGTGTATTAGATACTAACGGTTGTTTGCAGTTTCTTTCGTTTAAAAATCTTTTGCTCAAGTATATTTTACTTTGAAATTAATTTGCTATAATTTGACTCCTATATGATATTTTCAATATTGTCTTTGTTATTAAACAACTTAACAAATTATGGAAGAAAACATTCTGAACTATTTACCAACTGTCATGTTTCGTGGGACACCCTGTAGATATTCTCTGACATCACCTTTTGTTTGTTTAAATTACTATCTATCTGAACCACTATCTTCAAGTATACTGCATACTGTTTTTACCTTATAGCTTTGAATTTGAAGTAGGGATGCTGCAACTAAGAATATGAAAAGTAAGTAAATAATCAGCTGGTCAGCAGATTCTGTGAGTTCTTCAGTGAATTAAGGGAATCAATTGCGAGGGGTTGTGAATATGAAAGGGGTTTAAAGGAAAAGGTTGCCAAAAAAAAGTGTGTGCTTTAAAAAAAAAAATTTGGCATTCACATATTAATGCCCCTGTAGGACCCACTTGGAGCACTAATTTACATTTTTTGGGACTACTTCATAATTTTTGATAAGACAAAGGTTTAAAGGATACTCTTGTGAATCAGACATGCCACTCTATAAGAGGGCGCTCAATTAAAATTTCGACCACATGTCCTTCAGCTTAAAAAAAAACTTGGCATCCTAGTTTCTCAGAAAGTGATCCTAAACACTTAGTTCAGCTGGCAAATGGTTCTAAGTATCAACTAGAGATTGACAAAAAATATGTAGGTAGGATTCTCTAAACTTCAAGTAGGCCATGCCCATGCATGACATCACATGGTTTCCAATACCACTTTATTTTCAACTTGAAAAATATGGATTTTTTATCATCCTTAAGGGTGCATGTACATTGTGGAATAAATAGATGTTCACAATATTATACCAATACATGTTTATGATATCTTATACCAATACATGTATTTATTATATCTTATACCAATACATGTTTATGATATCTTATACCAACATGTTCATAATATCATACCAATACAAGCATTCATTATATCTTATAACAATACATGTTCATGATATCATACCAATACATGTTTATGATATCTTATACCAATACATGTTTATGATATCATACCAATACATGTTTATGATATCATACCAATACATGTTTATGATATCTTATACCAATACATGTTTACGATATCATGCCAATACAGGTTCATTATATCTCATACCAATACATGTTTATGATATCATACCAATACAAGCATTCATTATATCTTATACCAATACATGTTTATGATATCATACCAATACAAGCATTCATTATATCTTATACCAATACATGTTCATGATATCATACCAATACATGTTCATGATATCATACCAATACATGCATTCACTATATCTTACACCAATACATGTTCATGATATCATACCAATACATGTTTATGATATCTTATACCAATACATGTTCATGATATCATACCAATACATGTTTATGATATCTTATACCAATACAGGTTCATAATATCATACCAATACATGTTCATCCTATCATACCAATACATGCATTCATTATATCTTATACCAATACATGCTTATGATATCATACCAATACATGCATTCATTATATCTTATAACAATACATGCATTCATTATATCTTATACCAATACATGTTCATCCTATCATACCAATGCATGCATTCATTATATCTTATACCAGTACATGTTTATGATATCATACCAATACATGCATTCATTATATCTTATACCAATACATGTTTATGATATCATCGCCAATACAAGCATTCATTATATTTTATACCAATACATGTTCATCCTATCATACCAATGCATGCATTCATTATTTCTTATAACAATACATGTTTATGCTATCATCCCAATACATGCATTCATTATATCTTATACCAATACATGTTCATGATATCATACCAATTCAAGTTCACAATATTACACCAAAACATGTTCACAATATCATACTAATACATTTTTTAACATTTATTTTTATCAAATTTTAATTTTTTTTTTTAATTTTTTGGCACAGATCACACAAAAAATGTTGTTTTAACAATTCTTGTCATCTTTTCTTCCTAGCTCCTTCATTCTCCAATTTCTTCTTTTGTTGACTCTCCCTCCAGGCAATTTGAAAAAAAAAGTTTTCATACAAAACCCTGTAAAGCTAATGGATTTGTTTACTAGTCAAAATTGCTTAGTTTAATGCTACAATTTGAAATCTCCAGTTTCACAGATTCACCGACATAGGGTCAAACGACCTATGGTCAAGTGCCATGGGGTCAAACAACCTCAGGTCAAACGACAAAGAGTCAAAACACGACAAAGGGTAAAACAACAGTTGGTTAATTTGAACTATTTTTATGTTCATTAGAACAAGTATCCGCCGTGCTCGGCCCCTATCCTGTCCTAGCCGCAGTGCTTGGCCCAGAATTTGTCTTAACCTATAACCTAGCCCTGAAATAATACATATTTTTATGATATGTTTTATGTTCATTTGAACTACTAGCCAAAGCGCTCGGCCCCCTAACCAGTCAAAGCCGCAGCGCTCGGCCCAGAAATTGTAACCTGACCAAACCCTGAAATAATACTTAAAATATTTTTTTCCATTTTGACCCTTTGTTGTTTAGTCCTTTGTCGCGTTTTTGAATGTTTGTCGTTTGACCTTATGTCGTTAAACCCTATGTCGATTTATCCTATGTCGTTTGACCCTAAGTCGTTTTTAACCCTATATAGTCAGTGAACCATTTCACGTACAATCATCATACTTGATTTTGCAGGCTGTTAATGAACGATTTGAGTAAGATTTTGTAGCAGGGGACTTTATCAGTGCGAAATATTAGGACTTTTTTCTGGAAACTTTGTTTCAAGAACTTTTTTTGCGGTTACCAACCCCACCAAGCTAACACCCAATCCATGCCACATTTTCCAAATTACAACTATTCAGTGAGAACCGTTATTACCATTTTCATTTTCTTCTTCTTTCAGAGTTTCTTGGTTCTTACTTTATATATTTCAGCTGTTCAGCTAAGTGAAATCAAATTGAAACCGCCAGCGTTGGTCACCGAGAAACGGTTGAGGTTGAGGATAGGGATTAGGGGTTGTGCATAGAGATCACCCTGCTTAGGTCCGCTAAAGCGGCCGGTCCTGGAGCAACTGTATATCATACTATAATTACATATTTATAATCATACCAATACATGTTAACAATATCATACCAATACATGTTAACAATATCATACTGATACTAAATCAAAAAAAAACCTTTTACTTGTTCATTTTTCCAGATAAGCTTGAGAAACTGTTAGTTATACCTGAATCTAAATATACAACGGGCTCAGGTATCATTTACTCTTTTTATACAAAGTGTCCCAATAAACATGGGAAATAAGCGAAGAATACAGAACCGTTTTTGTAAAGAATCATTTTTATATTTTCTAATTTGAAGGTCATGTTTTGTTATTCTGAATGCAAAATTTTGTAACATTTTTGTCACTGTCAGACAAACAGGGAAGAGGAACATTTATAAGAATTTATAACATCTGTAAAAACAAAAAAAGGACATTCGTATATATGTTGCGTATAGCCGGCCAAACAGCTGGCCCGATTGGGCTGACATTTTTTGTGAACACTCATGGGTGGCCGGGGGATGCTATAGGCTAAAAAAATCGAAATTGTTTTTTTACAATAAAAAAATCAATTTATTCCCACGGGCAACGCCGGGCCCTTCAGCTAGTTACATATAAGTGCATTACCGAGATATTTTGCTTAAAAACTTAAGAACATTGCAAGTACAATTCAAATCTTATATGTTCTCGATTATAACTTCTTTTATTGAAGAGTTATGGTGCAAGAACTAACATGTTTTGAACTTTTGAAAATGTAACTAAATAAATTTGCTTTTCTTAGACATGGGCGTAAAATCAAAACTAGCGGAGCTACAAGGTCACAAAGTCGTATACCAGTAATTTCGCTCAAACTTTACAGACTCCATCTGTTTTAGTTCAACGTGTAATTTGATCTCTAGTAAACACTTTGCAATCAAAACATAAACACTAAAAAATCAACAAAGTCTTAAATGTGTATTTGGAATTTTTGGAGGGGGGTCTGATGCTCGCAAATTTTATTTAAAGTTCAAATTGAAAAGATTAGTAAAAAAAACCGTTATTTTGGGAAAATTTTGGCTTACATTTTAGCTGTATATTGAGAAATGCAATCCGACGAAGACTGCTGGTGCTGGCCCAATTTTTTTCATATTTGGACTTTATTAAAACCATGGTTGGTTTGTTCCAATATGTAACATCAAAAAAGTAAATCGATGACCTCCTCTAGTACATATGGCAATCGGTCTTGGAATTTTCCTAATACGGTCATACATTTTGGCATATTCAGAGTGTTAATAATTTCTCGATTCTCTTTCTAACGAGTTCCGATAAATCAAACTTGTCTCATAATATAAATGGTTATAAACAAACTTGGCTCATAATATAAATGGTTATAAACAAACTTGTATCATAATATAAATGGTTATAAACAAACTTGTCTCATAATATAAATGGTTATAAACTAACTTGTCTCATAATATAAATGGTTATAAACAAACCACATTTGTAAATCTGATAGCCATGACATTTATGAAGGTTTGCTTTAATATGCAATAAAATAATATTTTTATTTTGGGGGGGGAGGGAGGGGGGGGGGCTAAAAATATCTCACACCGCCCTTGTCCCCCAACCCACAATGTAGTTAAATTCTGCAAACTCTCTTTAGTTAATGTAATGAAGGAGAAAAAGAAAATTTATTTTTAATATTTTTTCTTTTCATATTTGGTTGTTTAAGAGGGTGGAGAGGACTACTATGATGCGTTTGGTAATGTTTTTTTTTTAGTTTTTATATTATTTTTACAATTTGGATTTGAATAAATTACAACTAAAGGGTTACCCGCAAATGACTTTAATAGCGACCTTTGATATTTTAAACTATAAATTCGATCAGATCAAAATAGGTTTTCCAATCGGAATTCTGTTGAGTGAAATTGCGATGAATTGTGCGGAATTGCGTGTGATTGTGCTCGAAATGTGCGAAATTGCACAGAATTACATTACGGAATTGCAAGTGCGCCCAAGCAAATTCCACTTGGGTTGAAAACCCTAGATCAAACTTTTAGAGTTTGAAATATCTGAATTTTACACAATGATATTGCAAAAGTGGGGGTTTAAAAACTTTATTTTAATTCTTATTTAAAAAAATTGTGTTACTTAATGTGAACTGCAATTAGAATATAAATTAATATTTTAGATTTTGGCGACCAACTAACTATTTATGATAAGTTCAAAGTCGGGTCCAAACTTGTTCATCAGACTGAAGATGGTTTGAAGAAAGAGAGAGAGATTTTTGCAGCACTCAGCAAAAGTACAGTTTAAACATTATTTGCGAAAGAAAATAATTAATCGCCACTAATTCTAGTTTTTTAAATCTTTCTTTTTGTCTTTGTTAACTTTTCCTTATGCAGTAACAATAATCAAGATCTACGATCAGAGATATGTGGATTAAAAAATCTGAATTTGAATTTCTTTGAATAAACGTAACATTTGAATTTGTTAAAAAATTATCTATTAGAATTATTTCATTTTATAATTTTTAATTCTCAGACAAAAGTTAAGGGACTACTTTTGTGATTTGTTTATTAACATTAATGTTAAAAACAAAATACAGGGTTACCCACAAGGGATGAGACTTCAGAGACGACTGTAAGATTTTATACTTTCTGTTTCCTTCCATTAATGATTCTCTGTAACTTGTTTCTTTCTTTGCCAAATCTATCGATAATCTACTAAAAAACAGAAGATTTAATCGAACCTTGTGATCTTCAAAATCTAAGAGTTTCTGTTGACATCTTTAAAATCTCATCTTTTGTGGATAAACCTGTATGATTAGAGCTAACAAAATTGATTTAGATCCTGAACCTGCGAAGAATATAGTTAAATCTGATCATCCTCTGCAAAGAACTACAACAGAAGGTGCATTCACATTTTTAGAAAGAGACTGTAAGCGTAGTTTTGTTGTAACTTTCAATGCTAAGATTGCAATGCCCGATTTACAACAGTACCATTAAAAGCTTTATTTTTTCAAGATTTGATCATCAATATTTGATCAAGATTTAATCATTAATATCTAAAGCGTTTTATTTGCAGATATTAAATTGATTTTTTTACGATCCGACTTTCTCAATTCGGTGCAAGTCGTTTTAAACAATTTTCTCATTATAGACGCAATAGATAGAAGTAAAATTAGTATTAGCAATAAAAAGCGATTATTTTTCGCCGTAAGCCTATACTCATTTTCATTTTTCGCAAACACCCCTTTTAAGGATGAATTAGATATCCATTTTTTTGTTGCTTTAAACGTTTCATTTTCATTTGCGGTTTCTCTGCGAAACTGACCTGTGCATTACTACAAGAAGCAATGGAAAAATTTGAGTCAAAAATCGACGGGTTTCTTCCGCATTTTTTATAAGAGCTGGGAACTTTTGAATGGTGGATATCGGGATTAATGCTTGAATCTCTCTTTTTCTTAATCTTAAGATTAAATACTGCTTGTTTTCAGCTCAGATTTTCAGCTTAGATTAAGGTTTCCAGGGTACCGTTGTAAATCGGTCAATGCCATCTTTGCATGGAGGGTACTTGAAATTACGCTTAAAGTCTCTTTATTAAAGATTTTATCATAAATTAAGGAGTTTTAATCTTTCTTGATTAAATGAATGAGTGCAGTGCTCTCTATTTAAATACTAACATTGTTTGTTTGTTGAGATGATTATAAAAAAGAAGAAAGCAACAGAATTGCAGACCCTGAGACAATTGGTAATTTTTATTAGAATTTGTTTTTTAACATTTGAAAAAAAAATATCTTTAGCTTTAAAAACAAGTTGGATGGAAAAGCTGAAAGTGAAAAATTAACATGTTATTCAAAATGTACAATGCGCGCAATTTTCATCCATGGAGATTCTCACCATGCTAATTTTATTTTTAGGCACAAAGCAGCGTAATAACTAGTTTTAACACTATTATTGTGCTTTGCAGTGGTTTAAAGTTTTGGGTAGACATTTTCCCTTTATTAAGCCTTTTAGATTATATTTTGGCCCGAGAAATTAAAATGAAAACATAATAGAAAGTCCTGCCAAAATAGTAATGCTATAGGTCATTTTATGATATGTTTGTGAACATATACTGGTTATGTTTTGAATAAAATAAGATTTTTAAAAGCAGAAATAATAATTTAAAGTTAATTTCATTTTTATTATTATTTTAACTGAAAAAATCATAGGAATATCCGATTTTTTTTTGAAAATCCGCGAACCAATCAATGTTTTTTAGCAAGGTTCTATGACAATAACAGCTAATTTATCATTATAGCACGGTGCTATAATACATGTACTGTAGCTAAATTTACTTTATAGCACAATGATTACTTACAGCACGTCTATAATAAAATTCACAATGAAGTCAGTATGAATGATAAAGTACATAATAGTTTCATACACATAATATTCAAGAAAACTATAAACTATAATGATATTTTAGAAGTTGGGCACGTAGGAAGTATTTATGACAAGTTTAAAGTTGATTCTAAGTTAATTCATGAAACTGCAAACCACCTTGTAGACCCAGGTACATATTCAATAAAGGGACTGTAAGCGTAATTTCAAGTGACCCTTCATTAAAAAGGGGCTCACTGATTCACAACGGTACCCTTGAAATTTTCATCTGATTAAAAATGTAGAAGAAAAGGTCGTTTTAAAGATGATAATTTTATGTGATTTAGAGTTGAAAACTAAAACAAACAAACTTGAAAATAAAACTGATGAAGACAAAGATGATAAAGAAGATAAAATTGGTAAAAATGATAAAATTGATAAAGATGATAAAATTGATAAAGGTGAAGTAGATAATAAAGATGATAAAGAAGAAGATGATGATGATTCTGAAGACGACGATGAAAACATTAACGACAATGAAGAAGAGTATGACAGTTACAAAGATGTGGGAGGTAATCAACAACTCTGAACCAATAAATTCAAAGTAAAATTCTCTGTTTGGGTGTTCTTTCATCTGTCCTTCTGTCTGTCACTGTGTCAGTCTGTTTGTTTGTCTGATCATAACTCATGAACCTCTTAACTGACTTACCTAAAATTTTCATTGAGGAACTCGGTAGAACGACGGATAAAGTAAGGTTCCCAAGCTAGTATTATATTAAATAAGAAAATAATGGGATTAAGATCAAAACGTTTGCAATATATAAACCAGAATAAAATGACTTTTTATTTTTTTAATAACTTAATTCTGGATCTTTTTTAGCTCTGGACTATAAAGACAATGAGCCATCAATAAAGAAAAAGTTTGGACAAGGTATCTCTTTTTAAATGAATTATTTATTTTTAGTGAATTCTTATCAAAACAGCCTTAACACCCCCCCCCCCTTCATCCAAATGTCCAGTAATCACTGGAGGTTTCTCTTTTCAGAAGAATGTGGAATTTTCACTTTTTAAAATTAAATTTTATCTGTTTTTTACAAGAAGAGAAGCAGACGGATATCTACAGTAAATACAATGTGGATTCAAAACTAAATCATGAGATAAAAGATGCATCTGATAAAAGTGAAAACGAAAAAGAAAAAGAAGTTACAAAAAAGTTGAAGACTGTCGGCGACATTTCAGGTGACATATGAGTGACACAACGACATGTCCGATTTTTTATGAAACTTTTTATTTTTTTCTGATCTTTTACTGCATTAGTCTTCACAGCGTGAAATCCATGTGCGAGTGATTGTTGCATATTTCTAGAACTAGAATTAAGATGAATTCATTTCAAACCATTTTTGCAGAAACCAAAATAAATGTTTATTTTTTTATAAGTACCGAAAAATCTATTTGATTTAACGTGACTGCATAATATAAAACTAGGCTTTCAGGGAGCTTTGCGCCCATCTTCTATTTCGACTGTGAACATTTTCTCTGTAAAACAATAAAAAAAATTCGCGGATTTTGTAAAATAGTTTTGTTGATTTTTTAAATTTATTTAAAATCGAATTTTAATCATCCATACACCTTCCCTGGGGTCATGTGAGGTCCCAAACAAAATTAAGGCCCGATCGGTTTAGACGTTTTCACGTTTGTTGGATACACATTACAGACACCCAGACAAGCAAAGTATTTATATATAGATGCATATACAATAATTGTTTGAATCTCAGAAAATTGGCTTTTCTGTAATTTATTTAGTGAGTTTAGAAGTTGAACTGTGTTTTAATTAAACCACTTCTCTAGTTTGTAGTTAAAGTTGGAGGGAAGTGTTTTAAGTTGTCGTTGCTCAACTATTTATATTCAAATAGAAGTGATTTAACAAAGTTTACGTAGCTCAACCATTTATATTTAGATATTGCTGGGGACTATAAGGACAATGAGCCATCAATTAAGAAACAATTAGAACAAGGTAGGTATTTATTTAAAAATCATTTATTAATTTCTTTTAAGAAGTGCCAGCGAACCTCTTCTGATTTTTCATAATTCATCTGATTTCAAGTGACCCTCCATGTCCATGTATTTTTTAGAGAAACTCCTATTGAAAATAAGAATTTTTTAGTAAAAAAAACATTGATATCTTATTTATCAGATTGAGTTTTCATGGGTACCATTGTGAATTTTTACTTTATATTTTTGTCAGAAGTATCAAGTAGTAAAAACCCTTTTTTAGAAGTGAGGAGTAAGGTTGATATTTACAGTAAATATAATGTTGACTCCAAGCTGAAACATGAAACACAAGATGCAGCACATAAAAAGGAAAAACAAGAAGAACCTACTGAAAACTTAAACACCAATAAATTTGGTATTTTTTGTTAATAACATTGAGAACCAGAAACCTCTGGAATAGGAAGACGACTTTAGACTCTGCAATTTATGACATTAAATAGTCCAAAGAACATGATAAACAGCAATTGTGAACTGTAAACAGACCCATCTCACTTCAAAAATTACAAATACAAGTATTTGCTTGGTAACAACATCAAGAATTCACATACACTAAATTATTGCGTTGATGTCGTCTTCCTATTCCACAGTTTTCTGGTTGTCACTGTATCAAACATTTTACGATTATTAAAAAAAAAATTTGCTACCCTACTTTGATATCTTTTAAATATAAAATTTACTATTGTTGATTTGATAAGGGAATTAGCTCACGATCGTTTCGTTTTGAAAACGACGAAGAAAAAACCAAAACGAAACGATCGTTTTTTTTAAATATTATTTTTTCTCATCAATGCTTGGTCCCAAGATTTACAACCCAAAAGTTTTGAGTTCTGAGCACTTTTTAAAAATGTTACCATAATTGCAAATTTTAATTCTATAATTGCATTCCTACCACACTTTTTAGTTTTTACTTAATAACATACATTAATTAGGTATGGCACTATATTTGTTGTTAACTTTTTCCTACTAGGTCATGATGATATGGCATCTTTAGATCTAGATGCTTACATGGCGACACAATCTAAATCTTTAGAAAGAATCAAGAAAGGTGAGCTGAGAGAATAACTTTGTAATCTACGCTTAGTCGGTTCCTTTGTGAAGTGCGATCAAAAGTTTTGCTTCTTGACTATTTAGTTCAAAGAAACTGCGTTCTTGCAAAAACCCTGAATTTTTCATATATTTGATATTTCAAATCTAAATCAAGTTTAAATAAAATATCAAAATTCAAAATTGAATGTTCATGATTTAAAAAGGAGTTCTTGCCAAAAGCTCTGATTTGTTAACCCGGCCCCATATCTTTGCAAACGAATCTTTAATATTTCAGACTTTGTATTTTGTTAAATCAAATAGTTTAAATTTAAAAAAATAAAGGGGGGGGGGGTGACTCTCATGTCAGCTAGGGGCAAAGTTATGTAAGAGTCTAATATAAGTGGAAAGGGAATACTGTTAGTTCATACAATTTTGTGTAAATCTTTTATAAAAAACTTTTTTAAATGAATTGTTTTTAAAAAATTTGTTAAAGCTAAACTATGGAATTTCATTTGATTGCCACAACCTCTAATTTTCTTATTCCTGTATCTTAACAACCTCTGCAAGTTTGATTTTTTTTTCAAACTTAGATTAATTGATCTACCATAACTCACAGTTTAAAATATCTCGATTCTACGACAGTGGGTTGCAAAAATATAGGAAATAGGGCTTCAAAAATTTTAGTTTGTGGAAAAAAACATTTTCTTTGAATTAAAAAAAAAAAAAAATTATGATAAAAAAAATTTTTAGTCGTTGGAAATAGTGAAACAGAATCCATACTGAAATCAATTGTTAGAGTTGTGAAGGAAGGTAATTTTACTTAAACATTATTCATTTACAGTGATAACCAGAAAACTTTGAAATAGGAAGACGACTTATAACTTTTAATAGTCCAATGTGCATAATAAATAGCAATTGTGCAGTGTAAACAAAATCAGTGATTCAATTAATGTCTATTAAAATTATTTGCTTTGTAACAACATCAAATACTCTAAAATATTGTCATCATGTCATCTTCCTATCCCATTGTTTTCTGTATATCACTGTATGAGAACAAACATTGGCAAACTATCGAAAACCTCTTTTTTCCCCGGAAAATACAGAAATTTTTTTCTGCGAAAGTTTAGTTTTCTGAGGGTCTCTGGAGCATTTAGGGGTGAAGGGAGGGGTCTCCCGAGGGATTCTGGAGGTCTCCAAAGAGATTTTTCAGTAATAATATGGGGATCTTCAAAGAAAATATGGTGGGCGGTCTCTGATTCAACATTGTGAGTTCTCAATGAAAATTTTGAGATTAACGATGAAATCCTGGGGGTTTCCAATGATTATTTGGATGTCTCCAATGAAAATCTGGAGGTCACCAATGAGATGGTATTGGGCAACTTCTATAAAAGCGGGGTCTCCAATGATACTCCAAAGATGAAGATTTTATCGCAGACTCGTACTTAAATCCAATTTAATATATCTTTCTGTACCACTGTACTGTACTGTACCACTCTGATTCTCATATTTTAGCTTTCAGAAAATGATAAACAGTACGCAGCTGATCCATCCAAACTTCAAAGTGCTGCTAAAGAGCAGCAAACTAAAAACGAAATCAAGAAATGGTTCTCCAAATTTTTAAGTAAGTTCAGATTTCTTAATTTTTAAAAGACTAAACATTTACATAGTGTTATGTCTAATTCACAACAGTACCATTTAAACATTGATCTAATCGAGGATAAATGAAATATTGAGATAATCTTTGATTTTCTAGCTGAAAATAGATTTTTTACTGTGGGTTCTCTGTTAATGTAATTTGCGGTCACGGGCGACAATATCAACTATAATTGTTTTTAAAATAAATGTGTAATGGAACTGTTGTGAATTGGACTTTCCGTTGATTACGTGAAGGGTTTGCTTGAATTTATTTTTACAGTTCATGTAAAGAAAAATTAAGATATTTAAATTGTTTCTTTTTTAAATATTAAGAGTTTTTTCTTCAAAAATTCAAAGAATTAAAATTATTTATTTTAACAAACAGGAATGAACGTCTGCCATAAAACCTAATTGTTCATTCCCAAAGTGTTTTGCAACTTTTTCAAATTTTTACTTTTTGATTTAGCAGAATTCATAGTTTAAAATATCAAAGGTCTACACAATGAGGTTAATTAAATATAAGAATTAGAAATTTAAATATTATAAGCAAATATTCTTTACATGCATGTAAAACTAATCCTTTGAATTTAGAATATTCAGTTGAAAATATTGAAGTAGCAGAGAAAAAAATAACTGAAGGTAAACTAAAATTTTTCAGAAATTTGTTGTTTGATCTTGATGTTAAGAAAATATGTTGTTTGATCTTGTTATTCTAAAATTATTGTTTGAACTTGTTTTTCTGAAATAACTGTTTGATTTTGTTTTTTTTCTGAAAGTTTGATCTTGTTTTTCTGAAATAATTGTTTGATTTTTTTTTCTGAAATTATTGTTTGATCTTGTTTTTCTGAAATGATTGCTTGATCTTGTTTTTCTGATATAATTCTTTGATTTTTTTTTCTGAAATAATTGTCTGAAATGATTGTTTGATCTTGTTTTTCTGAAATTATTGTTTGATCTTGTTATTCTGAAATAATTGTTTTATTTTTTTTCTGAAATTATTGTTTGATCTTGTTTTTCTGATATGATTGTTTGATCTTGTTTTTCTGAAATAATTCTTTGATTTTTTTTTTCTGAAATAATTGTTTGAAATGATTGTTTGATCATGTTTTTCTGAAATAATTGTTTGATTTTTTTTCTGAAATTATTGTTTGATCTTGTTTTTCTGAAATAATTGTTTGATCTTATTTTTCTGAAATAATGGTTTGATCTTGTTATTCTGAAATATGTTGAAAGATAAAAAAAATTACTTAACCGTACATATTTTCAAAATTATATATCATGAGAGATGATACACAGATGTTTTTATTTGAGGAATGTCATTAATGTTGTAAATAATTATTCCTTATAGCTTTTTACCTTTAAATTCGTCTTTTCATCATATAACTAAAAACAGAGATTGTCTGAAGGGATTCAGTTAATCATAATAAAATTGATTTATTTATTGAAATTATATCACTCATGAATGGTAAGTTCAACTATAGCAGCGCAGATTCTCGGGAAAAAAATTTATTAGGAATTTTTTTCAATTAATTTAAATGAAAATTGACTTTTCAAAATGTTCCTCGTCAAAGAAAAAGGTTTTTTTTTACGGAAATAACCTTGTACCAAGACAGGTGTACCATTTTATTTCTATGAAATTACCTTGGCACTATTACTATGCCAAGACGTCTTTTAAAAAAGAACAAAATATCAGTCTAAAAACTTTACCACTGCAAACCAAACTAATTATGATAAAAATAGTTATTTCCGTTGAATTAAATGTTTTTTGTTTCTTATCCATGGACTGAAGACGTGATAACGTGTGGCACATTTTTATAGAATAGCATGTCCAATTTACAACGGTACCCCCAAAACATATTGAACAGGTTAATGAGATTTTCTTGTTTTTCAAACTGAAAATTTATCATATCAAATTTAATTTTGGTCTCTTTCGAAAATTACTTGCGAATTTATGCTTTAGATACGATGAAGAAAGTTGACAGAATTCGACGCTGATTTAGAACCGTCAATCTACCTCATGTTTCCTCAAGTAAAGGGTACCGTTGTGAATCGGGCATCTAGATATTTTAATAAAGGGTCACTGTAATTCACATTTACAGTCTCTTTTAATAAGATAATGTTTTTTTTCAGAAATGAAGAAAAGCACTCCTGGGACTAAAGACGAGAAAGAGAAAGAAAAGCAGATCAAAATCAAGAAAATTGTAGATGATAAACTTGCCAAATTTTTGTACGTTTTGAAATTGTGATATCAAATAATATTAACTTATTTGAAATAACTTTAAAAAATAACACTTTTTTAACCGAGAATAAAATAATATGATTATATGAACAAAGAGTTTTACAGTATCATTACAAATTAGATAATTATTGAAAACATCTGTCATAACTAGCTAAATAACATTTTTCAATATTAATACGTAACTAAAAGCAGTTATACAAAAACTAAAATAAAAAAATAACTTATTTATTTTTATTTTACATAATAATTACATTTATAGTTTTTTATAAACTGCAGGGCCCAAAAAGTTGGATAAATAATAAATAATAAATCTAAAATTGTATAAATTTCTTTCTTTTTATGAATATAAGAATGTACAAGAAATTCAGTCTTTGTCTCAAACTTAAATTTTATTATCTTAATATTTGTTCAACCTGATGATGTAAACCTTTGATATTTCAAACTCAGATTATTTTATCAAACAGAATTTATAGTTTGAAATATCTATGGTATGACATTGGTTTGTAAAGATAAAGGGAAAATATAAACAGAGTTTGTGGCAAAGACTCAATTTCTTTATCTTGCAATTAACCTCAACCTCAAAAAATTATCGATGATTATCGGTTGACGGATTTGTTTGGAAATAAATGTTGCAACTTTCTTCGATCAGAGTATTTTTAACAATTTCTCCTCATAGACTTAACAGATAGAAGTAAGATTAGTAGCAGCAATCAGCGTCGATAATTTTTCGCCGTAAGCCTAAAGACCCTTTCATTTATTGCGAACACTCCCTTTAATCTGATTAATAAAGTGAAAGATATCATTGTGTTATCTTTCTTTAAAATTGCCGAGAAACCACAATGAAAATAAAATATGGATATATAATTAATTCATACTTGATCAGACAAAGGTTTCAAGGCCATGCCACTCCGTCAATTGGGGAGTAACTTGAAGTTACTTGTGCAGTTTCTTTAGTTGAACTTTTTATCATATTTGTGCATGGCATGGCAGTTGTTAGGATCACAGTAACTCCAAGTGTTGTACTGGACAAGTCATCATTCAGACCAACAGTGAATTTAAATGAAATATAATGAATAAAGTTGCAAAATGAATAACACAATTTACATGTTCAAATAACTTTTTTTCAAGTATTTGAATTTAACCTATAAAAAAAAGTTTTGAAAATTCTAAGAGTAGGTTTCACCCCGTCAGGACATTTGTCTGAAAATATGTTTTACACTTTTTTAAAGGGGACAAATTTTTAAGGATATTTTTCAGAAAAAGTATTTTTTTTTTCAAAATTATAAAATAATTACTTTCTTGCTCCTTCGGGGATACCGGATAGGGACACCTAGTACAAGTAATGGGATTTGCTTGCTGTTACTTCAGTTTTTAAAATGACTGTAATTCAAAGGGACCCTTCATTTGTAGGCGTGTTCATCTACAAACCTTTAAATCTTTGACTGATAAAAAACTTATCCTTATTCAAAAACCGTCTAGATTTTCGAGAAATAGAAAAACAAACGAAGTTCTCTGGCCTCGATGATCAGTCAAAGGTTTGGCAGGTATTATTGTAAGATATATTTTTGTATGGAGATCGCTTGAAATTACACTGATAGTCCTTTTAAAATGTAATGTTAGCCAAAATTGTTAGAAAAGAGAAAAAGTTAATTTCCAATTTGGTTTGAATAATATTCCTGATGATCTATTGTCATTGATGTTGGACACCAGCTACCCCCACTGCTTGGGATACACCTTATACAAGTAAAATGTAAAACACAGAAACTATTCGTCAAATTTTGATTTTTCAGAGGCCACAATTTTAACAATTTTATTAACAAAACAATTGATACCTAAGATAAGACTTGAACCTTTTGACATGTTAAATCTTATTTCAAAAAGTCTAACTTTGATGAAAAATAAGTCTATTTAGACAGCACCTGTTCCATACAAATCCTCCAAAAAGAACTGGGAAAATGCAGGGGTTCCCGTCCTTAGTGAAACATGAAGGATTTTCTAAATAATCAATCTTGTTAAATATAGGACTGTAGAAATAGTTTTAAGTGACCCTCCATTTATAGAGCGGAATGTCACAATGGTGTCTTATAAAACCTTTAAATGAACATTGTTGAAAATTTGAAAAGTGATTATTTTCATTTTTGGTTGCTTTATAAGTTACTCAATGATTTCTACCACAAAAACAATGCTAGAAATAAAACAAAAATGTTACTGAACTATTGATCAGATAAATGACACTATCGTGAATCAGGCATGCCTGCCCCTCTTTACAATGTAGTCAATACTTAGAATTAAAGCGACAGTCCCATAATTATTTTAAAGAAAACATTCTTTTTATTCCAAGCAAAATAGATACTTTTCAGTCCTACAATTGCTTTATGATTTTGCATTTATGATAACTTTAATTTTTTAATGTATATACTGATGTAGTGACCAGTTATGTGCTTAACAAAATGTTTTGAATATAGAACTACAATTCTAGAAAGGACAAATACATGATGCTATTTCTGAACTATATTTTTTTCGGAATTTTAGCTTTTTTTACCTGGCTGTGTGGTTGTTTCAAAATACTTGTCTGGAGAAAAAACTATAAATTATAGACTGTAAAAAAATGAATATGTCATGAAGAAAATGTTGGTTTAAAAAAAAAATTTATGTTTTTTTTCCTATTATGTGTGCTGGGAGTCCTTTCAGATCTTCCAATTCTTCTGTCTCTGTCAAATATAAAGATTGCAATGAAAAAATTTCATTTTTAAAAGAGCTTGCTTAAAAAAGTTATTAAATTCATTTGGAATGAATTAACCTTCATCAAAAAATGTTTCAGGAAAGATTGTGCTCTGTCGTGTTAGGTTCATTGTGTAATTCTTTGCAAAATTGCTTTGGTCCTCCAACATCTCCTTTCCATGCGCCAATTCTGCGGAAATATTGTCATGAGATGTTCCAAGATCGGTAGATAGCTCTTCTACTGTTATTGATAGTGTTACTTGACTCATGGTAGAAATCTGAAAACAATAGTTTTCAAAAACACTTTATTTTTATATTTATTAAATATCCTTTTCCCACCTTTGAGTAAACTTCAGTGAAAACGTCAAGAGGTTCGTCAAAAACCTTTCTTGTAATGAGATCATAATTCACAGTTTGATTTTCACCCTCTTCTTCTTCTTCTGTTGGGGTATACAAATCCTCCATGATAATATCTAATATGAAAAATTGTGTAAAGCCCAAAAAATGTAATTTTTAACGTACAACTACTGTTTTTTTTGTATGCAACAATATTCAAGTTTCGTGGTTTTCTGCAAATCTCAAATCTTATTTATACAGACCCATGTTAAAACCAGCTCTTTACAAAGGAATTTAAAATTATAGTTTTTCTTGGGGGGGGGGGGGTCAGCCAAAATGAGTTTATTCCATGAACCTCTTCTTTATGTCAAATAAGGCTTGGCCGCTTAAGATGTTTTTTTGAGAGAAGTCTCTAAGTTGTTTAAATGTAATGTTTTAGTTAAGAATTTCCACTGAAAACCCGCTATTACATTGAAAACGTTTAGAATAGGATTTTTCAACATTCTACTTTTACTAATTCAAGGTTTTGGCGTACTGCCGACGCCCCTAAATCTTTTTTATATGGCTGTTAGAACCTATTTATGTATTTAGATTATCCCGAAACCGCTGTGCTTTATTTGTAGTTTACAAAAACCAGTCACCCTCCCCCCTGATCCTCTAAAATTCCCCCGATTTCCAACCTGATATTATGTTCTTTCTTTTATGAGGTGTTTGCTTTATTATGCTCTGATTTCCAACATCAGATGATTCTTCAGCGTCTTCTTTATACATCTCAGTATCATCTTTATCAATCGTTTTATCATCTTTATGCAGCTCTCTATAAATGTTTTGATCTATTAAAGTGACTGTAAACATAATTTCAAGTAACACTCCATCAATAGAATGTCATGTCTAATTCACAACAGTTCTTTTAAACCATCATCTGATCAAGTATGAATTAGATACACATATTTCTATGTAATCCTTGACCAGACAAAGGAACAAAGGTTTAAAAGGTTTCGTTTCAAAATTAAATTGTTACTTGATAAGTGACTCTAATTTACAGTATTTGGTATTTTTTCTTGCTGGATTTATATTTTAAACTTTAAACTTACTGGTTTAATATTTTGCATTTACCTATGATATTGTGTTAGCAAAGGATCTTCAGACCCTGTTGATATTGACTCCAAGGAGTTAACTGATTTTAAATCCAAGAACTGAGATGACTCCAACAACCCAGATAGTTCAGATGAGTCTGAAGGGTCTGGATGCCTGAACACAGAATAATCATCTGCGCATGCTTAAATTTTTTTACCCTATACTGACACAGTACACAGTACACACTGAATGTATTCTTAGTTGAGTTTTCAATATGTATACTTTGTTTCAACAAATACGATCAAAACAAAATTATCAAACAATACATTTTTAATTGGCTCATAATCAGTTTTCTTTTGTGTTTTATTTTAAGCTGAACCATCATGCATTATTATTTTGTATTTTGTGTTTGAAAATAAATACTCTAACTCTAACTCTAACATTAAGTTAAAATAATCCGAAAACTGCCTGTTTGTTTGTATCCAATAAACGTAAAAACCGATCGGATCCAAATTGTGTGTTGGACCTCACATGACCCCAGGGAAGGCTCATGGTCAATGGATGATCAAAATTAAAAAATTTTGCCTCCGACAAAATTCGATTTTGATTAAATTTCAAAAATCCGCGAACATTTTTTTAATCAGGCAACTTTGTTGTTTGTTTTTGTTTTACAATGTATACAAAGATTAAATGTTCACTATTTAACAGATGGGCCCAAAAAGCCTAGTAACTTGAATTTAACATAATTTACCTTAAATTCAAGATTACAATCAGAACGTTAGAGATTTTATTCTACACGAATGTCGAAGGAAAAGAAATTTTGTTTGAAAAATAAGTTAGATTAAAATGATGATATGAAATAAAATTCCAATCTAATTACCGTCAAAACTTACCTACTGAAGTGTACTGATAATATAATTATAGCCATGACTGTTGTAATCAGCATCACTGAGCCAAATGACCTGAAAATTGTAAAAAATGACTAAAAAGCTTCACTTAAAAATGCAAAGTAAATAATCTTTCAAACCGTGAACGCAATGTTGGTTAACAATTTTTGTTTTAATATAAAGATGTTATTGCTTACAATAACATCAATAATTCCATTTTTGACTAAAATTGAAAAAAATGTGGGGAGGGGAATCTGTGAAAATTGCAATGTTCTTTGTTCAATTTCAAATGAATCTATGAAAATTTATTTATTATATGTGAGAAACTTTTGGATGTCTTCAGAGACAACTCCTTTTTCTGAAGAAAATAAAATAAAGTTTGTTTAAGGATTTCCATTTTATTTTTTGGGGTACAAAGTCGTAGGTTTCCTCCTTTTAATGAGATTGGTATTTGGTGGTTTTTATTTGAAGTGATAGAACTGTTTACTGGTAATAATAAAGTTTATTCCATTTCACCTGCATCCACAAGTATATGCTGTAGATGAGTTCTTGTAAGTAGTTATTATAGGTGCACTGGGTCTAAATATACAATTCTGTTTGAAAATATATCTTTGCAACCTGATGACGTAAACCTTTAATAGCCTATGTGATCTAACAGATTTCAAAGTATATGAATTATCAAAGGTATTGGGATCAGAAAATCAGAGTTGTGGCAAAAACTCAGTTTCTTTCTTATTCATTTAGTTAGTTATTATTGTATGGTTTATTGCTATTACACGAAATAAACATGAACAAATTTAATGTATAATGGCTTGTAAAAACTTAGATTAGCGTTTGGTGCCCCCCCCCCTCTATTTTTTCCCCTAGCACTCTCATTTTTGACACTTTCACCGTGAAATGTTGTGACTTTAATAAATAGAAATTTTTTGTAAATTTGTTTTTTATGCATTGGTTACTGGTTAGGGTACAGGGTGGTAAAAAGTCCAGTCTGTGTAAAAAAATCTAAATTAGCCAATAACTTTTTTATGACTAAAGCTACAGACCTAAAAACTATATTTTTGAAAAGCTCTTGAAAAATGAATGAAGAAACATGTGTCACATAATCACATTTTGATATTTGTATAAACAAAAAAAATATTTTTTACTTTTTTACCCTTTTCTTTGCATATTCTACCCTCCTTAGCACCCAAACTTTAAAAGTTATCGATCTAATCTTTTTTTCAATGATCTGGCCTTGAAAAACTGGGCTACGAACATGAATTTCAACCCTATACCTATTCTCTAAGGACTTTTCTATGGGGGGCGCCGGGCGGGTATAAATAGATTCAGACCCCTCAGCCTTGGTAGGCTTAATCCATTTATTAATGAATGGGATTTCCTATTAACGACCACATTATTTATACGATAAACCATCATTAACAACCCTGACAATCGTTAATTCAGCAATTGTTAATTCAATATATAGAATAAAAAATTTAGAAAAAATAAGATAATGAGGATGTCTTTACAGAACGTGGAAAAAATTGTTCTTCAAAATCATGAAAATGCCCGATTATAAATTATCGATTATCGATTATAAAAGCAGTTTTGTAAACATTTGTTAACTTAGCGGTACAAAAATATCTAACTAAGCGCTATCTTTAGTTTGAATTATAAAGATGTTTTACCTAAATTCTACTCCATTCAAAGGTTGGTATCCTGATCTGAAGTGTATCTGATCATCTTGAGTTTCAGAACTACCTTCATCAACCTTTTCGACATTTACCTCCTCCTTAAACATAAGTTGAGTGGTCTTTATCCTCATCGTATCTTCCTACAATTTAATAGCACTTTAACAAACTTTCTAGCCGATTTATCCATCTTAAAAATAATAGTTAAGAGGGTGGTATCGTTATCTGATGTTCCTGGATTTCAGAACTATCTTCATCAACCTTTTCGACAGATACTTCCTCCTAAAAAATAATAGTCCAGCAGTCGGTATCTCATCTTATCTTCCTGAATATCAATAGAACCTTTAACAACGTTCTCAGAAGATATCACCTCTGATATCAGTTGGCCACTTGGTATTCTCATGGCATCTTCATGAATTTCAACCTCTACAACAGATACCTTCTCCTTAAAAGCATTATTGAAATTCTATCCTTATCCCTTCTTCTTGAATTTCATATTATCCTCATATGATCTTCCTGAATTTCAGAAAAATCTGTATCAACCTCTACAACAGATACCTCCTCCTTAAAAATATTAATTCAGCGGTCGTATCATCCTAAGTGCTTAAAATAGATTTCCAATTTAAATTAAGGATCAATGTTTGATCCTACAAGTTATAAAAAAATGTCGACAATCATTAATTATTTAAATGCGCCTATTTCAAAAGAAAATCTGCGAAAATGTAGAATGACTAAAAATGGCGACTTTCAGAGCAGCAACAGGTAAATGCTAAAATTAGTTGTAGTAAAAGAGGCATGAAGAGCATTAAAAGATTAATTTTTTATAAAATTTAGCATCATAATACGTATTTGATTACCTCTATCCTAATATGGCTTTCAGACACTTTCTTGTCTAGCTCTATCATCTCCTCTATGTCATCACCAGGGGGCTCTCTTCTCTGATTTCTGGTTGGTGCTATATGCTTCTCCATGCTTGTAGTAGTGTACAACTGAAAATGCAGAAGTAAAAGAAATATAAAAATAACCTTCCATGAATGGAATGGCATGTTTGATTTACAACGGTACCCTAAAACGCTTTGTCTGATTAAGATGAGAGGATCCATGCAGACATTTTAAATGAATCTCAAAAACTTTTATGTTTTTATTCCAACATGTATTTTTATAAAAAAAAACATTTGCTAAAAATGTCAAAATTCGAGAACATTAGATATTTCAAAAGTATTGTCGAAAGAACTATCTCAGTAACAATTCCAGATACTTCAGATAAAGCCAAGTTTTCAAAAGTAGCAATTCTTGAACCACCAAACCAAAGTAAACGAGTTTAAACATTATTCATTGAAGGGAGGGAAAGTGACCTTCTGTACAAAGATGGCAATTCCCGATTCACAACGGTATCCCTTAAATCTTTGTCTATTCAATTAATATGAACTAGATATCAATATGTATTATTTTGAAAACTGATTCTCTTTTCAATTTTGGTTTATCTCCAAACTTGACTTGTGCATTTACATAGCAAAAAAACATGTAGGAATTATTAGAATTGAACACTTTTAAACCTGGTTCATTTGGTGTACCGTACCATTTTGCCTGGTATAATCTATATGCGTATTATACAGCTCGCTCTAGTTGGTTAGATAACACCTTTATCAACCGGAATTAACAATAAATTGTTTGTACAGTCCATTAAAAATTACCTGTATTATTTCTGATTTACTCAAAGGTCCAAGTTTGAGATATTTTCTAGATTCAATCTTTGAATTAAACCTGAAATAGTTTAGCAAAACTCCTCTCGTGCAATTACAAATGTATAAACGAGATAACATACAAAATGGGAACAAAGATATTCAGTTTTTGCCACAAACTCTAAATTTTCAAATCCTTTATTTTTGCAACCCGATGTCGTAGACCTTTGATATTTCAAACTAAGAATTCTGTATGATCAAATAGTTTAAGTTTGAAAAATCAAATCTTTGCACCACGCAGAGGACTTTTTTTAATTAATCATTATCATGAAAATATAAACTATTTTCTTACCCTAACTGTAATTTTCTAATCCCTTTAATCTTTTGAATTCTGGTCAAATAGTTAAAACTTGAAATATCAAATTTTACACAATCTGGGAAAGATTAGAAAATTAGTATTTTTGCAAATGTTCAGTGCTTTCAGGTATTTGTGTCTTGTTTCCCTATTTTCCTAAGGTACACTTTTCCAAAGAACTATTTCAAAATAGAACTTTTTACAATGTCAAATAATTAGACTGTAGGGAAGGAATAGGTCCGATCACTGTTGAATATTTGGTCAAATCTGTCATTTAAAAATTATATTTTTTTGACATTTTTTATTTTTGACATTTTCACTAGGAAAAATGCTTTTTTACTGTAGCATTGGAAGAAAGACTTTGAAAAACCGTCTCCTTACCGTCCTTTTGTACTTTTAATCCAGTTCTTTTGGAAAATTAATATACTATAATAGTTGTTGAATGCATTCATGGAAAAATTACACTAAGAAGCCAATATTCTATAAAACCTTATTTCTAGAACAAAATAAATATATATTATTGATTTATATATTGACGTCTGGCTAATACTTTTCAATCCGTTTTTTTTTTAATTTAACGTACTGAAATCAATAAAATAATCATCTAAATTGGCTCAGGGGTTATACCGAGGTATCATATCAAATTTGAGACAAATAGGTCCACAGGTTCATCACTTATGATCGGACATTCAAACAGAGATTACTAATATATATTTCTTATATATACTAGCTTGGGAACCCGGCGCTGTCCGGGTCACTAATAGTTATTCCCGCCGTTTACCCGCACTTTAATGATTTGACCGGGAAACTAAATATTCGCTATTAAGGTCGACGTAGAATCTTAAAACCAAGTCAATAACATTCCTGTGGCTCTCCCAAGTTCCTCAATCAAAATTTGAGGCAAATCCGTCCAGGGGTTTCTGAGTTATGATCGAACAAACAAACAAATAGACACCCAAACAGAGATTACCAATATATATTGATACACTAAATTCAAATTAATAAACTTTATGTATGTAAAGATTAATGACCAAATAAAATTAAGAAAAAGAATTTATACATACATATTCATGAAATGATTGAGAAAATATGTAATAAAAATGTTTTCACAAGAATGTGTCTGATCTAACACCTAACTAGTAATAGAGAGATATATTTATACATGTTAACGCTCCATATAGAAATATGACTCGTAAAAAGCAGCTTTCAATTTCTTTATTTCGTGGAACTTATAATAATACTCAACAACCCCCTCCCCCCTCCTCCTCCTTAGAATTTGAATTAAATTTTTTTCAGCTGGGGGGGGGGGGGGGGAAACACTATTTTTTGCGTAACTTTGTAAGTATTGGTCTATTTACGTCTGTTCAAATTTTATAACTTTTCCAAATTCACCGAATTTTAATTTACTTTAGTTAAACTATAACAAAAACATAGTGTAACATTCTTTGTTTATCTCTACTAATACAATTTTAACATTTTTGAATACATTGTAATATCTTATCAGACGGATTTGTTGTGATATATTTGGAAAAAAAGGAATTGAGTATTTAATCTTTATGCAACAAACTCAAATTTTTGTATCCCTATATCTTTGCAACCTGATGGTGTAAACTTTTTATTTTTTCAAATTTACATTATTTAATCCAACAAAATGCATATAATATATTGAAACTCATTCAATTCTATTGCTTCCACAAATGAATTATAATTGCCACAAAAACTGAATGCGCTGGATGAATTTAAAAGGACAACAGTTTGTTGTTTGTTATTGTGTATATATGTGTATACATGTTAGCTAGATAGCTGGGCAAACGGCTGGACCGATTTGGCTGAACATTTTTTAAGGAACCCATGGGTACCCTTGTGGTAACATAGGCTCAACAATTAGATTTTTTCAAATTCGAAATTTTAGTTTTAAAAATAGAATTTTATTTTTCAAAATTAGACTTTATTTTTAATTCACTGGTAACGCACTTTGCAGCTAGTATTATATAACCCTTTATACACACGTGCAAAAAGGATCTAAATGTTTTATCATAAAAGTGCCAACTGGTATATGGCATATATAGTTTAAGCCGTTTAAATAAACTCATATTTGTATTAAAAATATGTTTTACTTTATGAATCGGCAGTTTATTCCTGATAAGAGATTGCGGTGTCAGCCTGAACTCTTATCTTATTTTCCTCAAGCGATATATATTTAAGGTTTAGTCATCAGACACCAGAGATTTGAGAAGGATGCGGGAAATTGTGCATGTGCAGGTGGGGCAGTGTGGTAACCAAATAGGATCTAAGTTTTGGGAAATCATCTCTGATGAACATGGTATTCAACCTGATGGAAGCTATAACGGAGACTCCTCCCTACAGCTTGAGAGGATAAATGTCTACTACAATGAGGCTAATGGTGGCAAGTATGTGCCCAGAGCAGTGCTTGTTGATCTGGAACCTGGGACAATGGACAGCATTCGTTCTGGACCCTCTGGACAAATGTTTCGACCGGATAACTTTGTGTTTGGGCAGAGTGGGGCAGGAAATAATTGGGCCAAAGGACATTACACTGAAGGCGCTGAACTTGTTGATTCTGTGCTAGACGTTGTTAGAAAAGAATCTGAGGGCTGTGATTGTCTTCAAGGATTTCAGCTGACGCACTCTTTGGGGGGTGGGACAGGGTCAGGTATGGGGACCCTACTTATTTCTAAACTACGAGAGGAATACCCTGACAGAATTATGAATACGTACTCTGTAGTTCCTTCCCCCAAGGTGTCTGACACAGTTGTGGAACCATACAATGCAACTCTTTCTGTGCACCAACTTGTAGAGAACACAGATGAAACCTATTGCATAGATAATGAAGCATTGTACGATATCTGTTTCAGAACTTTAAAATTAACAAGTCCGAACTACGGAGACTTAAACAACCTAGTGTCTTTGACCATGTCTGGAGTCACAACTTGTTTAAGGTTTCCTGGTCAACTTAATGCTGATCTGAGAAAGCTGGCAGTCAACATGGTTCCCTTCCCGCGTTTGCACTTCTTTATGCCAGGCTTTGCACCACTCACTGCAAGAGGTTCCATGCAGTATAGAGCTCTATCTGTTCCAGAGCTGACCCAGCAAATGTTTGATGCCAAGAACATGATGGCAGCCTGTGATCCCCGTCATGGGAAATATCTGACTGCTGCAGCTATATTCCGTGGAAGAATGTCGATGAAAGAAGTTGATGAGCAGCTGTTTAACATTCAAAGTAAAAATTCTCCCTACTTTGTGGAATGGATTCCCAACAATGTCAAAGTGGCCGTATGTGACATTCCTCCACGTGGGTTAAAGATGTCGGCGACTTTTATAGGAAACTCCACCGCTATCCAAGAACTGTTTAAGAGAATTGCAGAGCAGTTTACTGCCATGTTCCGTAGGAAAGCGTTCCTTCACTGGTATACTGGAGAGGGTATGGATGAGATGGAATTCCATGAAGCTGAATCAAACATGAATGATCTTGTGTCTGAATATCAGCAGTATGAAGAAGCTAGCACAGAAGAAGATGTATTTGATGAAGAAGAAGAAGAAGAAGAAGAAGAAGAGGCTTGATGTTGACAGTTCATGATTACTTTACTTAAAAAATTCAAACATCAAAATTTGCTATACTTATTTCCTATTTTAGGCATAAGTTATAGATTAACTTTGATTTTATTTACAAAAATAACTAATGTCTATCTCAAAAAAATTGATTTGAGTTAAAGTAATTCCTAATATATTGATATCACTTTTGAAATACATATTAAAGAAGGAAACAGGTAAATTTATCTATATCCACAATATAAATATTTGAAGAAAAAGTGAACTTATTTATTTTATTTTAATATGAACTGCAGTTTTTAACTGATTTTTTCCTAAACACTCGCTTAATTTACCGCTCAAATTTCTTCACTTTTCAATCTTCATTATAGCATCGGTTTTTCAAAAAAATTAAAAATTTCATAACCATTTTTTTATCTTGAGTACAGATCTATAATATGAAAAATAGATGTAGAAGCATGTGCAGAGTGTCAGGTGTACATTTCGCGGATATTTCTGTTTACAGAGACGGATTTCCAAAAATCCAAAAAAAATCAACTTTTGACAAGCCATAAACCTTCTCTTGGGTCATGCAAGGCCTGATTGGTTCAGCCGTTTTAGCGTCTATTTGCTACAAACAAACAAGCGAAATATATGAGAAGATTATTAAATCTTAAAAAGCTTGGTTGGAAACAGAATTTTAATTATACATGCAACTTGCCATGTATAGTTTTGAAAAGTAATTTTTATCCTGATCTTCCTTGCATGATACATCTAATGATAGATCTGAAAATAAACAACTGTTCAACAAACTTTTAACAATTGTTAAACTTAAAATGATTGAATTGGAAAAGGCGAGAGGCGCAACTGTAGTAGTATTAAGGGGGGGGGGGGTTAATTATATTTATATCTACAGTGAGAACCAGAAAACTGTGGAATAGGAAGACGACATTAAAACAATATTAATGCGTATTTGATGTTGTTAAAAAGCAAATAGTTTTACAAGTAACTTCTTAAATCATTTTTATAGTGACGTGGGTCTGTTGACACTGCACAACTGCTTTGTCTTGTGCTCATTGAACTATTTAACGACATCACTTGTGTCTATAAGTCGTTTACCTATTCCAGAGTTTTATATTTCTCACTGTATATAATATTGTAATCGATTCTTTTCCCTTGCAAATATTGGAGCCCATACAGAACATATATATAATACATCACATAATATATTATTAGTAAACACATTTGTCCAATTGTTTATTGAAATGATATTTTTAAATTGTACAGATGTGCAGACACTAATTCGAAAATAAATGATAATCACACAGTGATTGTCGTATATATAAATACAATGAAGACGACTTTCGATTTAAATTTTTGATTTTTACAAAGCTTTCAAACAGCATAGATACCCACAAACAAGTAAAAAAAGAGAAGCTGTCAATTAACATATCTTCACTTTGGTTACTTGTAAACTTGTCATTTGAAAAAAGCTAGTTAAAAATCAAAACTTAAAAAGAAAAGTCATATTCATTGTATTGATAAAACCCCGGCCACTGTATAAGAGTTACATTTTGCTTAAATAATGTCGAACTATCGATAATATTCCGTTATTTGACGAACATTTTGTTCAAAATTAATCACAAAATTTTTTTCTATTGGTAGGTATTACAAATAAAATTGTAGGTTTTTTTTATAAAAGTGTTAAATTAGAAAGTACATTTTTGAAAAGAAATAACTTGTTATTTAAGAGTTGGAGGGTTGAAGAAATGAAGCCTAGTGTTAGAACTAGCATCCATCCAGGATAGTAGAACATCAGAACTCAAATCCAACCTAGATATTTCATATTCTTAAATATATCTAATATTCAGTTAGATAGATCCAACACATGGATATATCATATTCTTTAATATATCTAACATTTAGTTAGATAGATCCAACTTAGAGATCTTATATTCTTTAATATATCTAATATTGATTATGTAGATCAAACCTTAAGATATCATACTGTTTAATATATCTAACATTTGTTTGATAGATCCAACCTAGAGATATCATATTCTTTAATATATCTAATATTCAGTTAGATAGATCCAAATTTGAGATATCACATTCTAATATATCTAATATTTGGTTAGATAGATCCAACCTAGAGATATCATATTTCTTAATATATCTAATATTTGGTTAGATAGATCCAACCTAGAGATATCATATTGTTTAATATATCTAATATTTGGTTAGATAGATCCAACCTATTGATATCATATTGTTTAATATATCTAATATTCAGTTAGATAGATCCAACCTAGAGATATTATATTGTTTAATATTTCTTATATTCAGCTAGATAGATCCAACCTTGAGATATCATATTGTTTAATATAACTAACATTTGTCAGATAGATCCAACCTAGAGATATCATATTGTTAAAAATATCTAATATTCGGTTAGAAAGATCCAACCTAGAGATATTATATTGTTTAATATATCTAACATTTGGTTAGATAAATCCAACCTAGAGATATCATATTGTTTAATATATCTAATATTCAGTTAGATAGATCCAACCTTGAGATATCACATTCTAATATATCTAATATTGGTTAGATAGATCCAACCTTGAAATATCATATTGTTTAATATATCTAACATTTGTTAGATAGATCCAACTTAGAGATATTATATTTTTTAATATATCTAATATTCAGTTAGATGGATCCAACCTAGAGATATCATATTGTTTAATATATCTAATATTTAGTTAGATAGATCCAACCTAGAGATATCATATGGTTAAAAATATCTAATATTCGGTTAGAAAGATCCAACATAGAGATATTATTTTGTTTAATATATCTAACATTAGGTTAGATTGATCCAACCTAGAGATATCATATTGTTTAATATATCTAATATTCAGTTAGATAGATCCAACATTTGAGATATCACATTCTAATATATCTAATATTCAGTTAGATGGATCCAACCTAGAGATATCATATTTTTCAATAAATCTAATATTCAGTTAGATAGATCCAAATTTGAGATATCACATTCTAATATATCTAATATATGGTTAGATAGATCCAACCTTGAGATATCATATTCTTTAATATATCTACCATTCGATTAGGTTATTCAAATATTTTTGATATGTATATCGTTTGTTTGATATATTAGATATATTAAGGATTATGTTCAATTTATCTGACATATGCTACGTGATATATCTGACATGCTACGTGATATATCTGACATGCTACGTGATATATCTGACATGCTACGTGATATATCTGACATGCTACGTGATATATCTGACGTTTTATTATAATAAATCAAACATTTGAAAAGCATATCTAACACAGGTTAAATATCTTTCAATCTGTTTGATACATCTAACATTTTAGAAATATATCTGACATGCTACGTGATATATCTGACATGCTACGTGATATATCTGACATGCTACGTGATATATCTGACATGCTACGTGATATATCTGACCTTCATTTTAATATGTCTAACGTTTTATTATAATAAATCAAACATTTGAAAAGCATATCTAACACAGGTTAAATATCTTTCAATCTGTTTGATACATCTAACATTTTAGAAATATATCTTACATTCTGTTTGTTACATCTAATATGTTGTTTGATACATCTAACATGCTGTTTGATAAATCTAACATGTTGTTTAATACATCTAACATGTTGTTTTTAAGATTACACTTTTAAACTTACATAAACTGATCATCTTCTGTTACCAATCTGAAGGCAGTTTCATACTGCAGACTACCAGTGCAAGCAGAGCCATCTGCATTCACTATTTTAAACCTGAATTAAACATTTACAGTCCTATATATTCATAGGTTCAAATCTCAGGATCCAAAAAATGCTCAAACACTCTAAAAACAGGTTTTTAAGCATCCGATGATAAAAACTCACAAATTGAGAATTCTGGCTTTTTGCAATTTTTTTGAGCGATAAGATAGACTTAAATATCATCCAAAATTGGGAAATTTGTCTGTATTTATATTAACAATCTCTTTAAAGGAACGGTTAGCGTAATTGCAAATAACCTTCCATGTAATAATGGCAATGCTCCATTTAAAACGGTATCCCTTAAAACCTTTATCTGATCAATAATAAGGAAGATATTGTCGTTTTTCTAGGTTTAACAGTGTTTAATTGTAATAAGTCCTTCCTTAAGTAGATATGCACAAGTCTTTTTTTTTGTAGAGAAACCACGATTGAAAATAATTAATATATAAAATTGATCAGACAAAGTTAAAAAAGGTACCTTGGTGCATCAGAATTTGTAATTACAGTTCCTTTCATACCTGGTGAATGCATTGTTCGTTTGTCTTCCAGTTGGCATATTCAAGTTCAACAGATACATTTTTTCAGAAGCGGGACTAATATAAAAATAGTTTAGAGATTGAACAATAAAATAATAAATCTTGTAAAACAAATACTTGCATCTTTTTTTAAAAGCTAGGATAAGAATAAGTTTTGAGATTAGAGATTGAAAAATAAAAAAAATAGATCTTTTATAACAAATACTTGCATCTTTTTTAGAAGAAACAAATAGATCTTACAAAAAAATTACTTTAATCATTTTTAGAAGCTGGACTAAAATAATTTTTATGATAACATTAGATTGAACAAAAACCAAAATTAAAAAATAAACAAATCTTTTTTAAAAGCTTAAATAAAATAATTTTGATAATTAGATTAGATTGAACAAGAAACAAAAAGATTGAAAAAATATACGATAATTTTTTTTTTCAGAAGCTGGACTGAAAGAAGTGATTAAATCAGAAAAAAATCAACTTACTCCTCCACCCATACGCTGATAAGATGATTGTATGAGACAGCTCCAGTGCTCGGCCCATCTTCTCTTTTCATTATTAATCCACTAATCAAATAATTGTTTCATCATTAATCCACTAGTTAAATAATAGTTTCATCATTAATCCACTAATTAATTAATTGTTTCATAATAAATCCACTAATTAAATAATAGTTCTGTGGAAGACGATGCCTGGCCGCGTTAAACTAGTTCCACAAGATTCAACAGAATGAGATAGAACGGATACGGGGCATAGTACTGATATCATCTCTACAGTCTACACGTGCGATATCGATATTGACTCTAGTTCTGAACCCTCTAGTAATAAGTTATAAGAAATATATATACTGGAAGTTATTTATGCGTTTTATTAGAGTCTGACTCACGTCCTCTATATTGGTGACCCCTGACTTTGAACATACAGTTAAACGCTATCCAGTTTAGTGATTTTCTTGAACTTTGAACATTAAGTGATACATCCGAGCATCATGACCGACACGAAAGTAACTCCAACCGAGTTCGTCGCCAAAGTCTCCGTCAAGCTCCCGGATTTCTGGACAGAGGACCCCGACCTGTGGTTCCTTCATGCAGAGGCAGCCTTCAGAAACGCCCAGATCACACAGTCAATAACCAAATTCGACCACATCGTACAGAAACTTCCCCAGAAGATTATGGTCTCGGTACGCGGCCTGATCATGGGTTCTGCNAATAAAATAATAGTTTCATTATTAATTCACTAATCAAATATTAGTTTCATAATTAATCCACTAATCAAATAATAGTTTTATCATTAATCCACTAACCAAATAGTAGTTTCATCATTAATTCACCAATCAAATAATAGTTTCATTATAAATCCACTAATCAAATAATAGTTTCATCATTAATCCACTAATCAAATAGTAGTTTCATCATCAAGCCACTAATCAAATGATAGTTTCATTATTAATTCACTAATCAAATAATAGTTTCATAATTAATCCACTAATCAAATAATAGTTTTATCATTAATCCACTAATCAAATAGTAGTTTCATCATTAATCCACTATCCAAATAGTAGTTTCATCATTAATCCACCAATCAAATAATAGTTTCATTATCAATCCACTAATCAGATAGTAGTTTCATCATTAATCAACTAATGAAATAATAGTTTCATTATCAATCCACTAATCAGATAGTTGTTTCATCATTAATCCACTAATCAAATAATAGTTTTATCATTAATCCACTAATCAAATAGTAGTTTCATCATTAATCCACTAATAAAATAGTATTTTCATCATTAAGCCACTAATCAAATAATAGTTTCATCATTAATCCACTAATCAAATAGTAGTTTCATTATTAATCCACTAATCAAATAATAGTTTCATCATTAATCCACTAATCAAAAAGTAGTTTCATTATTAATCCACTAATCAAATAATAGTTTCATCATTAATCCACTAATCAAATAGTAGTTTCATCATTAATCCACTAATCAAATAGTAGTTTTATCATTAATCCACTAATCAAATAATAGTTTCATCATTATTCCACTAATCAAATAGTAGTTTCATCAATAATCCACTAATCAAATAATAGTTTCATTATCAATCAACTAATCAAATAGTAGTTTCATCATCAAGCCATTAATAAAATAATAGTTTCATCATTAATCCACTAATCAAATAGTAGTTTCATCATCAAGCCACTAATCAAATAATAGTTTAATCATTAAACCACTAATCAAATAGTATTTTCATCATTAATCAACTAATCAAATAATAGTTTCATCATTAATCCATTAATCAAATAATAGTTTTATCATTAATCCACTAGTCAAATAGTAGTTTCATCATCAAGCCACTAATCAAAAATAGTTTCATTATCAATCCACTAATCAAATAATAGTTCCATCATTAATCCACTAATCAAATAGTAGTTTCATCATTAATCCACTAATCAAATAGTAGTTTCATCATTAATCTACTAATCAAATTGTAGTTTCATCATTAATCCACTAATCAAATAATAGTTTCATTATCAATCAACTAATCAAATAGTAGTTTCATCATCAAGCCACTAATAAAATAATAGTTTCATCATTAATCCACTAATCAAATAGTAGTTTCATCATCAAGCCACTAATCAAATAATAGTTTCATCCTTAATCCACTAATCAAATAGTAGTTTCATCATTTATCCACTAATCAAAAAGTAGTTTCATCATTAATCAACTAATCAAATAATAGTTTCATCATTAATCCACTATTCAAATAATAGTTTTATCATTAATCCACTAGTCAAATAGTAGTTTCATCATCAAGCCACTAATCAAATAATAGTTTCATTATCAATCCACTAATCAAATAATAGTTCCATCATTAATCCACTAATCAAATAGTAGTTTCATCATTAATCCACTAATCAAATAGTAGTTTCATCATTAATCCGCTAATCAAATAATAGTTTCATTGTTAATCCATCAAATAATAGTTTCATTGTTAATCCACTATTCAAATAATAGTTTCATCATTAATCCACTAATCAAATAGTAGTTTCATCATTAATCCACTAATTAAATAATAGTTTCATTATTAATCCACTAATCAAATAGTAGTTTCATTATTAATCCACTAATCAAATAATAGTTTTATCATTAATCCACTAATCAAATAGTAGTTTCATCATTAATCCGCTAATCAAATAGTAGTTTTATCATTAATCCACTAATCAAATAGTAGTTTTATCATTAATCCAATAATCAAATAATAGTTTAATCATCATTTTCGTTCGCTGGAAAGCCTTGTTATGAGGACCTATAAAATATGGACCCAATCGGTTCAGCCTTTTCCGACGTTTATTGCGTACCTGTTGCTCCAGGAACTTGGGGAAGTTGCAGCAACTTTTGTACCCATGGCATCAATATCTAGCACCCGTTCCCAGAGCTCATCAGAGATACTGAAGTATTAGAATAGATTACAAAACATCTTACTATAAAGTAAGATACAGTGTCATTTAAAAAAGAACGCCGCCAGCATATCTTTTTAACGAGTTTAATTCTGAGCTATAGACCATTTTTCTTTTCAAGTGGGGGGTGGGATGTGGTCCCAAAAAACCTGGACACCTATTGAAACTAATCCAGGGAGGGGGCGTGGGGGGCTGCTGAGCCCCCTGAATACGCCTCTGGTAGTAGTGTTTGAAAACAGTTTTATTTTCATATTTTCCTAAAAAGCTCATATACCACTCTAAAGAGCCGGGAATTCGCACCAACTGCCTAAGTCTACAATTGTACTGGGTACTTGAATGCTTTTACTTTTTTTGGACAATCTTAATGTCCGCTAAAGGGACAGTAAAGGGAAAATAAAAGGGGGTATACGCTGAAAGCTAATCACTTTAGCTCTTGGTCGCGACCCATGAAAGTTATATCTGATGTTCCTGTCTCGAGAAACTGACATATAACTGTGTTAAAATTATACGAAAATTCATATATGTAAAATTTTGAAAATCTGAAACTTAAATCACGTGACCAGAACTATCACCAATGGCAGAGCAGTATACTGGTCACGTGTCTCCGCCTGTATCACGTGACCACTTTACTGCACTGCCATTGGTGGAATTTCTGGTCAAATAATACGGACGTAAAAATAATATTATGAATGAAATCTATTGAAAATAGAAATAACAAATATAAAAGTAAACCTAATTTACAATTAGCTTTCTCTGGGATATCATCGTTTTCAGATTGGTCGCTTATTTGCTGAATATGATCTGTTTAAACCTACTACTTTTATACAAAATTGTATATATATTAATTTTCGTATATATTTGACACAGTTTTATATCAATTTCTCGAGACATGAACATCAGATATAACTTTCATGGGTCGCGATCAAGAGCTAAAGTGATTAGCTTTCTTTCAGCCTAAACCCTATTTCATTTTTCCTTTACTGTCCCTTTAAGACCCACTTCCGGATTGCGTCTTTGCCAAAAACTCGAATTTTCTGTAAACCTTCGATAACTTAAAACTTAATCCAAAAGAATTCATAGTGTAAAAATATCTACTATATTGGGTTGCAAAGATATAGGGATTTTAAAAGTAGAGTTTGTGTGCAAAGACTCTATTCCAGGTTCCACTGTATCTGCTGAATACCTAATAGTTTCTCCACACATGATCTCGTTAGTGTTAGCTCCAGGCATATCGTTGGTCAGGTAGCCAGGAATAACTGAAATATTCGGAGAAATAAACTTTTGTTAACAAATTCAAGAAAACACGAAGACGATTACTACTGTGTAGCGAAGTTGACCGCGGAAGATTCACAATACTATAATACTATATCCGCTCCAAATGTGTCTCCTCATGTTCCCCCCCCCCCTTACCGCCTCTACTTGTGGGGAACAGCGTCAGTTAGCTTTAGAATGTCGAGATGTGAACACCTCTGATCTGGAACTACTAACTCCTTCATACTGCCGCCGATGTCTACTCTAGCAACAAATGCTGCTAATGTCTAAGCGTCCATCATGTCCAAATCCACAAAGCAGTCGCATGTCCCGGGGTTGAGAGGCAATTCAAGTTCCTCCCTACACATAATCCAGACTGCAAACCCTCCAGGACCGTCGCCTAGATGTGAACCCTTTGCTGCCAAGATGCTGACACCTGTGAGCTGACCATCATGAAGCTCCAACTGTTCCTTTCCTTTCAACACTATTAATCAATGTTATTTCATTTTCAACCGTTTAGATACTCCCAATTAAGGGCCAATATTTTTAAACTTTGCTTTTATTTCTCATTTCATGCCATTATTCAATAAAGTTACCGAATATCCCTTTTGTTCTTTTATTTGTGTCAACAACTTTATATACTTAAAGGAACTGTGAGGTCCCCAATCAAGATTTGAGGCAAATCAGTCTAGGGATTCATGAAGTACGTATGATCAGACACACAAACAAGCAAAAAAACCGAGATTACTACTTTACATACAGATTATCTTCTAGATTTAATGCTAAAATAAGCACAGAATACTCAAAAAATATAATGCTTCCTGCATGCAAATTGTCAATTACACAATTTTTAGAAACGATTAATTCTATTTAAATTTCCTGATTTTCATATTGGATTATTTCCTAGATTTAACACTGAAATACTAAAAAAAACCTAATGTTTTCTGCATGCAAATTGTCAAAAAAGGCTTACACAATTTTTAGAAACGATTAATTTTATTTAAATTTGCTGATTAGTTCCGAAAATCGCAATTTAGATCCATAAACGATCCGAAATGATATTGAACGAGTAACTTTTTTCCTTCTCTAAAATGGTGACACCTGAACAAAAAAATTGAAGAAAATTCAAACCAAAACGTTTGGTAGAAAATTTCAAAAAGAAGAGAAATGAATTACTTTTTTAAAAATTTCTTAATTATCTCTTTTAATGAGTTGACAGCATTTACAACAACCAACACAATAAATCACGGGAATGTTAAAAGTATGGTTGAATGAGCTGATCTTTATGGGAAAAATTAAATTCCAAGCAAAGCTGTTTGTGTGTGTGTTTTACGTAAATATCTTTTTAACTTACACTTATTTGCAGCAGACTGCACATTGTTAGCAGGAGGAGCATTTACTTCCTCGGTTATTTCTCCCTGAATAAAAGTCGTCTTTATTCTTTATCATAAGGTTTATGTCTTTGTCGAATAAAAAGATTAAATTTACAGTTTTTCCTTCAGTTTACATGTTATGTGTAATGTATCAATTATGTCTAATTAAAACATTAGATACAGATTCATAATTATTCATTATAGATTAACATTAATATTTAAAGAATCATGACATAACCGGGCGAGAAAAGACCGTCAAGACTCCATAGCTAGGGCGAAAAGATTGAAAACTGTTCAAAGCATATATATTAGCAAGGGTTCAAGAAGTATGTTTGCAAAATATATATGTATATTGACGCTATATTGTATTTGTACATTGATAATAGGAATACATCTAATCCAAAAGAAGTAATTAGTGGGTAAGAGGGCTTGATATATGCTTTAACATTGTAAACAAAGTTGTAAAGCAAGATTTAAAAATGACAAAGATCCGAGTTAAATTTGTCCCAAAGTCTATGACATAGGACCAAAGGGATGACATTGATTATGGATCTCAAATGTAAATCAAAATCAGAAAATCCTGAAAAGTCCTTCGAATAGAATACATTCAATATGCGAACTTTCTTTTCTTTTGATCGCTCTTAAAGTAAAACAGTAAAACAGACTCTGATGGATCAAGTTTGAGACCATTCGGAAAATTTTCTTGCTGTGACGAACGAAACTGATAAACACCCTTACATTTTATTTAACGAAACTTATTGATCGCAACTCGTAGGACTCTAAGACACTTTTTTTAGGACTTGACTTACTGTGCACTGTGAGTTAAGATCACCCTCACCGAAGCAGAATAATTCTCCTAAATTAAAAAGATTTTATGATTAAAAATATCAGAAAATATAAAAAAAAAACTTTTAAAATATGCTTTCAAAATAAAAAATATTTAAAAAATCCTAAATTGTTTTGAGAAACAATTATTTAAGTTTTAAATAAAAAAATAAAATTCTTAAATTTTGATGTTGACTGACCTTTAAATTAAAAAAAACATGAAAATGTATGATATAATTTGTATTATTAATACTTTTGTTTCTCTTTTTTGCTGTACTTTAATCTTTAAACAGCTGTTAAAGTCAAACATTCTAGTTTAAGAATTTACAGATTGGAAAATAATTAGTTTTTTACCACTTGCAAAACTTATCTCAGGAACGATCAAGAGAGTATTACTTGTTCCTAATCTATATATGTCCTACATCTATATAATAAAGCTCTTTGCTTATATATATACATGTTTGCTATAGTTGACCGAATTGGCTGAAATTTTTTGAGGAAACCCGTTAAAAAAATGTCTTACAAAATTCAATTTTTTTTTAAAAATTTGATTTTTTTCAGTTTTTAATTTCTAAAATTTCACGGACACTTCTGCTAGTATATAATAATGACTATGTAAATTTCGCATTATATATTTACGCTAGAGAGCGTAACAAAATCACAGTTAAAAAAAACACTAAGAACTTATTTTCTCTGACAAAACATTAACTGATTCCGTTTTAAAAATACCAAAATGACATTTGATTTGCTCCGCACATATACTTATTACATCGCTTTTCGCTGTAGAAAATGTAACAAAGCAAAGGAATTGAGTCTTAGCCACAAACTCTGATTTTCTAATCACTATAACTTTGCAACCAAATGTTGCATACCTTAGATATTTCAAACTATGAATTCTGTAACATAAAACAATTTGAGTTTGAAATATCAAAGGTTTACAACATCGAGTTCTAAAGATATTGAGGTTTAAATATTTGATTTTGTGCTAAAGACTCAATTCCTTTGTAAGCATATTTTTAGCTTTGCACTTTTGACTTTTATTTGTGAAGTATAAATGTTTGTCAACCATTTGAACGATAAACATATTTTCGCTGAAAAAAATGAACTTAAATCGTTGCAACCTGGCCGTTCTTTTCATGATAAATTTATGGTTTTGTTTATAAGTTCAGAAAATCCTAACATTAGAACTTGACTTTTCGTATTTCTATTCTGTAACTTTCTATTGGCCTATATTGTATATAGTTAAGTAAGCATGGATGGTTTATGCTATTTTTGACAGATTTTAATTGAGAAATCAAATTATGAAATAATGGTTCATTTTTTTCCGACTTTTATTATAGCTTTCAATCTAACTATGGAAACATTTCATTCTTAGAAAAAAATCTAAGGAAAAACTAACCAAAAAAACTTTCGATTTTTTTAGTTTTTGTATAAATCATTATTTACATTTGACATAGTGTAAGTTGAAAAACAAATGCTTAGAGTTAAATTATTAATTAGTAAAACTTCTCAGATTATTATGGGACACTTCAAAAGTAGAAAATATTAAATTTTTTAAAAAAACGAACCAAATTTTTACCTGTGTCGTCACCATCCTTCACATAGAGACACTCGTTCTTGCAGTAGGTTGGAAGATCAAAATTAGTCATGTTGAACAGGTAGATACCAGCCCTAGTGTCAGAACCATCAGCTCCATCAACTAGCTGAACAAATATATTAAGTTTCTTTACGGAGAGGCGTACACAGTGGGTGGGTGGGGGGGGGGGGGGGGGAATTGCGTTGCCCATGATACTCATAGTTACTCCCACAGTTTACCGTAAATTACGATTTTAGCTATTTTTCCCTATGCAAGTGGACCCACTCAACTTAAAAAATAAGAACATTTCCGTGGTTCTACCGAGTGTCTAAATCATAAAGTCAGGCAAATCGTTCAAGGAGTTCATGAGTTATGATCGGATATAACTATGGATGGGGAAAATTTCAAAACGATCATTTTGAAAAGTTGTCGCTTTGGAAAATTTCAAAATGGTCATTTTTAATTGTTGTTTTTTTGGAAAATTTAAAAAGGTCGTTTTTAATAGTTGCCGTTATGATGGAAAAAATAGTTTTTCGTTTCTAAACGGAAAACGATATTTTTTCGTTTTCCGTTACTTCAGCTGTTATACAAACAATTCTAATTGGTTCCCATTGATTGGAAATCAAACGATCATGAGAGCTCTTTAACTCAAGATCATTTTTTGGGACATCTTGTATGTTCAAAACAAAATTCCGTTCGTTTTTGATCATTATATTTTAATAAATAAAGTTTTCAGAATTTAAAAAATGCTAAATCGTTATTCGTTATTTCGATATTAGGAACAAAAAGTTAGGGTTTCATCTAGTTCTAAAGAGGGCTGTGCACGTTCAAACTTTTTTCTAACCGTTCGTTAACGGTCAGCTAAAATCGTTCAAAGAACTAACTTTTCATTTATCTGTTTGTGTTCTTCACTAAGAACTGAATGGTTGTTCCGTTAGTGGTACTTTCCGTTCTTTTTAAAAGTTACTGTGATCGTTAACGATCTCAATTTTATTAACGACGTTAAGATATACTAGTTATATTCTGCAAGTTTCATGCAATTTTTAGCAAAAAACACCCGTTCGTTTTTTACTTACTACTTTCATTTACCGTTCGTTAACGATTTAAAAATTAACAAATCTTGCCGTTCGTGACCAGATTCTTCCGTTAACTTTTAAAAGTCTGTAATTAGTTAACGGAACGTTGCCGAGCCCTAGTTTACCGACTTTATGTGTCGATGGCGAAGTTGGCAAGTAAATAATTCTAGACTTTATATGTTCGTAATCGGTTTGCCGGAGACTAAATGTTTGCAGGGCAATCAAACCTTTTTGGTACAACAGTTAGAATACACGAGAGCTATAGCTTGTAGTTGGAGAATAATAACTACCCCCCTCATCCTTAACATTGTAAACATATACTGAAGATATTGTCTGATAACTCTCTACCTTCTTGAAACAACTGTTTTACACATGAAATTTAACTGATAATTAGTTTGAGAATTTAAAAAATCTTAATTTAAATCATGTTTTACAATATTTCATGTGTTTTAGGCAAGGAAAACAACTTAAGTTTAAGGATACAAAAGATACAAAAATAGCGTGAAAGTTCTGGCTAAAATAGAATATAGATGGCTAATGTCTTCACTATACAGGAGGGTTTTAGCTCAATTTGAAAATGGCAATTTAGCTACAGGGTGTCCTACGAAACATGGAAGTTTGTGAATAGTTTGAATGTCTTCTTCCATATGCGGTATTAGATATTATAGACTTTTTGCTGTTTCTTTAGTATAAGAAATCTTTTACTTAAATATAATTTACTTTTAGATCAATTTTTCTATAATATGGCTGACATGACAATTATTATTGTTCTCTTGAGGTTCAAACAATTTAAGAAACTATGGAAGAAGACATTTTAAACTTTTCACCCATTGTGATATTTCGTGGGACGGGACAGACTGTGGTACTACAGTACATTGTAGTTAAAGAGTTGCGGCCATAGAAAATAGAATATATAGAGAGGAATTTACTAGAAAAAAGTGTAAAACGGCCATTTTGTTGTACTGTTTCCATACTGCAGGTGTACTTCACATATTTATGCTATATAACCTGTTGGGCCCTGGAATATCATTTTATAGAAAATCTAAAATTATGGTTAAAAGAAAGCCAAATTATGAAATAGGCTGGTTTTAGTATACAGTACAAGAATATATTATATAGAATATAAACCTGATGGAAGGGTAAGTACTTGAGTCTAAGATGAGGGTACAGTACAAGTATATATTATATAGAATATAAACCTGATGCAAAGGTAAGTGCTTGAGTCTAAGATGAGTATACAGTACAAGTATATATTATATAGAATATGAACCTGATGGAAGGGTAAGTGCTTAAGTCTAAGATGAGGGTAGAACAAGCATGTATTCCCTAACACTGTAAACATATCACATTGTGAACCTAACAAACATCTTCTAGAGCAATCTTCAACACCTCGGACATACCTTTCTAGCATTTTCCCACGGATTAAATAATCTAAAAACGGAACAAATATCAAGCAATCGTTAAAACATCAAGATCATATTTTTTTTAAACGGAGTGACTGGCTAGGTATGATATTTAACTGAGAGTGCAGTATTTTATACAATAAATATCAGGATTCATTTGATACATATTTATTTTTACATTCTGTTTTTGTAATAGGGTGTCCCACGAAAGCAAGACGACTTGAACGTTGTAACCATAGAGTAATAAAACGAAGAGGTGAAGCTTAGCTCAGATGTACACAACCGACCTGTCTATTAATTAATTAATAGACAGGTCGGTTGTGTACATCACGATATGTTTACCTATTTAACGCTGTACACTTTCTTTATTTAAAGAGAATTCGAGGATGTTGACTGCAAACATTTGACAATTTTCAGGTTTTCAATTTATTAGCTAATAGTTCTGTCAAAAATATTAAGTTTTTAGGGCAAGAATTTAACTGAAAACATTCTCATTTCAAACATTTTTTATTGTTTCTTCTCTTCAACTCTTTATCATAAACATGATAATGTATGCAGGGTTACCCACAAAGATAAAACAACGATGACGACCTGGAGCTCCTAACCCTAAACAGGCGGGGGGCATCTGGCTCCCCCCTCTAGTTTTTTGACTTTTCATAAATAGAAATTTAAAGGATTTTTTGGTAATTTTTTATGCCTAATGTAGGGTGCAGGGCGATAAAAAACCAGAGTATGTAAAAAAAATCTTAAATAGCCCATAACTTTTTTATGACTAAAGCTACAGATATGAAAACTATAGTTTTGAAAAGCCCTTGAAAAATGCGTGTAGAAACTTTGATATTTGTTTTAAACAAAAAATAATTTTTTACATTTTTTCGACCTAATCTATATAATTATCAATACTAATATTCAAATATCTACATTAAACCACTCCTTAGAAATACGATAGCTTTATACAGCGTTAGATACGTAAACATATCGTGATGTACACAACCGACCTGCCTATTAATTAATTAATAGACAGGTCGGTTGTGTACATCTGAGCTAAGCTTCACCTCTTCGTTTTATTACTCTATGGTTTGTTTACAAATATTGCATACAGACAAAACAAAAAACCTATTCACTTTTGTATTGTTTTGGTTTAAAACTTTTTTAGACTATTAATTTTGTTTTATTTCAGGATATCTTTTCTGGAGTGCAGTGCAGTACTATATGGTTGCAATTGATGCAATTGCGTACAAATTTTACTGACAAATGCCACGGCCATTTTTAGAAATATGTCAGTTAAAAGAATTAAAAATTTAAAAAATCCTAATATACAGGGTGTCCCAAAAAACATGGGAATTCAGTGACGAATTCGATATCGTCTTTGTTATGAATTAGCATTGTAATACCTAATTTCAAAACCCAAAATATTATTATGTCTGCTAGAGTTTATTTTATGAAAAGGGTAAAAGACTACAAAGATGTGTCTATGATGTATCCGCAAGATAAACAGTGAATACGGACAAGTTTATTCTGTTTGTATACTGTAATTTTCTTGTTTTACTAAGTACAACCGGTTGCAGTCAAAACATAAACAAACAAAATGTAAACATAGCAGACGAAACTCTTACAGATTACAGCTTTCTCAGTAGGTATCACTATACTAAATCGAAGAATTATTTGAAAAGACGATATCGAATTCGTCACTGAATTCCCATGTTTTTTGGGACACCCTGTATATTTTTGAATTAAAATATTAAAAGTAGACGACAATTGTTCTAATTAATTTTAAAATTAGAGTCTTCCAATCGTAAGACGACATTTAAAACACGTTTATTTTGCTAAAATTACGCAAGTTGACTACATTGTTTGAGTTGTTTGCTGTACACTTCTTGATCCATGAAGACCTGTTGGTGGATTAGCTCCACCTGGATACTGTACAGCAGAGACAGCTTGCAGTACGGACTGTGCACCTATACATAGAACAGATACAAGGTTACCTATAGGGTTTGAGCGCATGGTCCACGTTCAAAATCATGAATTTGGATGGCTACGTTTTCAGAATCGGGTTTTTTTAAATTATTAAATAACGACGACGACAAATTTATTAAAAATGATATATTAAACCAATTAGATGTTTAGGAACACATTTCTCAAAAGAAATTTGTCAACAAATCGAAGTTTGAATTAATTATTTCCTTTTTCATCATTATATTGAATTTCTTATTTTCTATGAATTTGTTCACAGATTTCTTCAAATTTTTCAAATGTCGTCTTTTCAACAACAATTCCAGAAAGCCTGCAGAAAATCTTTGTGATTAAAGAGCGATATATATATAAACTAATAATTGAATAAGATTACTTATTTTCAATTATAAGAGTAAATTTTTATTTTCTCAACCTGTTCCTAAAAAAAATCTATTTTGTTTACATTTGTTCTCGTCGTTATTTAATAATAAAAAAAAACAATTCTGTAAACTTATCCACCCAAAAGTACGATTTTGAAAGTCGACTTTGCGCTCAAACTTAGGATTTAGAGATCTTTACAAAATTTTTGCCCGATTAACTAATGTTTCCACAATTGAAAATAATCAGTTTTTTAAAAATTGTAAACATCGATATCTGATTTATTTAATCATTTATCTGTTAAGAGGATTACTTAAAATTTAAAAATTTAAAAATTGGACAAATTACTTTGGGAGCAACTATATTTAAGTGCAGTGTTCCAATAACTGTTCAATTCTCATATCATTCATTTAAAAAAGTACTTAACGATATATTGAATTAAAAATCAATAAGATGCTTAAAATTTCTTATTTATAGAAGATATTAAAAAAATGAAATTAATTATGATGTCTCAAAAAAAGAGCTATTTAGTGGCAGATACAGGGTGTCCAACGAAACATGACAGTTAGTGAATAGTTTTTAATGTCTTTTTCTATGATACTGTTATTTAAGACTTTTTGCAGTTTATTTCGTTAAACAAATCTTTTACGCAATAATATATTTGTTTGAAATCAATTTTACTGTAATATTACTGCCATTTAGTATTTCTTATCATCATCTTTGGTATCAAATATCTTATCAAATTATGGAAGAAGACATTTAAAACTAAGTGCCCAGAAGTTAGAACTTTATCAATCTCGGAATCAAGCATTGATCTTATCTTATGCAGATCTAATGATTAATTTAAGCCCTCCTTGATATCCTGTGATGATCAATAAATAGTTTAGACCTTAGAATATCTTCAGAAATAAATGAGTTTGAAGTTTAAAACGATTTCAAATTACAAATTTACAATTAAATGAAGAAGAGAAGAGGAAAATTTGTCCCCTTTTTTGTTTACCACTGTATTGTTAATTTACCTTTACATAGTTCGGATTGGTTAATATATTGCAGTAGTCAGTCCTTATATGTTGTATATCTAGAGAATTCAGGATATTCAAGCATTTATCCTGGAACCACTAAAACAATAATTTTCATTAAAAAAATAGGAAGAATAAATCTTTGATTTTAATTTAGTTTAGTGGCAAAACGGTTTAATACGCTAACTACGATATCTGAGTCTGAACTTAATAAATTTAAGCCGCGTCTCAAATCAGCCAAAAACCGGTTTCAATTGAGCACCGGCTTAAATCTTGAAACATTGAATACAATTTTAGTAAAAAACATTTTGAGGACACATAGTATTAAAAGGCATATGGAGGACGCAATGTGCATAAAGCTTGGAGGTAACATAATTAAAAACTAATATTAGGACAACTAATGGAAAAACATATTGAGGACAGTTAGTGAAAACAAGCATATCGAGGACGCATTGTGAAAAAACACAGTGAGGACGCAAAGTGAAATTAAGCATATTGAGGAGGCATTGGTAAAAAATCATATTGAGAATGCACAGTAAATAAAAAGCATATTGAGAATGCACAGTAAATAAAAGCATATTGAGAATGCACAGTAAATAAAATCATATTGAGAATGCACAGTAAATAAAAAGCATATTGAGAATGCAAAGAAAAAAACATATTGAGGAGGCATTGGCAAAAAATCATATTGAGAATGCACAGTAAATAAAAAGCATATTGAGAATGCAAAGTAAAAAAACATATTGAGAATGCACAGTAAAAATCATATTGAGAATGCACAGTAAATAAAAAGCATATTTAGAATGCAAAGTAAAAAAAATATATTGAGAATGCAAAGTAAAAAAGCATATTAAGAATGCAAAGTAAAAAAAATGTTTATTGAGAATGCACAGTTAAAAAAAGCATATTGAGAATTCATATTGAAAAAAGCATATTGCGAAAGCACAGTGAAAAAACATATTGAGAATGCACAGAAAAAAAATGTATATTGAGAATGCAAAGTAAATAAAAAGCATATTGAGAATACACAGCCAATAAAATCATATTGAGAATGCACAGTAAATAAAAGCATATTGAGAATGCACAGTAAATAAAAAGCATATTGAGAATACACAGTCAATAAAACCATATTGAGAATGCACAGTAAACAAAAAGCATATTGAGAATGCAAAGTAAAAAACAAGCATAGAGAATGCACAATAAAAAAGCATATTGAGAATGCACAGTAAATAAAAAGCATATTTAGGAACATTTGTTTGGGGTTCCATCGCAATATATAAATGCTACCTGATCATGCTCAAGTTCTTTTAGATCAAAGAGAGTGTGAAGAATATCATGCATACATTCTCCATCCTGGATATCTTCAAGGTTCATGGCTTCCCACTCTTCTCTCCCATACTCCTCCCCCTCTTCCCTCCCTGCCTCCTCCCCCTCCTCCCTCTCTGCCTCCTCCCCCACCTGGAAACCCTCCCTGTCTAATGTGTCTCGCATTGCTTGAGTTTTCAGTCCCACCTGTAAAAATGATTAGATATTACATTTCAATGATTGTTTTCTTTTTATCTTTCTCGGTACAAAGGTTAAACCTTTTAGGAATCTCATTGATACAATTAAAATATCACCTTTTTATTATTTTATTTTACATATATTCTTAGGGGATGTTCTGATGATTTTTAAAGGGACTGAAAGCGTAATTTCAAGTGACCCTCCGTTCAAACATGTCAATGCTTGAAACCTTAGCTGATCAATAATGTGGAAAATATTGTCGTTTTTCTTAGGTGAAAAGTATTTAATTCTGATATGGAAATGCGCAAATCAATGTTGTCGAGTTATCACTTAATTAAAACTAATCAGTTTTCAAAATGTTAAACATTGAAATTTGATTTATTCTTGATCATTCAAAGCTTTTGAGGGTACCGTTGTTAATTGAGTAATGTCATCTTTGAATTGTGGGCGCGCTGGGTCACTTTTCATGTAAAGCTGGATCCTAAGCTATTTAAGCCTAAATAATTGTAGCCATCATCATCAATGCGCATTTCTTCTTCAGAAACAAAAAAGAGGAAAGTGTCGGAATTAAAGATTTTCAAGCTAAAATTAAACAGGATATTTTCCACATGGAGTAGGAAAGAGTCTATCTTGAAATATCATCAATATAAAATGATATTTATATTTCACTTACCTCTTTAGTAAATCCTAGAGTAGGAAAGAGTCCATCTTGAAATATCATTAATATAAAACAATATTTATATTCCACTTACCTCTTTAGTAAATACTATAGTAGGAAAGAGTCCAGCTAGAAATATAAAATATATAAAACAATATTCATATTCCTCTTACCTCTTTAGTAAATACTAGAGTAGGAAAGAGTCCATCTTGAAATATCATCAATATAAAATAATATTTATATTCCACTTACCTCTTTAGTAAAGACTAGAGTAGGAAAGAGTCCAGCTAGAAATATCATCAATATAAAATAGTATTTATATTCCCACATATTGAACTTATAGGCTAGGTAACAGGGCAGGGAGAACTGACCGATAATCTTACATTTGGGTAAGTAAAGGGATTAAAGGTTGGAGAGGGGGGGGGAAGGTCTAACGTTAGGTTGGAAGAGAGAGAAGATGGGGGGTGGGGGTGGGGGTGAATGGAAGAACCGAGTATTAAGATTGAATAGGGAGGGGTTACTGTGGAATTTTTTAATAAATTATATGTAAGACATCAAACATATATACATAAATTTATAATATATCTCTGTATATTTATATGATGACGAAATATCAACAACTATGATATTTCCAGTTTTTTTCATGATTTTGTTTATCCACCAATAGGGAACGTGAGCTGGGTTTATAGATATATATAGAAAGGGTCCACGTTACAGCTGTAATATAGTCATTGCATGTTATCAGACTCATTACTTTTTCCAAAAGTTCAAAAATGTGAGTTTCGTTAAAAAATAATTAAATATATAAAAGATGATTTTTGAAAAAAAAAATTTAGAAAAAGATAATAGAATTTTTTGAATCCATTAGTAAAAAAAGTACATTATCTTCTCAATAAAACACGTGATTTTATAGTATCATTTAGATTTAACAATGTAATTTACCGTCAAGTCATATGATAAGATAAAAGAAAAGAAAAGCAATTAGATACTTAAAGTATCAATTTATTATGCACTGCATGTAAATGTAGATACAATAAGCCACAGGTGCACCCAGAGGGCGGGGGAGGGGGCTATGGGGGCTCAGCCCCCCTTGGATCAGTAAAATATATGGGTTTTAGAGCGCTAAGACATTTGCTTTATTTACACTTGCTCTATAGGCCATTTGCTTAAAACACAACAAAAGCTAATGGTGATGTTTTGTCAACAACATCAAATATTCATGAAAAGGATCGATTAAATTTCGTCTTCCTTCTCCCCAGTGTTACAGGATCTACTTTCAACCATTTTTCATAGTTTTATCATTCAAAATTTCAGAATAAAGGCTAAAAATATTCTTAAAGGAAAGGGAATCTTTTTGACTACAAAAAACGTGTCCATCAGGTTCGAGCGATAGATAATTAAATAAATAGATAAATAGATGGATAAGTAAGGAGAACGATTTATAGATAGATAGATAGAAAGATAGATAGATCGATAGAAAGATAGATAGATAGATAGATAGATAGATAGATATAAAAAGATAAGGATAGTTATATAGATAGATAGATAGATAGATAGGGAGATATATAGATTATAGATAAATAGAAAGAAAGATATAATTAGATAGATTGAAAGACATAAAGATGTATTTATAGATAGATAGAAAGATAAATAGATAAATTGAAATAAAGATAGATATATTGATAGATAGATATCTAGATATATAGATAGATAGATATCTAGAAATATAGATATTTAGATATATAGATAGATATATACTAGTAAAGTAAACTTCAGGAGAGATAGAGAAAGGCACAGCTGTTAGTCCTCTAAAGGCAAACCTCGCTGTTTATCTATCTATCTATCTATCCATTAGACTCTCTCCTTACTCTCTCCAGTTTGACTAAAACCGTTCACTACAAAATATCAGTTTGTGACAAAATTTCTTTTTATTTTTTTTCTCTATTTGCTCAAAGTTTTTTCAATTAATGAAAGTGATTTCTAAGAATTTAGTGTTTTTTAGTGTCACAATTAAATTTGTTGAAAGTTTTTTTTTCTGAATATCTCCTGAATCAGCTGGATGTTTTTGCGCATATCTTAGCCTATAGTGCTGCACAAGTGAACTTGAAAAAGATAAAAAAAAAAATATCATTAGATATCCTCTCTCGTAGATTAGATATCCTCTCTCGTAGATTAGATATCCAGTTGTGCCAAAAAGTTAATTCATTTAATTTAATTATTTACGAATTCATAATTAGAAATATCAAAGGTCTACGATATTAAGTTGCAAAGATATAGGAATTAGAAAATTATTAGACACCAACACCAACACAGACACCAACACCAACATCAACACCAACACCAACACCAACACCGACACCAACACCAACACCAACACCGACACCAACACCAACACCACCACTGACTCTTCACAAAGTATTATTAATTAATATAAATGAAAAGGATTGCTTTACAATATAATTTACAGTGTTACAAAGGTTGCAAAATCGCCGAGAACTTTGAAATTATTACTGTGAAACGTAAAACATAAGCTAAAATATACATGTCTAGGGCTGCAGAAAAGTAAGTTACTTTGGTAAAATGAAAGGCCAAGGCATTTCGATACTTAAAGCTTACCAAGTATTGAAAATTGATTCTTCTTAAATAGCAGTCTGATCACTTTGATATACGCGAAGGGTATAATTTAACTGTATTGAATAAGACTGGAATAAAAAGATTTTTTTTTTAAAATTAATTTTTCCTAAAAATGCTAAAATAAAATATTTTTGCATCGACAAATAAATAACAAATATATATAGAATGAAAAAAGAAGAAAAAATGTTAGAATTGTAAAGATAATATATGTATTGAGATTCAGTAATGTTTACTTTCAGTGATAACTATAAGATGAAGTGAAATAAGTGAAATTTTTTTCGGTTTTTTATCAGACTTGACGTAAAAGATTTTGTAATTTACAGATTTTAGCGAAGTTTGTTATTAAAGACGATTGTACGGGAACGAAAATGGTTGGGCACGCAAAGAATACAAATATTTATAGAATCAGTTTTTTAATTAATCGATACAAACTCTTATCAATTTATTTGCCTTTGCCCCCCCCCCTTGAAATTGACAACAATAAAAGTTAAATATTTAAAAATCATTGGACATTAATTTAAATGCAAAAGAAAATGACGAAAATGAGCTTTAAAGCATCCTTTGTGGTCAAATAGAACCTTAAAAAAAACATTGATGTAAATTTTAAGCTTATTTAAGTCTAAACTTCAGAAAATTATTCTGTCCATTTTGGTGCATGGTATTCTTTTTCTCTCAACAAACTTAGCTTTGTCAAGCATTCGATATATATTGATATAATAATCTTAATAGAAGATAATACATAAAGTTCCTAAAAATCATTATTTGTTTTTAAGGATAAACTTTTTAAATAGATATATAAATGAAGATAATACCAGCACTGGCACTTTAATAAAAAAAATACAGATTTGAAGTGCAACAAAAATCCTATTCAAGAGTTTGAAAATCTTTTTATGTGGATGATGAAATAGTCATAAAAATATCATTTTCTTATTTTAGCATTTCATTTTGGAATAAAAATTAAATGAGATATGGTTTACTGCTCTTTGACACCAATATCCCCTACTCATTATTCACCCAACTACGGGATGTTTAGTTTCTTTTTGTCCTTTGGGACAATTGAATAGAAATAACATCCTGCTCTGCGAAATTTTTGTGAAAAAAATCGCGCATTTTCTGAAAAGGCGTTTAAAATATTGTGTACACAATACAACAATACTTTTTCAGGAAATCATCTTCAAATTAACCACGGGTTCCCCTGACCAATTTTGTTAAATCTTTGTGACCTCGTAGCTCCTCTTTTTTCATGTCACACACAATTACGAGAAATTCAAATTTATCCAGATGTGCTAAGCAAATAACAATATATATAAATCTATAAATAAAAAGTTCATGAATTCATTTGAATTCAAACATATATTCATTAATTTAACCTTTTTTATACTATTTATCTATTTATTTTCCATTTAAAGAATCAGGTAAAATGCACTTTTTATTCATTTTTTGGTCGGGTTTCAATTCTTTTTGATGATTCTAAAAAAGGTTGTGACATTTACATTTACATTTACATTTACATTTACATTTACATTTACATTTACGTTTATATTTACATTTACATTTACATTTACATTTACATTTACATTTACATTTACATTTACATTTACATTTACATTTACA